AACAAATTTATAGGAGTTGACCACTAAAAATATTACTGTAAAGCTAGTTTTAGTAAGACCCTCATTTAAGACTTTCGCTTTCTAGGTCATCGTCTGTTTTGGAGATCGCGGCTAACGAATGAGATAAGGATTTACAAATGTCAATGTAAACAGCAAAAGAAAAAAGACCTTGGCAGAACAATGTTGTTTATATCGTTAAGAGATGTTTATCCCTCGGACTACAATGACACTCAAAAATGCTTGCTTCGTAGAAGCGGGTAAATGCATATACATCAAAACTAACTACAAGTGAAACAGTGTTGAAATTTAGAATATTGAGCTTGCGCCTGTAACATGAAAATTATTTGCGACTGGAAATTGCCGTTGGGGCAAACATTTTTTGTGAAAATGTACGTGGGTTCAAATGTACGCGGGTTCAAATGTACGCGAGTTCAAATATATTATACGTTGGTTCAAATATACGCGGGTTCAAATGTCCGTGGGTTCAAATGTACGCGGGTTCAAATATACGTGGGTTCAAATGTCTGTGGGTGGAAATATATATGGGTTCAAATGTCCGCGGGTGCAAATGTTCGTGGGTTCAAATGTACATGGGTTCAAATGTCCGCGGGTGCAAATGTCCAGGGTGCAAATGTTCGTTGGTTCAAATGTACATGGGTTCAAATGTACGCGGGTGCAAACGTACACGGGTTCAAATGTCCGCGGGTGCAAATGTACATGGGTTCAAATGTACGCGGGTGCAAACGTACACGGGTTCAAATGTCCGCGGGTTCAATCTATATGCGGGTGCTAAAATCCATGAGTGGAAATGTATGGGTTCAAATGTCCGTAGGTGCAAATGTCCATAGGTGCAATAGTATGCAGGTGCAATTGTTCTGGGTTCAAATTACGGGTTCAGATGTACGGGTTCAAATGTACGCGGGTTCAAAGATAATGGAACCGCACGATCCGTGTCTGGGTTGTGATTTTTGCTTCAACGTTTTGGTATTTTTATCGAATTTGGGTGGATTTAAGTAATTTGTATTGGGAAATTTTCCAGGAATGTGGAATTTTAATAAGAAAAACTTTGCCCCATGTTCAGCTTGCAGTTATTCGCAGCTTTTTGAGTTTCTGTAGCAAGTTTTGAGTCAGATTACCGCCATTGAAAGTATGAATTTCCGGCTCAAAATTAGACTCCAAATTCTGGCAGTTTGGAAACACGACTCTGTCTCTGAGAATAAAATACATATTAATATCTTTCTTTATTAAAGATAAACTTAGGGTGTTGGGATGCTTTATTTTGTTGGTGATTCCTGACATATCATTTACACAATGTATTTATTTTTAGTAGATGCAAATATATTCATAACATATCCAAGTGTTTTCGTCAATTATCATGGGATATATTTATTTTCTCCAGATATGTGGACTTGATGACGAGGAGCCCGTAACTAGGGATGTAAGTTACAGAATTTTGAAGCGATTCGAAGCAATTTCAGAAAAAAAGGCTTGATTCTATTTAAAAATTATATAGAGGACATAGGGCCATTGCACGACGCAGCGGCGTTGTCTCGATATCGGCCAAAAGCGTTTAATTTCCTTACGTTTACGGTTTTCCCAAGTCGTAACACTCCCAGAGAAAAAAGTTAGAGATGATATACTAAATAGAATCAGATTTGGAAATATTCGAAACTTACATCCCTACCCTTAACCAACCAGCGCTTACGTTAACCACCCAACGATGGGGTGAGGAGCCCCATATAGGGACATAGGATATTTCATACCTAAATCTAACAAAAATTCATAACTGCGAAGTGAAACTGGGGGCGTGATGGCAAGCGTATTCCAGAGGCGTGGCATGATGCACAAACCGCCAGGTCAATTATTCGTTTCATATGGACTCAATGATGAATTAACGTTTCATTCCCGTTCCCGATGTGTTCATGTTGGCCTTATATGACAGGACATTCCACCGGAAGACCGACGTGTCTTTTTCCAAATATATAAATGACTTCATCAACCCAACCACTCGAACCTGCTATTACACCACGTGCGCGCAATATCACGTGAAATGACATCATAGGCGCCGGTTTAGGGGCGTGTCTTATTTATGGTCGGGGCTGTTCGACTTCACTACAAACTATAACATTATTTAGACCGGAATTCACTTTTAGCGAAAATTTGTAAAATCCTTTTTTTTTGTGAATGATCCGATTTTATTTCAAGTATGCATTGCAAGTTGCCGTTGAACTAAATAAATTAAAAAAGTAAAATGCTGGATGAATTAACGATACCTTGCTGAACAAAAAGCACGATTGAACATTAAATTTATTTCAAATTTAACATTGAAATGAATCATTTAACTAATGAGACTTTGTTTTTTCATGTTTTGGGTTTAAATCCATTTCATAATTTGTTATTTAAAGTCCGCATTATTCGTCTAACAACGCGCCGCTAAAATGACATAAACAAAATGAATGTCACGCTGCCAGGAGGCGTGCCGTGTGTTTTGGTCTTGGCATCGACTTTAGTCGTGATTGCGAGCTTGGAATCGGAATTATAAGGAAATTTATTTTTCTTTGGACTCAATAAGGCGCTAGAATAACGCTGTGGAGTAAAGAGAGGCTATTAGAAAAACTAATCGTGGCTGCTGTAATGAACAATGAATATTTTCTGGTAGGCCTATTGCTGTTCAGATAAATCGTTGACAGGTTGATGTCAATTCAGATCGGGGAACATTGAAACCAGTAATTAGCCTATTAGCCTATGGATTATTGAGTTTTTTAAACGTTCATGTTCTATGGAGGTCACTGAGACCTGCTTATTTCACTGTTGGCCAGTTATTTGTTTCATGATCTGTGTGGCTCATCATGCTAAGCGTTAGGAATTCGCTCGCCACCGCACCTCTGATTACTTTGCATGGGAATCCCATGCGGGATGATCATGTGCGAGAGGATTGCTGGACTCCTCGCCGCCGTAGGGTGGTTTACGTAACCGCTGGTTGGTTACGGCTTCCTCCACCATCAAGTTCATGCTTCCGAAAACAATAACTAATCCCATACCGACATGGAATGGTAACCGGACGAGAGGCCGTGGTTCGCCATATGAATAAGCCGTTTTATCACTTTCCTCTCCCCTGGGATAAATATGTAAATCCTATCTTGTATGACCCAATGTTAGACTACTCCAGTATTCATAGGTGTCACTGCTCGATAACCAATACTAGTTTATTTCATCCCCTTTCACCCTGAAATGCATTATTTTCCTCTTTTCTTACCTCGTTCTGTATGTATAGTGTGTCTTTCTTACGGTATATCAGTACGGCACACTATTAATTTAGATTATTTTTGAGACAAGCATGGCGCGATATGATGCATCTGAAGTGGTGCCAGACACCCCTCGTTTGTGAGACACATTGAGTGTTTGTTTTATTGAAGCAAATGGAGGGGAATTCTTGGAATTTGCCGTACTGTCTATGGTGATACTGTGGTAAAAAAAACTACTGATTATCACCTTCTGACGTTACTTACAGCTTTATGACAGTATGGTGGCGAGCAGTCTAACAATCTTCTCATACAGGTTTGGTACAGTTTTCCGATTCAAAGAATAGCCCACATTGAAATCAATTTACCGAGGGAAACAAAATTTTACCGTTCAAGAGTTTTCAGCAAAAAAACGCTATTTCAGCATTTCTGATGGCCATGATTAACTTTGATTATTATCGAAACAAGCATGAAGCAATCTGCTGTCATGCCAGATGCCCCCCGTTTCAGAGACAAATAGAATGTTTGTTTTATTAAATCAAATGTTGAGACATCTTGGAATTGGTGAACTGTGCCCGATTGTCACAAGGATTCGAAGACCCGCAAGGTAGTCAGACGTGCAGTGGCCAGCTCATTCCTAACATTCAGCACAATGCGCCATACTGTCAAGCAGAGATACATTGTAAATGAACAGTAACCAAATGCACGGTGTCGTCTCATCTCTGATATTATAGTTGCAATATTTAGTGGGTTTAAGTTTGACAATGAAAAAATTTTGCGCTTTTGTGCATATCAGCATACCGCATACTTTACAAACAAATTGACGTTGTCGATATCCAAGGACATCGATTATAAATACAGTACGGCACACTATACAAATCGGGTGACATTGTCCAGTTTTAGAGAAACCATTTTACAGATGATCAGACACCTCTTCTTTTTGGAGAGGTCTGGACATTGTTGTCCCTCAATATCTGTAATAATACAGTATATTGAAGTTGCGCAAAATACTACATCATTGATTTCCTTGGGAAAAATGATCCGATTTACAGAGAAAAAAAAATTTACCGTAGCATTTGAGAGTTTTCAGCTAAAAACGGCAATTTTGGTCATGTGACAGCCGCGATTGAGTCAGATTATTATTGAGACAAGCATGGCGCGATATGAAGCATATGACGTAGTCCCAGATGCTCCTCGTTTGTGAGACACATAGAGTGTTTGTTTTATTGAGCCAAATGGAGGGAAATATTTGGATAGTGTGCTGTACTGAAATATGGATTCAAACTCTCTTGAGTCTGGCTGCTTTGGGCCCCCATGAAAAAACGGCAAATTTTATCTGTCGAATCACAGATGCACATCTCAAAATGTCAGTTGAATTCTTTTGGAAAAAAATGTTTTTCAATTAAGTACTGACTTTTTTTTTAAATTGGTGTATTCGCTAGTAACTCTGGCCTGACCGAAATGTTTGGTGTGAAAGCGAATAAAAAAATTCAAATTTCGAGTTTCCTACTTTTCTTTCCAACATTTTGCTTTGATACTTCCCTCGTATATAATTACTATATCAAATTTACTTATACCATTTTTAAATTTAATCTAATCAGTAATATTAACTAGAAAATGAAATTAGTAACTTCTAGTTTTTCTTGAAAAAAACACGCGACCCAAGGAAATATCCTGGCGATCCAGTTTAGAGTTGAGGTCCATAGGTTGAAAAACACTAATCTATAACAAAACCACGGAACCATGGTTTTTCAAATATTTGTGTTTCGAGTTTCTAACTTTTTGTTGTTTTCAAGGTGTGGTCATTCTGACCCAGTTCACTCAATTTGTTTATAATTTGAAAACTGAAACCTTGAAATCAAGTCGACCACAAGATGTCAGAGTCTGAATCTGACACAGATGGGGGGAACCATGCGATCCTCGTTGCGAGAGTTGGTGCCATGACGAAAAAATGCGATGAGTTGAGCGTTCGAGTCTCGTCTCTGCAGCAAGAAAATCGAGTTTTAAAAATGGAGTTGGAAACGTACAAACTACGATGCAAAGCTCTGCAAGAAGAAAATAAAGCTCTGAGACAAGAAAGTGTTAACATTCAGGTGAGATTTCGTCCACGGTTCCTTTAAATCAGGGGTGTTCAACCTATCATGCAGGAGGGCTAGATACGAATAACTGGGTGAAACCGTGCGCCGCACCTTTATTTATTGGAATTACTCGTGCGTGACAGCCTGAATTAAATTAAAAACTTGTTTCAAAGGCCACACTATTCAAAACTGGCACTTTTCTGCGGGTCGCTCAATTTTTCTCTGTGGGGCGCATTCGGGCTGCAGGTTGCACACCCCTGCCCCAAAATGAATAGAATACAAATTTCTGGGTTTTTATACGGCCGCCCAGAGCCTTCAATTAGAAAAAAAGACAAATTTGGAAAATCTAAGCAGGCTAAATACCCACCGAGCTATAACACAACAGTTGAATGAATACTAATCCTATACTTGACATAGAATGGTAACAGAATATGAGAGCATGGTTTGCCTCTCCCTCCAGAATATTCATGAAAATCCTCACTTTTCCAGGCGAGAGCCGAGCAAGAGGAAGAATTCATTTCCAACACATTGATGAAGAAGATTCATGAATTAAAGAAAGAGAAGGAAACGTTGGTGAATAAGTATGAAACTGAGGAAGAATTCCTGACTAATGAATTGCAGAAACAACTGAACCAACTCAGACAGGTGAGTGCTTGAGTAGGGAGAATCAATTACTGAATAGAGTGCGTTCCTGAATTACTGGGGTCGTAACCGTACTAGAGTATAAATCAAAGAGATTGAAAAAAAGTGTAAACTGGGATTAGATAAAAGTTGATACTTTTTGTATTTATTTTTCATGACGTTTACTCACACGTTTCAAGCTAAACATGGACCTGCACAAGAACATAATATGACACACAAGAAGGTTTTATAAAAGGCTGAGATCTTTCTGCATCGCCTACCCAGTTTCTTTACACCCTGGGTGAATTGGCGGACATGGTTCTTTCTGGAATGATAATTTTGAAAATGAATCAAAAATTTATCTTGAAACAAAATCTCAAAATGTCACTTTTGGATTCCTTAGATAAAAATTATTTTATTTTTCACTTTTTTTTTCACTCATTTTAAGAAAGTTGATTTTATTAAGAAACATTCTTCAGTCACCCCCAGCCCTCTGTAACCCTGACCTGACCAAATTCTTCGGAGTGTAAGGCGTATAAAATTAGGTTCCAAGTTTCTAATTTCTCCTTTTCACACCAACTAGGGTGGTCATCCTGTTTATAAGCTAATTCTGCTTATAAATTTCAATTAAAAACTCATCATCAACATAAATTTACCGACCCGTAATTGAAAAAGTAAAAAATTTCCTTTTTTATTTCCTCCCCAGGACAAAGTAGAACTTGAGCAAACGCTGGAAAAAGAGCAAGAGAAGCAAGTTAATTCACTGATGAGAAAAATTGATAAATTAAAACGAGAAACGCAGAACAAACAATACAAACTCGAAGAATTAAGAAGAGAGAAGGTTAGACATGATAATATTTCTTGTTACACAACGCTTATCCAAGCTTTTCTCTCAATTAATTTGACGTTCTTATAAATGTTTTACTCCAAATTAGGCTTCTTACAAGCAGCTTCTGACACGTGTGAAGCTGCTATTTTTAGGAATAGGAAAAGGGTAGTATTTGAAAAAAACGTGGCACTATTGTTGGAGCACTGGAATCTACTTTATTTCAGAAGGCTTGTCAGCAATGTTCCCTCTAATTTTTTGTAGTATGTGTGCGCAGAAATTTTGGTGTGTGCGCACTTTTTTGGAAATGACTAATATTTGTGCAAAAACCAATGAAGAAATTTTGGCGTTCTAACCGGGTAATAAGTGGGCCAACAACAAACTTTCTCAACCTGCCAACCGAGCACATTGTTACATTACATCGAAATACGTCTGTGCGCAGTAAATCTATGCGTGTGCGCAGCCTCTGAAAGCTGTGTGCGCGCTTACGCGCACACCTTAGAGGGAACACTAAATTAGGCATTTTTTCAAGTTTTCTCTTTGAACAAGGCTCTATACAAGCAGCCAATGATAAGGGCCCCACTACTATTTGAAGGATTGAAATCTCGCCAGTTTTCCATTTTTACCTAGTTTATTACAGTCTGGGCCAAGCAGGCATTGAATTTTTTGAACCTGAAATGATTCGACCAATGTAGGCGAAGAGAATAATTTAATAAAAAAGGTTGGGAACCGCAGCTCTATAGAATGTAAACTATGCAAAGTATTTAATAAACTAAGACCCAATAAGCTTGTATAAACCACAACTATGCAAATGAGCTTTATATCGAAGTCAAATGAAACTACATTGGCTTAAAGTAATTTGGGCGAGGTCCACATTTTTGACATAAATTTGCTGAAAACAAGGTTTCGTACACTCACTCAGAAGTAAATAAGACTCATCTCACAAAGTTATAGGAGACCCAACTTTGAAATGGCAAGATTAACTCCCGCATTTGTATAGCTTAAGTAGTTTAAATGCCCCCCCAGAAGTATGTGTATTATTATGGAGAGAACTAATTTTGTTTCCCTACTTTACATCAAGTTGTGTAAAGCGACTGACGTATATGGATAGGGGATATATTCATTTGGCTAACATAGACAGTCCCCGAACTCGTAATAGAACTTAAACAAGGAAAATTGGAATGAAATTATGGCCTGACCCTAACCTGGTACACACACTACATGACTATCTTTATATTGTGTCCATGAATAATTATTCTGATAATACAAAATGGTTTTCAACGATAAAATACGTTTCCGCTTGAAATCATGGATTTAGGGCTTGGGTTCAATCTAGAGCACGTTTCTAACAAGCTTCCACTTTTCCTTACAGGTTGAACTTGAAAACACACTTGAAAAGGAGCAAGAGGGTTTAGTGAACAGACTCTGGAAAAAAATGGACAAATTGGAAACAGAGAAAAGACTTCTGCAGGTAAGTTGATGTTCTATGGTATTATGGGTTCTGACCAAGGTTTTGCCCAAACCAGTGAGCTTCATCGGCTCCTAAAATTTGTCTCTTGTGCCTCCTGCTCTCCTATGTAAAAACCTAATTTTTCCCTCACTGCGTCTCTTTGAGTCATTTTATGCGGTATGTTCAATAATAATAAGTCAAAAAATGAATGAATTGCAGTTAAAGAAGTAAACGAATCACAGTCAGTTTACTTTAAATTAATGTGATCGTCACAAATAGAACCTAGTGGAGACCTTTGCTCGTGGCCCTTGGGTAACTGCCCCTGGCCCCACAGTGCACTGGAGAACTGCCCCATGGTCCCTCAATTATGGCCCCTCAGAGGAGCATTCTGCAGTTTCACCTGAAAACTACCCCATGGCCCCACAGCTAACCTTCCTGTGTCACCCTGATACCTGCATTGTGGCCCTCGAGTAATCCTGGTACAGACCCTCATTAAATTTCCAACTTTTGTTAAAACTTGAATTTTTCTCCACTTTTTCAGGAGAAACTGAATCAACCAATCAGTGCTCCTCCCTCACCTCGAGACTCAACCGTAGTTGACGAAGAGTTGAGTGAGAACCTCGCTGCTCACGTTCGATATTTGAAAAAAGAAGTTGAATGGCTGAGAAGACAACTCAAGTCCATGCAAGTAAGTTTGCAAGACAATTTTTTTAGGGGGTGTCGAGCTGATTAAAATAAAAATATTTGTTAGATTTGATCTTGCCCGACTTATTTCAGATATTTACATTTTTTTATTGTTTAGATATTTACCTTCCATCCACGTACTTTCATCGTGTTTTTTTTGAATAAAACATACTGTCGCCTTACTATCTGTTATTTGTAGCTTATTGTTAGCTAGTTGTTTATGAGGTGGGGTGCTTGACAAATTGACAAAAGAAGTATTAGAAAGAAATGAAAGTGCAAAACTTTTGAATCACTCAATATGACTCAATTTTTGTTCAACTGTGAAAAATAATTAATTTATTTTAAAAGGGAAGACTTGTGTAAAAAAAGAAAAAAACTGTACTATTAGTGTAATAAATATAGTAGGCAAAACCGGACTTGAAAAATTCGGGACTCAAAATAGAATAGCTCCTCACCTCGCAGTGGCCGCTTACACAGAGCCTTGTTCTGAGTGAAACATGTAAAAATTCCTTCAAATTTTTTAGGAAGAGAAAAACTGCGCAACCAACATGCTTTTGACTGAAGAATTTAAACTACGAGAAGAAAACATCCGACTACAGAAGCAACTTGCGCTCGAACGGGAACGCAGAGAAGCATTATCGCGTCAACTTTCAGAGTCCGAGTCTAGTCTTGAAATGGATGAAGAGTCTAGATTGAGTCTCGATACACCGGGGGCATCGTTCATGGGGGGCGGGCTCGTACCCCCCGGTTCGGGAGGAGCATCAAGCTCATCAGCTGTTCGTCCACGAACTGTTTCGAGTCCGATTCCGTATTCGATGCAGACAGCTCGGCCGATATCGCCCGGCCTTGGTGCAATAGCGACATCAAGTGGTCAAGGAATGTTGGCGTTCACACCGCCATCTCCACTCAGTCGTAGCTCGACCATGAGCGCTGCGGTCCAATCATCGTCAAAATCCCACTCGGGACAAGTTGCGAACAGATTTGTGAAACCGTCCCCCCCTCCCTCCCCAAAATCAAAAATGCATGAAGGATGAAAAATATTTGAAAACGGGATTCCCCTAGCGGGGGTACAAAGTATGAACTGTTTTCAAATGAAAAAAACATTTAAAGATACAAGTGTGAAATCCGTATGTTTGGTCCTCCCTCACAAAAATAAAAATCATGACCGAAAATGGGAAATCTCCCACCCAACATAGTTATTTACAATGATATTTTTTCCTCCCATAGTGAATGGGTTGGCAATGTCAAACTGAAAAAATTTCTCCCCAAATTCCCCAATTTTTTTCAAATCACCATATATGGTCATTTCAAAATATTTTTGGGAAAAGCAACTTTTTTTGGCGTTTTTTGATTTGGTGTAAATAAATGTACATATTATTTTCTTTTGCCACTGTATACTGCATGGCTCGCGTTATGTATTATTATTTTTGATTGCTTAATTAATTGAAGCTCTTGTTAATTCATCAACATGTTCTTGACGAAATCGTTTCCTACACTCTGTGGCGTAACAAGGCGAGACATTTCAAATGCTTGTATCAGCCATGGATTGAAGATTTTGCAGAAAATAACATCATCAGCTTAATAAGAAGTCTGCTCTTTTAAAGAGCCGTGTGATCGTGGTGTCAAAATCGGTTGCACAGAAATTTCAGATTTTAAAAACTCCCTCCTAAAAATCCACTCTAAAACTGAAATCATACCACCTGGTAAATAAATGGAAGTTCCCATGACAAGTTACCATTCTAAGATTGGTATTATATATTCCATATCTTTGCTTTCATTTTCTAAATGTTCTATTTCCATTATTTCATTGACATATGTCGGGGATTCTTGAACTATTACTTGATGTGTTTTTTGGTTCCCAAACCATGGCCAAGTATGACCTGCTCAACGATCGAATATGGCCCGCCGAACTTGAGTGAGATAATTGTTACTTCACCAATTGTTACATCATTATCACAGTTTAAGCACGTGTATATTCGTAACAATCCATTTATACCGGTAACTTAATTATATGGTATCGGCCTCCTCCAGGTACTCCTCTCTCCTGACCCGTGAATGTCCTCTCGCTTCTAATCTTGGCCCTCGGTGTATCAACTTTGGGAACCTCTGGTTTAACTTGATACCTAAGGCTAGCAGACTCCGAGCTAGGACTAAAATAGGACTTTTGTATCTGTGATTATTTGCAGGCCAATCTGTACTGTGTGACTTTGGGCACGCAAAGAACAGGACGCGCTTTCAATAGACTACCAGTCGAGAAAAATTTCCTCCCGAATCTCGAAAGGGAATCATATCAATGACATTTCTCAATAAGGCTGCTATAAAACTTTTTTTTTCTTTCTTGTTAACTTAATTTTTTGGTAATTTCCTATAAAAATTTTGAGAAAAAAAAAACGAAAAATGCAAAAACCTGATTTCACAGTCCAAGTTCGTCTCAGTCAACTTAATGTTTTCTGCAACAATTTTTTTTACTTTGCTATTTCCATGAGGGTCTGACATTCAGATTTTAGGGAGTGGACCCTGGTGTTAGGAAGTCCTCGATAGAAAGTTTTTGTTACTTGATTATTTGCGGGCCGATTTGGAACATCAAACAAATCACGGGGTATGATTTCAACCAGCCAAAATTTTGTTTATTGCAAATCTGCTCTCACCTTTTCCAATAGGCTGCTATGGACTTAGTTGTATTTAATTGTCATTTATTCTTCTTGGGAGTATTTTATAAAAAAAATTGACATACTGGGAGGAAAAAATATGAATTTGATAGAAACATGCAAAACCCAAATTCCACAGTCCAATTTTGTCAACTTAATTTGTTTTCCGAGTTTCTGCATTTAATTTTTTTTTCTTTGCTCACCACCATGGAGTCTGAAATTAAGATTTTGGGGACCCAGGTGTTAGGACGTCCTCGATGGAGCATTATGTTATTATTTGTTGTTTCCCGAAGTTTCACTTTTTCTTTTGTTTCTAATTCTTACTATTTTCTCTGCAACGGGATGTCAATAAAACGTGTTAAATTTCTGATCTTTGTGAATCTTGGTTGTAAGTTGCTCCATCAGAAGATCTTTGTGCAGAGACTTGTTTTGAGTGGAAAAGCATATTTATAAACATGTTTGAGAAAACATCCAGACCTCCTGAAGTATGCTCACCAAGAAGCTCACCAGGTTAGGGTTCAGGTTATGCGACATCTTGGTGCGCATACTCCAGTAGTACCAAAAATCCTGATAGAGTTGAGAATTCGGGTAGTCCCGTAGTATGTGTACCAGGGTTAAGCCATAATTTATTTCCGATTTTCCTTTTTTTCTATTACAAGTTCAAGAACCGTCTGTGTCAGCTAAGTAAATATACCCCCCTTCCCATAGGTTTAGGTCCTCTTACACAACTTGATGTAAAATTATTGGTACATACACTTCTGGAGCGCTGAATTTGGATGTGAAAGTGCTGACCCTACCTGGATTGGACTTTTCATGAGGAAAGCTGATTCACAATAGCTTAATCATATTGCGGACAAGTCTTCCAGTAGCCAAACACAGGTTAAGGAATCAAGACAGGTGTTCAGTCTCTAACCCTACCTCAGCTCCCCAAGTTGAATCCCTCTCGCTACTCCTACCTGACCATATCGCCCCAACCAGCCCCCCCCCCCCCCCGCGTCTTATTCCTCCCACGATCCCTAAACTGACCATGTGTTCTCTCTCTGCTAACTTTTTCTAAATTCCTGACGTCTTTTCTCCCATGTACTCCGCCCCCTAAACCTGCCACCATCCCACACACTAAGCCTACCTAAACCCTCCCGCCAACCCTACGTCTTACTCCTCCCTCTATTCCTGCCCGAATTCTTCCTCCCTCTCCAAACTATCCCATTTGTATCTATGGGCCACGCTCGGGGTCGCGGATAATTTCTGCGCTTGTTATGACCGATAGTAACCTCACACACCTCTATTTGTCGTCCTCGCGACCGGCCCGAGGTGAAAGAGCAGGGTTAAAAATGAGACACTTTTTTATTCAAAAATTTGTATTCCAAACAATATAAGACATAAATTTGTCTAAGACTTATTTTGTGTGAAAAAAATACAAATTACGCCAAAATTATTATTTTTGCCAAGAAAATGCAGATTTCAATTTGGAGTAAAAATTTCTCATTTTAAACTCTGTACTACCCTTGAAATCTATTATTAGAAATGTATTCCGGTTTATCCACGAAAATGTGTAATCATTGTCTTATCGCGACTTCTCTATGTCTTGAAAGCTTCTTAAATTTATTGAATTTAACAAATAAAAGCGTTTTTGTTTATAGAGAATTTTAGTTTTATAATAAATTTAAATTTTATAAAAAAATGCTTGGAGTTAGCCATATTTGCAAGCGATTCTTCTCCGGAAGTTCGGTGAGTACAAATTTTGTTTCAAAATTTAGGTTTTCGTCTTAATATTTGATCATTTTTTGTTAAATTTACCATTTTTGAAGTGTACTTTTACGGTACCTGTTGGATTATTTCGTTAATGGTTTGTTTACATTGGTGTAGTGCGTTGTTTAATCAGAAAACTGCGTGTTGAGTTGAGAGTGTTGTTTTAGCCCGGGGGTATTGTAAGTAACTGGTGTTGCATATTCAATTAGTATTATTTAGAAAGATGTTGTCTTTGGGTTTGCTATTCTTGTAAGTTAGATGAGATTGACAATTTCTGAATTTGGAACTCTTTGAGTTGTAATGTTAAGAATTAATATGCAATACTGCAGGAAATTTTATTTTCTTATTCTTTAAAATGCAAGTTTGCTAAAATATGATTCAGTGCCTGTAACTATAACTCTAGAAGTAGAGAGTACGGATAAGAGTTGAAAACAGTCACTGAGACTAGTTATATCAGTCTTTATAGTTAGTTCCCTTATACACGTTTTCTCAGCACAAGGTCCCTGACTCTAATATGAAAGTATAAAGCGGTCGGCACATGACGCTACGCGGACCGCACTTCTGATGAATCTGCAGGGGTTTCTTCATTTACGACTGGCTAACGAATCCCATACCCGATATGGAGTGGTAAACGGACAAGAGGCCGTGGTTCACCATTTATGCTTAAAACTGATAGACGATTAAGCTGTTTAACAGTTTCAAGTTTGCTCAAGGAAGATCCTGAGCCATCAACTAAAAGTATAAAGAATACTGATAGAATACTGATAGATAAAAAGTCCAGCAACCTTCTCTCACATAATCATCTCCTGCTAGTCAAGAGATGTCTGTATGTGGTGTGAGGACCAGCCTCTTTCTAGTGTTTTACACGATGCCTCAACTGTCATTTCTCATCTTTTATTCTAATTTATTTTTTACATATTTATTTTATTTATATTTTGGTTACCATATAATTTATGTAAAGCTTCTCTCTTTTTTTCTAATTTTATTAATGCCCCATGGTTGTGTGAGTGCGAGAGTGTATGATTTGATTCAATAGTTTTAGGTGAGTGAACACGTACCACTTCCTTTTAGCAATACCTTCCATCTTATATTCTGTACATTTTAAACCTTGTCCAAAGTTTGGTTTACTCCCCTGGTTTCATAGTCAATTTTTATCCATTTGTTCTTATTAATCGTGTTATCGCCGTTCATGCTGATTATGGAGTCGAGATGAACTTATCTTATCTTATGTCTCTCTCATTTTATTAGCATGGTCTGAATTATAATCATCGCATCTCAATATGGCGCCCCAACCCAACACCATACTTTGAAATCTTAAAACAATTTCTTTCCAAATAGCTCCCGTGTATTCCAGAACTCTCTTCTGCAATTAATTCAAAATATTCTAAACAGTGTTCGTCAAACTTTTTTCATTTCGACCCACTTGACTTGGCCATATATTTTTGTGTGATGTAGAAAAAAAAAATTAAAAAAATAATGAAACTAATAATACCTTTAATGAGACCTAAGTGCTTGCACACTCTCACACAGAAGATCAAACCTCGGGTCTATTTCGGTGATGGAGGGTCTCAGTACTAGTTCCGAGACTTTCACATTTGATTGATATTTTATTTTATCATACTTTTTATTTACTGCCACCCCCATTGAGCCTTTTCACGCCCCCCGACCTCCAGTTTGAAGAACCCTAGTCTAAAATATACACTTGGTTATATTCAGTGAGTATGAGTCATAGTTATAAATTGTTAAACCAAATTTTTGGCTAACTTTGCTTCAAACAAAAACTCACAATTCCTAAAATACACTTCAATCACAGAAGAGTGTTCGAGTCTGCAAACAGTTTTTATTACTGATTCAATGACTAAAATTACTCATTTTTCGCTAATATATGGGGTTCGCTTTGCAATTTTTTTTTAAATAATCGAAATAATATTAATAAAAAGGCAACATAGGTAAGCTAAAGAACATACAGTCAAAATATCAGATAATCAAATCGCAGTCTGTTTTTGTTAAATTATATGTGAATTGTACAACATTATCTCTACACATATTGCCTCTCTCTACTTTTTCTGCTTTTTGAGGACTGCTCTGTTGCCGGCTATGGGGCACTTTGAGCCCAGCGACATCATTATGTCTACGCATCTATCTTTCTGTATTTTTTCGACCCCCTGAGGGCCACTCTGTGGCCCACTTGGTGGCCCTTTAGGCCCAGTTTGGGAAACCATGTTTTTATCTGACATCATTATCTTTACACAACGTATCTTCCTGACTTTTTATTGCATTGTTTGCAGAGCAAACAGAAAGTCAGAGAAACAACCTTTTTGCAAACATTGATTTCTAAAAATAAAGCAGTATCAGATATGTATTCACTCATGTTTTTGAGTGTTCTATTGAGTGTATTACGGTGAGTATAGGACATGCATTGAGCATGTGATGAGTGCATGGCTTATCATTTGATTAAGTTCTGAGTATGTTTAACTTGTCTGTTCATCGCTGAGTGTCTTATTGTGTGTATGGAGCCATGCCTTGAGCATGCGATGAGTGAATGTTTCTTATCTGTTATAAGTTTTGAGTAACTTTTGTTTAACTCGAAATTTTTTGAGTGTCTACTGCTGAGTGTATTGTCGAAGTAAAAGTCTGTATGTAGCCATGCCTTGAGCATGTTGTGAGTGCATGGCTGATGATCTTTTAATAAGTTCGGAGTATGTCTGACTCACCTATTCTTCAGTGTATATCATTGAGAGTTAGTGATTGAAAATGTGTACAAGGTCATGCGTTCAACATTTATTATAAGTTCTAAGTAACTCTCATATTTAGTGTATTATTGTTGTCTCTATGCAAAGTGTGTGTTTGCTTTTCAGTCTGAGTCCCCACTTAGCTATTCGGTCCGAAATTGGGTATAGCTAGGAATGGATGGTTTCAAGACATAGAATTTTTTCTAAATGCATTGTCATTGAATGCATTTTTGAAATATAAAATATTTTCTTAACTGTGTTTTCATCATAGTTTGAGGCAATAATAATTTTAATAACAAGTAACAGAAAATCTCATTTACGCATAACATCTTTCCCAATTTTCACTCCTAATTTTGATTAACTTATCGGAAGTATTTTTCTTAGCATTTTTTGGTATGCCTATGATATTTTTAATTCTCCTGTTTTAGTTTAGTGTATTGTGGTTGTCTCTATGCAATCAAGCTTTCACAAGGATATAGGCGTGCTATGTATGGCTCCATTTAGTATAAGATGGTTATGTACAAAGTCGATTTTAAATGAGTTTTTACTTTCATTTAGTAGGCTAGTACAAAGGTTGAGTGTAATTATGCTTGACTCTCTCATGGTTGAGTGTTTTTCTCAGATTCTGAGAGCACATTGAGTAAGTAGTGAGTCACTCAGTGCAAAGGTTAAGTGTGACCATGCATTGAGCATGTGATGAGTGCATGTTCTTTGTGAGTTTGGAACGTTTATCTACAACATTTGAGTGTTTTTCTCATATTCTTGACTGAGTGTATAGTGAGTGACTTAGTCCAAAGGTTTGTGATCATCTATTGAACATGTGCTTAGTGCATGTTATTTGTGACATTAGTTCATTCCTCTCTTATATTTGAGTGTTTACTCTTGTATTCTGAGAGCATTTTGAGTATAAATTTAGTCACTCAGCCCAAAGGTTTTATTTGAATGTGTGTTCAAGCTATGAAATGCTGAGAGTAATAATCTCTTACTAAGTATAACATTAGGCATGATGTGTGCAGGGCATTCAGCATACCATTTGTCAAGCCCTTGTTTCGACGTTGTAACATTTTGTCCAATACTAAAATTTTGGCAAATGTTTTCTGCTGAAACATTTGTTTGGAGTTGCAATCTGCGGCACTTAGGAAGTTATCAATCAAATCAAAACAGTGTCTATTTTTAGCCCCGCGTATCCATTATACCGTGACCTAACATGGCATGTATGATCAGTATACACATTCCATGCTCGGTGGTTATGTACATAAACTGTGCTCCTATCAATGTAGATTTAGTCAAGTCATTCCCCTGTTGTTTTTGTGATCGCTCGGCTGTATCAGACGGTATATCGTTGCAGTAAAACCAAAGTAACTTATGTTGCATTTCAAAAAAAAGAAATTTTTTGATCTTCTTTTACTATGGACGGTCTGGGCTTTGAAGATGTACCTTTTTAAATTTGATTTTAAGTAATTCAAGAGTGCACACTAACACAAATGTATTTCTGTAACGTTTTATCCGATCAAAATCAGACTTCCTCAGACAGAAATACACTCGTGTTGGTGTGCAGCAGGACACTTGAAGTGCATAGTATTGTGGTTTTATTCCTGCTACAGCTTCCTTGCATTAGGATGCACTAGCGCAAAGGCATTGAGGAAGGTTTGGGATTTCGCATCTCGTCTCGCGTAATTAAGTAGTTTAAAGTTTTACTTATGTCCGTTTGGCTGTACATTTCTATTAAGGTGTCATCAACTAATTTGGTTTACTGCAACGATATAGTATTAGAGTTATGCCAGTTTTAGTTTTGATTTCAGGTAGTGTCTAAATGTTTATTCTTAGGTTTGGCTGATAATACCGAACTTTACAAAAATACTATTTTCTTGAAACTATAAAATGTGATTTGAGCCAATTTTATCTATCTCAGGATATGTTCGCGACATCCGTTATTCTTATAATTATAGACACGAAAAACGATATCCGAAGTTCGCTATATTCAAATATATTTGAATAGGCTATTAATTAATTCGAATTGGACATCCCAGACCAAACTCTTACAAAATTCCAATTTTCTTGAAACGTTAAAATGTGACATCGGCTTATTTTCTTTTTCCAGCAATACTGGGCCAATAAGATGAAGATAGCTATTATCGGACAGTCCTTGTTCGGAGCGGAGACTTATTCTCTGCTGAGGAGTAACGGACACAAAGTAGTGGGAGTGTTTACAGTGCCTGATGTGGAAGGAAAAGCTGATCCGTTAGGTAAGTGCGACTTGCTAGTGCTGACATGAGCAATGTGACATAGACTGGGTAATTCAATCTGGCCGCCTGATGCTGCAATAACTGGACTAAAACCAAGTTTTGATGTTTTAGCTTAAAAATAGCTCAAGGAATTTGTTGAAATTGTGATGAAATCTGGTTCTGGCATGGGGCTCACTGTTTTTTGCTTTTGTAACACTGTAAATATTGTTCCTAAAATGTAACTTCACATTGAATGTGATGTAAGTGGAATCTTACATCACACTTACATGGCCTGCCAGTCTAGGTGGGCAAAATTTTGGCCCCTAATATAAAAACATTGCCTACCCCTGCTGGGGGAGGGGGGTTCATTTTTTCCTTGACAAGAATAAATGAAGTAATTGGTAGGACAGGGCATTTCGATCAAAATTGATAATAATAAATTATTTGAATTGGTTCAGACCAAAATTTCATATTGCTCCATCTTGTTTTTTTTGTCAGCTAAAGCTTGAATTCTCAATTTTTTTTTATTAGAACCCTATTTTTACAATGCAGTTCTGACATATGTCTCTTTCCTTAGCGAACTGTCAGAGTGATATATTCTATGTTTTCAGTAATTTATGTTTCTGGAGGGCTCATTACAATAAAAAAAATGATTAGGCCGTCTTATCAACTCCTCCCCCTGGATAAATACAGGAATCAAATCCTATCGTTATTTCTTACAGCCTCGGCAGCTGAGAAAGACGGAGTTCCAGTTTTCAAATTCAAAAGGTGGAGATTAAAAGGCCAACCTATACCCGAGGTGAGCTTTGCATTAGATTTGAATTTATGTTGCCAAAAGTGATGATACATGTTCACTCACCCAATAGTACTAAATTATTTCACACACATGCACACACATACATACAACCACAGAGATATGCCTTGAAATACCCTCTTAGCCTCAAAGCAGGCCGCATGTTTTTTACATGTTATTTGTATTGCACGATGTTGGTTACTTGACCACATTTATCATTCTTTGTGGTTTGACTACCAAAGCCCCGCTCATCAATAATAACAGTACTCTGATAATCAAAATGCTAGAACTTAAAATATATATTTAGATACTATTGCTGCTTGATAACCAGCTTCGGTTCCCTGCGGCAACCCTGCTCCTGTGAAATTTTTAATATTTCTTTGAACTTTGCTTGTTATTTTTTTAATGGATGGAAAAAATAAACTAGACTTTGATAAAATAAAATAACACAAGAAAAAGATAAAACTAGAAAAAGAAATAAAAAAAAATGAAATTATTTGTCACACCATAATAATTGTTGCCAAATTGGTCTCTTGTTATCTAGGTTGTTGAAAAATACAGTGCGGTCGGTGCAGAGTTGAACGTTTTGCCTTTCTGCAGTCAATTCATTCCAATGAATGTCATAGATCACCCAAAGCATGGCTCGATCATATATCATCCTTCCATCCTACCAAGGCACAGAGGAGCATCAGCTATAAATTGGTGAGTGATGTCCTAGTGCAGACTTTTTTCACCAAGTGACATGAAGTGCATATCATGCTTTGCAGCCAATTTAATTACGAAGGCGAATTTCTAAGACACAAGCCTATTTAACCTAATCAATTTGAGTTCGAGTTAACTGGTAAACTATTGCCTCAAAGTAGTTCTCAAACTTTTATAAATTGTTCTTCCCTTCCAAAGACTCTCAACACTTGTGATCCGCGCTCTTCTAAACCAGGCGTTTGCAATAGAAGAACCACGAGGCACAACCTGGTCCACAAAGTCATTTAGTGTGGCCACATTCAAGTTTTTCCTCATCAAGCATAAAATTCTAATCTGACAGTTTATGTTTGAAAAGTTGCACACTTGGGTAAAAATACATCTTTGTTTTCGTCGCTCTTTTCGCTGCGTTGAATCTATCGTTTTTGCCCACTGCCTTTATTACCGTAAGGCTAAGCAATAGCCATATTCTCTTCTTTCTTTTTTTCCGCATGGATAAACTAAATTTTTTGTGTGGTTTGGCCAGATGTCTAAAGTTGGTTTATATGGCCCACTGGCAAAAAATGTTGCACCTCCCTGATTTGAACCCTTTATGTGTCATCCGTCCATTGAGTCCCAACTCAATCAATGAGTTATTTTCATCAGTTGTTAGTTGGCGACAAGTTGGGGTGTTTTTTTTTAGACTTGAGTCCTCCATAAGTGTTGGCTAAAGTAAAGTCAGCCAATGATCCAAGTTTGCTCATCCTCCGGCGGTCTGTCATTTTTCCAAGATATGATTTTCCTTTGCTTACGAGCAAGTGCAGCTAATACACCATCTCGATTCTATAGGTATCTGTAGATCTGTTCTCGTCTGTAATTCACCTCAGAGAGTGAGTGCCCGTAACTCAGCTCAGAGACGAGTCTCCTTTACCGCTGAATGAGTGCTTGTTGCTCAGATTAAGTGTCATTTATTCCTTGAGCATGATGCACAACATGTCTCAGCAGCCTATGGCTCACAACTTCTGAGTGCCTATTACCTTGTATTGAGAAGATTCGGTGCTCCCAATGTTTGTGCATCAAGATGTCGCACAACCTGATTCCTAAACCTGGTACACATACTATGTTCAGGTTGTGCGACATCTTGGAACACATACTTCGGAAGCTCCGAAAATTCTCCTAAAAATATGATTGATTCTTATACTCCTATGTTATATGCTTTACAGGACACTGATGTCTGGAGACAAGAAAGCTGGTTTCACCATTTTCTGGGCAGATGATGGACTTGATACAGGTATGGAATTACTGACTAGGCTATATGAACAAGCATTTATTCTGAAGATTCAACACAAACATACAAAGCTTTGGGCATCACCAAAATGAACTTTTATATCTGAATAATTAATATTCGCAATTGTTCTCAACTGACTGTTAGTTCATCCATATGCACTGATTGTAAGAATAATCAAAACGGCCATATTGAGTGTTTTTTGAAGTAATCGCGTGCTAAACTACTATTTCCTTCTGCTTTTTTGTCAGTAGATGTGTATACACTGACGGTAAGGGATGCGTAGCAAGAGCTAAAACCCCCTATATTGAGTTATTGATCGGTGTAGCATGGGTACTCCCGAAGTATGTGTACCAGGTTACAATCGGTCATAATTTTATTTCGATTTTCCTTATTTTGTTCTATTACGAGTTCGAGACTGTCTGTGTTAGCCAAGTGAATATACCCCCTGCCCATAGGATTCAGTTCGTTTACACAATTTGATGTAAAGTAGGCGAACAATATTGAGACACACACTTCGCCGTAGCTAACTGTATCTAACCACTGCTTTTTTCTCTCCGACTTTGTCTCATATTCAATGACTGCGAATTATATTGTAGCAAGAATCGAAATGGCTATATTGTGTTGTCATTAAAGTAAGCCTAAATACTGCTGCTCTATTTCTCTGTCTTGGTGTTAGTGGATTCTTATGCACAAACTGCAAGGATGTTGTAGCAAGAATCGTAATTGCTATAATGGAGCATTTCAAAAGCCTTGAATCACGATTTCTCAAATTTTATTCAACTGCCAAGACCCAAGACCAAGTTCATAATATCTCTCATTTCATTCAGGTCCGATTCTACTTCAACGAGAATGCGACGTCAAAACAAACGACACATTAGACGACGTTTACAATAGATTTCTGTACCCCGAAGGAATAAAAGCCATGGTATGTTGCGCTCACCTCTAAAATAAATTTTTGATTAAACTACCCTGTCTCAGTATGTTTGATGATTTAATCAATATTTCTCTTTAACTTGGCCTTTAATTTATTCATTCTCATGTATAACAACATATAATTTGTTCATCCCCCTAAATTAATTTTGAAGTTAAGTATGAGTTGCATCATTATCAGAAACTCGCCCCGGGCAGCTGAAAAGTTTGGCACGCCCCTTGTAGTGGGCGGGGATGTTTTATCCAATGAAAACTTAAATTTCTTTTCCAGTCCGAAGCAGTCCAACTCATAGCAGATGACAAAGCTCCGAGAATCACTCAACCGGAAGAAGGGGCTACTTATGAGGGAATAATGAGAAAAAGTAATGCTCAAATTAAATTCGACCAATCAGCAGTCGATATTCATAACTTCATCAGAGGAAATGATAAAGTACCGGGAGCATGGGCGATGGTGGAAGGGCAGGTATGTTGTTAAATAAGCTATTGATATGTAGCAACGTATGACGATAGTATTTTGCAACATTTTCTGTGTTTATTCTCGATTTTTGGACATTCTGAACTCTGTTTAAAGCTCTCAGGAGAGAGCCTGCTTGAGCAAAAATGTAGGACAGATAGTATTTTTGTGCCATTTTTTATTAGTGTTTTGGTTATGTTTGCTTTAAACCAATGGTGTGCAACATTTTTTGTGGGTGGGCCATATAACCAACTTCATGCCAAAAAATTTAGTTTTTCTATGTACGCAACGAATCGATACAAATTTGCACAACGTAAAGGCTTATTGCACACAGAAAAACTGTGAACGATATAACGAAGCGACGAGAAAAAAATCATTATGTACCTTTACCCATGTGAGTGCTTCTTCAAACATAAACTGTTGGATTAGGATTTATGCTTGATGGGAAAAATATTTTGATGTTGACAAAAGTCACTCTAAATGACTTGACAGGCCAGGTTATGGCCTGCCGGCCACCTGTTGCACACCCTGGCTTGAACGAGGGCAAGGATGCACTCTTATATGCTTCTATACTGTAGTTTGGGAGAGGATATTTCTGGTCCATCAGAGACCTTTGACATGACAATTTTTTTCAGAAAATCACATTCTATGGTTCAACGCTCCACCGTAGCAAACTTCCTACTGGTCAAGACGTCAAAGTTGAGGGAATGGAGCGACCCGCGATCATTCATAAGAACGGAATGATATTGTTCGGGAGTGACGGAAAGAAGGTTGGTACCATGCATCTAAAACAAATAACTGGCTAAATAAATCACATATACGACATGGATTGGTAAGTGTATGAGAGGCTGTGGTTTGTTGTATGATTGAGACATCACCTTCCTGACTTCCAGAGATAAATGTGTTTACCCTATCCATATGGTGGTTTAGCTATCGCTGGTTGGTTACGGCTTCCTCCACCATCAAGTCCATGCTTCCGAAAACAAACAATATAACTAATCCCATACCCGACATGGAATGGTAACCGGACGAGAGGCCGTGGTTCGCCATATGATTAAGCCGTCTTATCGACTTTCCTCTCCCCCTGGATAAATATGTAAATCCTATCCTTGTCAGGTCAATGTGAAAAACCTTCAATACGAAGATGGTCATATGAGACCGGCGTCAAAGTTTGGCCACGACGACATTTCCGAGACGCTTGCTCTTACTGGTGAAGAAGAGACCATGGCAGCTACAGTTAAAGATTCATGGCATGGCATTTTAAACCGTGACATTACTAATGATACTGATTTCTTCAAGTGTGGTGCGGGATCTATGGATGTTGTCAGGTATATATGTGGCATGGCATTTAATAGTTGCGACATCATAATTAAATGTGTGATATTTTGACATGTTTTGTGGCACCAGTTCGAGTTAATAATTGTGGAATCATAATTATAAATGTGACATTCTGATATATTTTGTGGCACCAGTTAGAGTAAATAGTTGTGGAATCATAATTATAAATGTGACATTCTGATATATTTTGTGGCACCAGTTAGAGTAAATAGTTGTGGAATCATAATTATAAATGTGACATTTTGATACATTTTGTGGCACCAGTAAGAGTTAATAGTTGTGGAATCATAAATAAAGAAGTGACATTTTGATATAATTTGTGGCACCAGCTAGAGATCTTTGATTTTCTTCCTCAGATTTGTGCATCATGCAATTATCATCTATTGGCATCTTTTTCTCAGAATTACGTACGAGAGGATTGACGAACGCCTCACCACCATAAGGTGGCTCACATAACCATACTTGACATGGACCAGTAACCAGACGAAATACGGTGGTTTGCCATATAGGACAGGATTTAAATATTCATCCTGAGGAGAGGAAAGCCTATAAGACGGCTTGATCATATGTCGAACCACGACCTCTTGTTCGGTTACCAGTCCATGTCGGGTACGGGGTTAGTTAGTGAACCCTCGAACCCACGCAGGGTAATCAGAGGTGCGGAGTATTCTTAACGCTTAGCACAATGCGCCACACTGTATAACTTGTCTTATTGGCTTTCCGCCCAAGGTATATTTATGAATATCCAAACCTATGGCTAAGTCGTCTTCTCAGCATTTCCCTCCTCTGGTATAAATATAAAGATCCCTTCTTTATTTTTATTCTCAGGCTCGTAGAAGATGTCCGACAGAAAACCGGGGTTGTTATGAAGAATGAAGACGTTTACATGGCAACTACGTTCGGGGAGTTTGTTCAAAAGGTGAATCATCATACATAATTTTACCAGTAATTTTCAAACTTTTTAAGCCACGTCTCCTTTTTAAAACTTGTCTTGCAACCATCTCAAAAATAACTAGCTAACAATGAGCTATAAATAACGGATAGTAAGGCGAAAGTATGTTTTAATCAAGAAACACATTAAAAATATGTGGATGGAATCCCAATCTCAGAACAGTAAAGAAATAGGGTGCTCCCGAAGTATGCGAACCAAGATGGCGGACATCGGAACGTAACAGGTTAGGGTTAGGCGATAATTTTTTTCCAATTTTCTTTATTTTAGTCCTATTATCAGTTCGAAGATTAGCCAAGAGCCTCCCGTAGTATTTATACCTAAAATTATGGCCTAACCCTAACCTATTACACATATTACGTTCCGATGTCCGCCATCTTGGTTCGCATACTTCGGGAATCCCAGAAATAGCTTTAAGCCTCCTTAAAAAATTGTCTTTGTCCCCCTTGTGCCCCACGTTTGAGAACCACTGATGCATACAGCTTCAGTAGCATTCCCATGATTGCCCGTAACTTTGCTCGGAGGAGTTTCCTTTACATGTGAGATGAGTGTGCGAGCTCGCATTGAGAAAATCTTTTTGAAAGTAATCCAGTGATGTATGTCGGATAGGATTTCTATTCATCTCACGGGGAGACGGCTTAATCTCATATGGCAACCACGGCCTCACCAACAGTCCATGTCGGGTATTGTATTGGTTAGCCAGTTATTTGTTCCAGATGCATGGTGGACGAAGATTGATACAGTAATCACCCAGCAAGGCCACTATAAGGCAAGGAGTACAGCACTCCCCCTCGCATATATTTATGCCCCAGAGTTTTTGAACTTGCGGACCCGCGCAGTGTAATCAGAGATAGGATGGCAGTCGTACTCCAGATACTCAATATAATGACTGTTGAAATATTTCATTGACCTATGATAGTATTTTGCGGTTCCAAGATGCGACATCTTACATGCTGACATTGCGAACAGCTTGTCACATGACACTGAGGGAATGAACATAAAAAGAAAATCATTGCATTTAAACCAGTTAGTAACCCTAACATTTTACAGACTTTGCGATATTTGAGCATTTGCTCTCACGTTTCACTGCGCCTATTTATTTGTACGTACCTATTTTTATTTTGCAGATGGTTCGAGTCTTCAGAGGTCTAGAAGAAGAAGAAGCGTTAGAAGTTGATTACGCAATCGCCAAAGCTCACGGGATGGAACTGAAGATGCCTCATCAGCTGTTCATCCACAACCAGTTCTTGGATTCCTCAGATGGAGTTGAATATGACACTATCAACCCTGCTGATGAATCAGTAAGTTGAGCCTAGGCCTGCTGATGCATCAGTAAGTTGAGCCTAGACTATGCTGATGAATCAGTAAGTTAAGCCTATACTATGCTGATGAATCAGTAAGTTGAGCCTAGACTATGCTGATGAATCAGTAAGTTGAGCCTAGGCCTGCTGATGAATCAGTAAGTTAAGCCTATACTATGCTGATGAATCAGTAAGTTGAGCCTAGGCCTGCTGATGAATCAGTAAGTTAAGCCTATACTATGCTGATGAATCAGTAAGTTGAGCCTAGGCCTGCTGATGAATCAGTAAGTTAAGCCTATACTATGCTGATGAATCAGTAAGTTGAGCCTATACTATGCTGATGAATCAGTAAGTTGAGCCTAGACATGCTGATGAATCAGTAAGTTGAGCCTAGACTATGCTGATGAATCAGTAAGTTAAGCCTATACTATGCTGATGAATCAGTAAGTTGAGCCTAGACTATGCTGATGAATCAGTAAGTTGAGCCTAGACTATGCTGATGAATCAGTAAGTTGAGCCTAGACTATGCTGATGAATCAGTAAGTTAAGCCTATACTATGCTGATGAATCAGTAAGTTGAGCCTAGGCCTGCTGATGAATCAGTAAGTTAAGCCTATACTATGCTGATGAGTCTGTGAGTTATGCCTGGCCTATTGATAAATCAGTATGCTAAGCCTAGGCCTGCTGATAAATCACTATGCTAAGCCTAGGCTTGCTGATGAATCAGTAAGTTGAGTCTAGGTCTGCTGATCAGTGAGTGAGGGTCTAGACCAGAGGTGTAATAAAAAGTTGCGTGCTGACCAGACTAGACAAACGCACAAGGCGAAAGAAAGTGCCTTAATTATGTAATGCATGTAAGATTGGTTAAAAATCAGAAATTTATGGCAGCAGCGGGCTGGCTAGATTGAATCACCCAATGGGCCAGATAAGGCCTGCGAGCCGTAGTTTGCATATGCCAAGCCTGGATCATGCTGAAGAATTAGTAAGTTAGGCCCTAGACTGCTGAATAGTAGGTCAAGCCAGCAATCCTCTTGCACATAATTGTCAGGATATGCCTGCGAACCCCCGCAAGGTAATCAGAGATGCGATGGCAAACGTATTCTCATCGCTTAGCATGATACTATTACATGAATTCTGAAAACTAAATTTATATCATTCAGGTTATCTGCAAAGTATCGAAAGCTACTGTAGAAGATGTTGATGACGCAGTAGAAGCTGCTAAGGAGGCTTTCTATAACGGACCTTGGTCTACGATGAATCCGAGGGATAAAGGAACGCTAATGTTTAGGTGAGTTGGTTTGTTTCTATCAATCTAAACAGAGGGTACCCCCGTAGTATGTGTACCAAGTCAGGATTAAACCATAATTTTTATTCCGATTTTCCTTATTTTAGTTCTATCACGAGTTTGGGACTATCTGTGTTAGCCTCCTGTCCATAGTCATCCCTTTACAAAACTTGATGTAAAGTAGGCGAACAAAATTAGTGATATTGGTACACACACTTCTGGAGCACCGAACAGAGATGATTCTCCTTTACTTCTGAGTAAGTGCATATGACATTACTTCAAGCCCTACTAAAATATAAATTTTTCTCACTCCCAGGCTGGCAGACTTGATGGAGAAACACCAAGAAGAATTGGCTGCCATAGAATCGCTAGACTCGGGTGCTGTATATACTCTGGCACTGAAAACACACGTTGGGATGTCTATACAGACGTTCAGGTAAGGATATGGGTATATCGAACCGGTGGAAAGGAGAGTTGATATGATGGTGCGTTACCATGGTGCCTGGTTCAATGTGGAAATTTATGTTCATCTCGGGAAATAGTGTGTCTATATCACACAGAAAAATGTTAGGTTAATTGTATTCAAACTTTAGGAGATGGCTTATTTCTTAATCAGCTGTGTTGCTGATAAAGTGATGAATCTGCTCTTATCAGTAACCAATGAAAAAACATCATCTGTATCTTCTTGTCAGTTCAGTTGTATTTTTTTTCTAGATAAGACCATCAGTACACAGATAATAAAGGGATATTAATCTTAACTACATTCCAGATATTTTGTTGGTTGGTGTGATAAAATAATCTTTCTTATCAGCAACCAATTTTTATCCGTATCCAGATATCAGACTGGTAATCTTCACATCCCAAATATTTTGCTAGTTGGTGTTATAAAAGTCTTTCTTATCAGTAACCATTTTATCAGTATCTAGATAACAGACTAATACTTCATTTGAAATATTTTGCTAGTTGGTGTTATAAAAGAGTCTTTCTTATCAGCAACCAATTTTTATCAGTAAAATAACAGACTGGTAATCTTCATTTCAGATATTTTGCTGGCTGGTGTGATAAGATCCACGGCAAAACCATTCCTATCAACCACGCCCATCCCAACAGGAATCTCACATATACAAAGAGAGAACCAATAGGGTAAGTAGATGATAGATTATCACCCGCTTCTCTGAGGGGTTATAAGATTGCTTAATCATTCTGCTTACCGCAGCCTTTTGTCTGACTCCGGACAATCATATGCACACAATCCAACGTTTATGCTCTTTTCCATACCCCAGTTGCCTCGCCATGAGACTATCTTGCACTATAATTTCCATGGTTACGTAGACTGTAGTGCTCGGAGTCTACTTTCTTTTGCTTGAAACGACGACTGCTTGGTTTGTACCAGGTTGCCTTGACGTATCCAATGCTGTTTTATTTTACTTACTAAATAACATATTTTGTTTGACTCAATGTATTTATCACGTTAGATTTTCTCAAGGTTGCCGCCACTCGATAACCAGCTTTGGTTTTCGGCGTTTCCTTTCACCCTGAAATGTGATTTTTTCATATTTTCTTTAAAATTGTTTATGTAGTGTTCGTGTTTTTCAGCATGGTGAAAAAATAAATTACTGATTACAAGTCCATGTTGGGCATAGGATTAGTTGATCAGATATTTTTCCCAAATACGTTGGCATGATGAGGATTAAGAAGTCTACGGGAGACTCCCAACATTTGGTCTCCTGCCCCCCCCCCCCCTACATTAATAATAAAAGTGCCAGCGCCCTCTGGTGTATATTTTCCTAGATTAGGATACATATTTATTAGTTTTTGTTTGCCTGGATTTATATTCTAGTAGTTGCTGTAGCATCCTCTTAATTCCCTGTGTTTTCCTTGTTTCATCTCAGAGCAAGTCTCCGGACAAGTTTTACTCAATCAAATACCTTTATTTTTCAGAGTGTGTGCGATTGTCATACCATGGAACTACCCTCTGATGATGTTGGCTTGGAAAATGGCTTCTTGTCTGGCTGCAGGCAACACCATGGTTCTCAAGCCGGCTCAAGTCACTCCTCTCACTGCATTAAAGGTTTGAACATCTTTTATTACTTTTCATTAAGTACAAAATAACGATTAAGGTAACCTTACTTTAAGAAACTTGCGTATATTGCTGACATATACATCGAGGCTTTCAAAACTCGGGGTCTTGACGCCGCAGGGGGACATTCAACAAATTTTAGGGGTCGCAAAGAAAACACCAATTTCACACAAAGTACTTTATCTGTTCCTTTTTAGACTTGATTCGAAACAATTATTAAAACTTGTGCAAAACATAAATCTTACGATTTCGAGAAAAAACAAAGGTTCAGAGAAGCGGCGCGCTTGCATAAAAATGCAAACTATGATAGTAAGACCCGATAAGTGGCACGATACTTGGAACGAGGGAGTCGCGAGATTCAAAGTTTTGTGAGCCCTGATATACATGATCATAACAGGGATATTCAGTTTGGAATTGAAAATAATATTATTTTATTAACCATTTAAATGGCATCTTCAATATCATTATGAAAAATAGTAATTATTTTGAAAAAATATTATTTTTACTTGCGGAATAAATATATCTAAAAGCCGTTAAGTGTCCAGTCTTCACAAACACAATCGTTAAATACAACAACTTACATCTGGGCAGGCCCGGAGGGAGTTGCATTGGTTGCAGTGATATAAGGCCGGTCCCATTGTTACATGCGTCTGAAACAAATAACTGGTGAACTATTTTTATACCCGACATGGACTGGTGGCCTGATGAGAGTTTGTGGTTCTGGATTAAGCTGTCTTATCAGTTTTTCTTTCCTCTGAAAAAGGCATGACAATCCAACTTTTTCCTTAAAATTTCCTTACTTTATTTTCTCCTTACAGTTTGCAGAGCTCGTAGTCGAGGCAGGATTTCCTCCTGGTGTCATCAACATATTACCGGGAGCCGGGAGCAATATTGGACAAAGAATGGCCGATCATCCTGATATCAGGAAACTTGGTTTCACTGGCTCAACTCCTATCGGGAAACAGATAATGAAAAGGTAGATTAGATAAGGTTTTTATCTGTACTGGTTGATGGGAAAGATGATAAGACCAGTTGATCTTACAGCAAACAATGTTGTATGGATAATTAAGATATTTTACTACATTTTTTCCAAACTTTTTGGGCCGCGGAACCCTGTGTTAGAATTTTATTTTTGAGAGCCTCTCATTCTATGCCACATCAATTCTTGTACTTAACCAACGAGAAAGACTAATTTTTCATTTGCAACACAATCATATATGACTTGTATTTTGTCATCATATTGGGAATAGATGAAAATACTATCTCACACATCTTTCTGATTGGCCTTTCTGACAGCAAATTTCGTCTGCAACGTTCTCACAAAAAGCTGCAATGGCTTTGAACTAAACATTAAAGATCGACTAGACTCCGCTTCCCACCGTTTAAGAATCACCGCTCTACAGCATCTCTTCCCATTCTCTAACGTTGTGTATTTTCATTCAGTGCCGCCCTCAGTAACCTGAAAAAAGTTTCACTTGAACTTGGGGGGAAATCCCCTCTGATTATTTTCAACGATTGTGATTTGGATAAAGCTGTCAGATCGGTGAGTGGGTTTTATGGTTGTACGATAGGATAGAAATAACTGAAACAAAGCAGAAGATTATTTTTTTATCTTTATCAGGCTTTGATAGTGGATTGAGATGTACCGTATTTGCTCGTTTTGTAGCCCGGGCCCATATTTTTTAAGCAAACTCACTATTCAAACCTTATTCAAACCGGCCCTTATTCAAGCGCGGGCGCTTGTTATTTTAAAATTATACACAAAATATATTGTCATTTCCAGTTCTCAAGTATGATTTAAACGAGAATAACGGAAATTTTGACTTTTGGACGCCTAAGGCGTGAGTGTCATCTACCAGCGCTTGAAATTCAACAAAAGCGCTTCTTATTTCCTATTGTTCTCTACCACTGAAAAATCAGCTTTTACATCGGGCGGATATTCGAGCACCGGTCCTTATTTATTTTTATGTTCTGTTCACACGGGCGGCTATTCAAACGGGCCCTTAATCAAGATCGGGCTGTAAAACGAGCATATACGGTAATTGATTAGCGTAAAGTTTCCCAATTGGGTTGGAGGATTATGTAAGGGGGCGACAGCATATACTTGTTCTGCATTGCCTTTTCAATTTAATACACCACGGTGAAGTGGAGACATGGGATATGAAACAGAGATGTGTAGTAAATAAGCCTAAGGTTTCAAACCAGTGGTTCCTAACCTTTTCTCTGGTTTTATTCCTTTCGTTTATTTTCCTCTCTCACTGGGCATGGAAACTATGTACTTTATTTATTCAATCTTTAATGGATCCTTATCTAGTGCAAGTCGCACTTCAGATTTTGTACAGTTTAGATCAGTCGTTTCCAAACTTTTAGATTTGGGACCCACTATTTTTTACCACAGCTTATGGCGACTTATTTACCTTTAATAAATTAATAAAACATTGATGGAGGAAACAAATTTATTTTCTCAAATTGAATTTTCAGTGAAGCTAGTGAGAAAGATGAGCTTGTTTCTTGCTATTTTTCATAATAGACTTGACATTTATTTCAATTTTAGATAGTTTTAGACGTAAAAAATTGAAAAGTTGCAGTTTATTTTGAAATTTGCTTATAAATTTGCTTTGCCACCGATCCTAATAACCAGTATAATTGATCAAAGCTTTCTACATCTTTTCACGACCCACTGAGATTCCTCTTGCGACCCATTGTTTGGGAACCGTTGGTTTAGATAGTTTATAATGCATGCACAAATAAGTTTTATAAAAAGAATAAAGAACTAAAGAATATCAGCAAAAATACATATACTACAGCAAATACAAAAAAAATCTTCCTTAACCTATTTCAGACGCCCAATCGAGCCCAATTTTGAATACCCATTTTTATTAATGTCATACGACCCCCAAAATTTACCCAATATACAATAATTATATACCATTGGAAAGGTATTTTAGAGTACTATACGCTAGATGTCACTGAAGGACCGTAAACTAAAACACCTCTTTCAAGAGGTCTCTCGTAACGTCAAAAAATAACAAAAATATTTACACTCTCTCATTCTATCAGCTGTTGGACGTCTATAGCTATTGTAAAGCTGAAATGTGACTATACAGTTGACTGCACATTGGTTTTCTCTTTCATATGATACTAAACGCTTTTCCATAGCGCGCGTTGTTCAAGCGTTTTGGAAATTTTCCGTTTGAGAAGTCACCACATCGAATCAGGCCAGGCTAAGCTTGATAGATCGATCGGTTGTTTGTTTGTGCTTTATCGCGTTGAAAGCTTTTGTGAGTCATAATAAAACGTTTATTATGAATCATAAAAGCTTATAATCGTCAGACAAGGAGAATTTGCGAGATAAAACGCCTAACTTTTTTTCGGTGAGGCAGCTGCGATCAAACGACTCGATATTTTTATAACTTCCTGACGTTGTGAGATGTCCACTCTCCTATGTTATGTAGCATATAAAATGACCTTCAAAATAAGACCTTATCATAGTAGCTTTTGTTATTGGTTAGCGCGCAACGCCAAGGTTTATGGAATCATTTTCTTGTTGTGCGACGTTTTTATATCGCAGCGGGAAGTACACGCGTGATATGTAAGCGAAATTTTATCACTTCTAAATGTCATATAAGGTTCATTCTCATATTGTTGTGTGGGGAATAAGATTTCCTTTCAAGCAAGACCATAACAAACATTCCAGACCTCATGGTATACACACAGCATTGCAAAACGTCTGAAACGTCGCGCATGCGTCAAACCGGGAGGATTACGTTAAAACTGAAAAATTTCTCATTGGGGAGGGAACCCCGCATGGTTGGAAATGTTTAAGAGTAATATTGTATTTTCAATTTATTTCTAGGGCATGAGTTCCGTTTTCTTCAACAAAGGTGAAAATTGTATCGCAGCGGGACGTTTGTTTGTTGAGGAGTCGATTCACGATGAATTCATTCGCAGAATTATCGAAGAGATAAAGAAAATGAAAATCGGTGATCCACTAGATGCCAGCACAGATCACGGACCTCAGAACCATAAGTACGTTTTCTACAAATATTGCAAAGACTGAATTTTTAATACTATTTCCCATTTTGTGTCATTTTTACTAAACTGGGGAGTGAAATATCGGTGTTGGCTGGGGGATTACCCATTCCAAGCTATTTTTACTGAGACAGGGAGGAAAAATATCATTTCAAATTACAATTCTTGCGAGGTGATTCCCATTCTAAGTCATGTTTTTTGTTTAATTGTCAAATAAGGGCAAACATACAGATTTCACCCGGCCAACACTTGCTACTGTTTCTACTACTAGGCCAGTAGTTTGTCAGCCATTTTTGTTTGTTCGAAACCCCAATGCTATATTCCAGAGGCTTGAGAACCTCGTGCGATAGTTTAATCGTCTCTTATTGTCTGAATTTTATAAACTATAAATATATATATAAAAGCGGACCTGATACTCACAAAAAAATATCTTTGAATTCTAGCAACTTAAAAAATAATGGAAAACCTAACAGGTTTTTGGATTTTTATACAATATCCTAATACAGGATTTGAATGTAAGCTTGGGGAACCCCTGTACTATACTAGCAATACCCATGGGAGCCGCAAAACCCCTGGTTGAAATTCACTGCGTTAGAACATTATACTTCAACCATGCTGCCATCGCAGATTAAATATCTCTGGATCTAATCCTCAAAAATCCCTCTTTTCAGGGCCCATTTCATCAAAAGCCCTGCAAATTTTTTGCTAACTTCAATATCCATCGTTCCAGTGATATATAGACTTGGTACCCTAAATATCCCTTGATGCAGGGGTATACAACCTCGTTAATCTTAAAAATTTCTCTTTACAGGGCTCACCTTCTCAAACTTGTAGAGTATTGCGATACAGGAGTGAAGGAGGGGGCTGAACTCGTCTACGGAGGGAAACGTTGTGATCGACCCGGTCTGTTCATGGAGCCGTCCGTTCTCATCAATGTTCACGACCATATGTACGTTGCGAAAGAGGAATCGTTCGGTCCTGTCATGGTTGTCTCAAAGTTTAAAGATGGGTGAGTTGTTAGTTTTGAGGGGTGATTGTGTCTCCATATGTAGTAGAACAGCCTTGTTGGGGGTGAAAAATGGTCACTCTCGAAGTATGTGAACCAGGATGACAGACCTCGGAACGTAGTATGTGTACCAGGTTAGGGTTAGGCCATAATTTCAGGTACAAATACTACGGGAGTCACTTGCCTAGTCTCTGAACTCGTAATAGAACTAAAATAAGGAAAATTGGAATACAATTATGGTGAAGCTATGATAAATGCCGGCAAAAGCTGACATGCAAATTTCTGAGATTGTTGCGTGTTGTTGTGAAAAATCGCACAGAACTGGTTTTTCATGTATGACAGTTTGAGAGGGTGGAAGGAGTAGCTTGTCTGAGTCCTTGTTCTGATCTACTAACACTCAATTCATTTGCGTGATATTTGGCTGAAGTTTTATCGATTTATTCTATTCAGTGACATCGAGGGCGTCCTAAAAAGTGCTAACGACTCTGAGTACGGTCTCGCATCGGGCGTTTTCACCAACGATATTTCCAAAGCAATGTACGTCAGCGATAAACTTGATGCGGGAACGGTCTTCATCAACACTTATAATAAAACTGATGTTGCGGCGCCCTTCGGTGGATTCAAACAATCTGGTTTTGGAAAAGATTTGGGTGAGTTATTTTCTTTTATCTATCACATGGCGAACCACGGCCTCTGTCTGGTTACCAGTCGATGTCGGATATGGGATTAGTTAGCCAGATATTTGTTTCAGAAGCATGACTTGATGATGGAAAAATGTTGTGACCGACCAACGATTACGTAAACCACCTTACAACAGTGAGGAGATCAGCAATCCTCTCTCACATATTTATCCTTGCAAGGTTTGGACTTGCCAATGGTAATTAGAATGTATCCAACGCTTCAGCACAGAGGTTTCCAAAATCCTAATATACCTCCTTTTCAGAGACTCTTGCGTCTTCTCGCTCTTGAATTTAAAACACCTAGATTTCCCATTTCCACCAGTTATTTCGTATCACACTCGAAAAAATATTAAAAAGACAATAAACTGAGGCAAATAAATAAATGCATTACAGTTGAAGAATCAAACAAATAAACTCTATTTACTTCAAATTATTGCTGCCCTTGTAAATGCTTGTGGCCTAGAGCAGGGCTACTCAACTGGCGGACCGCGGTCCAAATCCGGGCCTTTCGAGTATTTAATTTGGACCGCGTTTGCTTATATATTTTGGCAATATAAGTTTTAAAGTTTTAGATGACTTTGATACGAATTAAATACGCAGCTACCGATGTGCAATATTTGTGTCCATATTTGTGGGCCATTCATTGCTCTTGTATTTAATTTAATATTGCATTTGAAGTCTCGTTTATTCAATGAAATAAATTTTCTGTAATGTCCGGACCCCAGTAATTTTAAAGTTTTTTAAAACGGACCTTTGGTGAAAATAGTTAAGTAGCCCTGGCCTAGTGAATCAGCCTGTGTTCCCCTTATTGAGCCAATTTTGATAAAACCTTGTATAATACAATGCCCATCTCATTAATGACATGTTTGTATTGGCACAGTAGGCGCATCGTGCTAAGCCTTCAGAATGCGCTTGCCATCTTGTGGAAATTGCTGGACCTCTCATTGCCGCAGGGTGGTTTGCATAACCGCTGGTTGGTTACGGCTTCCCATCATGGTCTGGTAATCAGAGGCTGTGGTATGCCATATGATTAAGCTGTCTTATTGGCTTCCTTATCATATCACCTGGAATAAAAAAAATGATAACTTATTCTTACTTATTCAATTCAGGTGAAGAGGCTCTCAATGAATATTTGAAGACCAAAGCTGTCACTGTTGAATATTAGCAGACATTCAGCCATTTTTAGTCCAATTCCAACTACCTTTGAAACCGTTAATCATAAAAGTTGAGCAATATTTTCCAACTTTGCTGGACTCTGTAGAGACTTGTAGTGGAGACTATATAAAGAAGAGAGTGTAGCCGCCATTTTGAGTCTATTTTTTCTACTTCAATTAACTCTGCGGCCATTTATAGTCCATTTCGTCTTCCGGTTTTGACCACCCAATGCAGAGCAGGGGTTTTCAACCTTTATTTTTTCGTGGACTCTTTGAAAGATTCCTAACATAAAATTTATTTTCCATTGTCTATCCCAGCGGGCTGTTGTAAGTCAGTGGTCTTCAAACTTTTCAAGACGAGACCCCATTTCAAAAAATTATTACGTATAAGCACTCGCAACCCCAAGGTATATATGTACACTACAGACAAGAAAACAACATCTAATAAATTGGAAAAAGTATTAAAAAAACAAAAATCGAATCCCATATTCAATCAGTAAGAAGAATGCTACACCCACAATAGAATATTAACATTTGAAGACAACACCGGACACGTGGTGACCCCACTTGGGGTCGTGACCCTCGCTTTGGTGACCACTGCTGTAAGTGATATACTAAATGATGGACCAGTCTACCCAGTGGTTTTCAACCGGTGGTTCTGTGAAACCTAAGACAGGGTGGTTCAAACCTAGGCCCGCTTTATTATCGGTGTCCCGCGTCACATGCGGAGAGTAATCAAAAGATCGCATTTTGTGTTGTTTCGTAATAAAATTATTAATCAGAAAAATCTTTTGACATATTGTTACATCAATAATGTCACTGAATTGACTAGTTTTATGGCTAGCTGAGGCAACTAGCAAAGTTGAATGATGTGATTGGCAGTCTAAATTATTATCTGGCTTTCTATCTTTTTGGTCTGGAATATATGCTAACAATATAGGCATCATAGAAAACTAAAAATCGAATGCGGATTCTATTAGCCTGGGATGGCCGCGTCTGATAACTATGTGTTTGCACAATAAAAGTGTTTGTTATGTATTGCACTGTTTTACCTTGTTGGCACTATTGTGGCCCGCGAACGATGCAAAAATAATTTTGTGGCCCGCGAAGCCGACAACCTTGGACCACCCTGCCCTAAGATCTGTTAGTACAGTCCAGGGGACCTGTGAGTTTGTATTCAAATCTGAGAGTCTTTTATATGGATATTGATTAAATGCAATCAACAACACAGGAATGATGAAATGATGAGCGTGTATCACTCATTTTCAAGTGTCTAGCGTCAAATTGTTTCACTTTTTTGCATATTTTATGGTGACAAATATATTATAATAATTAGTTGCACTGGGGTACCTTGAGCCTCTGGATTGTTTTATTGGGTTCTTCTCCACCAAAATGGTTGAAAATCACTGAGCTAAGGCATTCTTCCGCAGTGGAAGCTTTCGAATTTCACAACTAAGGACATAGTAATAGGCTATGTGGCCATGTTTGGTCTAGTCCAGTGGTTCTCAACCTTTTTTTTCTTGTGGCCCACTTCCGTTGCACAAAAAATTATTCAAAATTAGACTCTTCCATTTCCATAATTAAAATAAAAATTACCATTTAGTAGCTTAGTACAGGATTATCATTCATTGCTACTAAAATCAAAGCTTAAGTAATTTATAACTAACTCATGTAATTTTTAATATGTTTGTGGCCCATCTGAAATGTTTCTGTGGCCCAGCAGTGGGCCATGGCCCACTGGTTGAGAACCGGTGGTCTAGTCAGATGTGGACAAAGTTATTTTTCAAAGACTGCATTCAGGAAATCTTTTTGCAATTGAACACGGTGTGAAAAGTGCCAATTCTTTCACCATATCGTGTAAGTACAACTTTGGTTAAAAATTAATTGTTAAATTGGCACGAATGAGCTGGCTATGAGAAAATTTTTTTTGAAATATTTTGAAATTTTCACTAAGAGCCTGCACAAGTATGCTTTGGTCTGCCCATCCCTAGGTCAAGTACTTTCTTGCTCCCAAAATTTACCTCCACTTGATGTTTATTACTTTAGACTAAATTTTGTAACATTTCCTCAATGTTGCCTCTTAATTTTCATATCATCTCAGGGGACGGAAAGCTACTAAAATTACTCAATCATGGCTCTCCGCTTTAACTGGGATAAATATCGTCTTCTATGATTGAGCCTTCTTATCGCCTTCACTCTGAAATAAATGTGAAAATTCTATGTTTGGGCTGCCTTATCAGATTTCTTATTCCCAGGGGTGAATACCAAGTCCTTTCCGATTTATGAGCAAAGCCATGCTTTCAATGCGTTTTGCCAAACTTTAGTCTTGGTTGTGCCTTTGCCTACTTTCACTGTTTAATTATTGCTTAAGCCGACTAGTTTTCTTTTTTGTGTGAAAAGTAGTAAAGTGGAATTGTCTAAATCAGTGTTCTTCAAACTTTTTTTTCATCGCACACCTACTTGGCTCGGCCCATTTTTTTTGTGACCCCACGAAACTAAAATAAAATGAATTTAATGATTCCGAATATATTAAAAAAAATAGTGAGGCCGATGTGCCTGCATACTCTCGCACAAAACATCGAATCTTAGCTATATTTCGGTCAAGGTGGGTTTCAGTACTGGTTTCAAATATGGTCAATATTTTGTTTTAACACATATCAGAGTCAAAAAAAGATTTTACCACAGACCTTTTGAGCACTTTCGTTTTTTCTTTTAATAAAATATTCTAGATATTGTAGTTTTATTATAGTATGTAGCAATTAATTAGTTGTAGCTAGAGCTCTGCATTTTGAATCAATTAGTAAATTATTCGAATCGATTAGAACCAAAATTTTGAATATTCGACAAATTATTTTAATAAAATGTGACAGAAGTTTGAAAATCAAAAATATTTGTAATTTATACTCAAAACACGCTTTATAATAATATATACAACATTAGCAGTATAACATGGCGGTACTTTGTCATTTTTGCTATTTCCTATTAGCCTCGTTGTGTGTTTTCTGATGCCTCGTGGAAATATTATGCGACATGACAACATTGCAGTTTATTTGTCTGAAGGGAAAGTGGTTCAAAAATTTGATCAAACCCCTCAACTCAAATCGTGAAAGGCATGAGGGGTCACAACCTTTTTTTTTGAAATCTTCTCCTTGCTTATTTTGAAACTTTTATTTGTTCGTTTTTTAATGAAAATATGCGCACTCCTGTTTTTTTCTTTTGTACAGTAGCAAGTCGGACCCCCGTTTTTTATTTTGTACAGTTCGAGTAGTATTTATAAAATGTATTATAGTAAGTAAGTAAGTAAATTATTAAACGGGTATTATAGTAATACTACACAGAAAATACAAAGCCCTCCCCCCCCCCCCCCCAAAAAAAAAACGGGTAAATTCCTCGCTTGTTGGGGGTTGTCAAGCTTTCCTTATTCGGGATGAAATGTGTGATGAATAGATCAAGTGAAAAAGCCCTTAAAAGTTACCAAAGCTAGAGTAGTGCTGTCTTTTACCACGGCCTGATGTTACTTTTTTAAAGCTCTTAGAATACACCGGTAGGTTTTGAAATACAATTTTATTCACACAAAGTAAAAATAATATTTCTGCACTGAAAGTTCAAATTATTTTTCATAAATTCCATTTTTTCAGTTCAGTTCGTGAAAAATAATTGTTCTGGCAAAATATTTTGTCGAAAAATATTAATAATTAGAAACACAACTAACAAATAAAATACCTGATAATGGAAATCACAATAATTCACACACAATAGGAATAAAATGTTAATGGAAAAACAATTTTATTCACACAAAGAAAAAATAATATTTCTGCACTGAAAGTTTAAACTATTTTGCACAAATTAAATTTGTTCAGTTCAGTTTGTGAAGAATAATGTTTTGACAATTTCAAAATAATAATAAAAAACACATCTAACAAATAAAACACATGAGCAAGGTTTAAATGGGAAATCACAATAATTCACACACAATAGAAATAAATCTAAATGAAACTTTCTTGCCCGTTAGGGGAATTTTTGGCGGCCGATAGTGGGGGTGATTAGAAAAATAAAAAAGTTGCTTATTTCAGAGCAACCAATGCTGTAATTGGGTTCATAAAAAGTTAAAAGAATGAATTCCCAAGGGCGTCTACGGATAAATATAAAACTTGCTTATTCCAAACAAGCACAATGCTGTAACCGAGTTCAACTTGAATGTGTTTTATTTTTATTAGAAATAAAATTTTAATTTCATGAAAATCAAAAATACGCCAAAATGAAAACAAAAGTATCAAATCAGACCCAAAAGTTGAGTTGGATATTCGTGAAAGATATCGCAGCAAAAAAACAAAATTAATGCGGTTATTTTATCTGGGAGAAATATCCATCCAAATATATGGGCTCAACACCTGATATGGAGCCTAAAACATTGATAATGGGGCTCTTAGACTTATTGAAATAAATGTGAAAACAATGCTCGAAATATATCAGTGAAGAACAGTTATCATTTGTACTGCTGTTACTGAAAGTGCTTGAAGTGATCTGGAAACGTTCGGTTCGTTAAAAAAGTGAAACGATATATTTCCATCCCAGCCAAAGATGTTTACTTTGTAATTTTTTTAATTTGCTTTATAGTAATTTTGGTTTCGAGTTTTATGAATGAATCTAATTTGCATAAAATGATTTGTCGTAAAATGACGAACTTTACTAAGTCCAGGGCTGCGGAGTCGGACATGTTCAACTAGAGCCGGAGTCTAAGATCTGAATTTGTCATGATTGCAGACTTTCAATAGTAATATAATAAGTCTAAACTTACATATTAGTTCCAAAAGTATCAAATTTACTGATAGATGGATAAACAAAGGTTTATTCATCATCAAGTCATAGCCAACAAATCAAACACAAATAACAAAATTAGAAGTAAAAAGTAACAAAAGTAGAAGAAGGATAATCGACTAACAACGGAATTGATAGGAGGTTGGAAGGATCATACGGTCACTGAATCAAAACAACTCTCCTGGCATAAAAAAGGTTGACAGATTACATTTTATATTATACCAATTATAAAACATTTTATCTTGTTGTAACTAATAATCAAGCAACAAAAGTAATGTGACACATATTGAAACGAATTTAAAATAGAAGCGGCAAGAAAAAGCGTTTAATTTTATATCACACAAAATAAAAACAGACAAACAGAAAAATTATGAATCAGTACTTATTCAGAAAAGACTGGAAATTTCTCTTAGGTTTCCGTTAATATCGTTCCAAATTCTCACACCTGGTACTTTATAGAATTTTGGGCCCGCGAGGATGAAAATCGTGGTACAAATAATCCTCCCTTTCGAGATGAGCGAGTACCATATGTATGTGCATTTTTTGTTGTAACAAAATATTGTTGTATTATGCGAGGGGCAGTGCTATTTACCGCTTGATACATGAGCCTTTCCCGAAAGTTTGTTCAAAAACTGCTGTTGTGGATTCACATCGCTGAGCAAAACAAATGTTGTCTTCACTTTTAGCCACATTCATCATGAAGTAAATTACAACAAAATAGTATATAAATTATTAAACTATTCTAATAGTAACCTGTAATCCTTAAACAGCGACTGAACTTTCAAAACTTGGAATTAGAAACAGCTTGCATTCGCCAAAGTGTTCGTTTGGTCAAAATTTGGGTTTTTCGGAACTTAAGTCGAAATTTTCATCACAGGGAATCGGGAGTCGATTGTGGATTTGCTCAACTTCACTGTCCAGACAAAATACGACGAATATCTGAAAGATTTCCATAGATTTCCATACTTGAAATTTTTAAAATGTTTATAAATTGAAGTTACTGATTCTAAGCCATTATTTTATGAAGTATTGAACCATTTTACATTTCATAAAATAAAGCAAATCACAAACAGTTCAATATACTTCATCATCCACTCGGAAAAATTGTGTTGAAATAATAAATTCGTGAAATGAGAAATAAAATACAAAAATATTTTGTTTGGTGGAAATCTAACAAACGAAATGCAGTTTTATTGAAATTTCTACCCAAGAAAAGTCAGAAGAAAGATTTGAATGGCAAAAGATTACTTTTAAATTCAAGTAGTTTCACAGTTTTTTGGTTTATCAATCATTCAATGGACAGAGTTACAAATCATTTTCACAGATGGCTCCGTAATATGCATTAGGAGAGGCATTATAAATCCCTTGATATTTGTCTTCCTGGTCACGAGTGACAAAAACAACAACAGTTGTGGACGATGCATAGATCTTCGGATAATCAGGATACCAAACCTCAGTTGGCAGAGACATAGCTTGGTCCGTCGTTGAATACAGCTGACCGTTCTGTGAAGTAAAAATATATATTTTCAGAAATGTAGCAAAACCAAATGTGAATTCAAGAATAAGTGTGCTCGCCATCTGTAAATTATGACGTCACTGATCATACTCAGTCATCTGTAAATGAAACGTCACTGATCATACTCAGTCATCTGTAAATGATGACGTCACTGATCATACTTAGCCATATATAAATGATGACGTCACTGATCATACTTAGCCATTTATAAATGATGACGTCACTGATCATACTTAGCCATATATAAATGATGACGTCACTGATCATACTTAGCCATCTGTAAATAATGACGTCACTGATCATGCTCAGCCATCTTTAAATGATTTCATCATTTATCATACCAAGTAATTTTGGAAACACCAGTTGCCAGAAACACAATAAAAATATAGTTCATGTAAGGCCACATAAGCAATCCAGACTCCGCCCACCTCGTAAGTCATTCCCGTACGAACCCAAATCCTTGACATTCCATCAGGAATCATTGATCGTAAATAATCTCGAAGCAGGTTGTAGTGTGTGACGTCATAAATGTTAGCCAGTTTGTTTTCGCAAAGAGATTCAGCGACGCTTGATGTGACGTTCCATGTGCTATAAACAATCGCTCGAAAACATTTTGAATTGTTAACCACGCCACAGTCTGAAAACAAATTAGTGAGTGACTTGAAACTATTTTTTATTCATTTTTATACATGTTATTCGCCTCAACTCAAACGAATTTTCCAATCAGCAATATATTTACAGTTATACTGGGCAAGGGGAATCGCGCGGAACCAAGACTTGTTATCGAGCAGCGACACCCAAGGTTCTAATATCTAATTCACGAGGTTAGGTGCTGCTAAATTTCATGGGAGAGGTGGAGGATATAAAACTAGAAATGTGAGAACAACACACGCCCGTGCTTAACACAGACCGCCTAACTCGTAGTGTCGCTAAACAAACTACTAAGCTTTCCTCTCATTCAGAGTGAACAAAAAAATCTAACCTGTGGTCGTAGTCGACTCCTGGAACGATCTAGTGGAAGCAATAGAAGTGATTGATCGAGTTGTGAACACGTTTTCAATCACAGTCGTTGTTGTGACGTCAAGATCTTTCTCTGCGCGGTAGCTAGATGACGTAACGGCTTTCGTGATGTCATCACCTTTAGTAGTGGCAACGAAAGTCGTGCCATCCAGATCATTTGGAGTTGTTGCGTCAAACTTGGCGACTTGGGTTGAATAAACCTCGTTGCCATGGGAAACTTCGGTTGTTATGGTAACCTCATCGATCTGTTTGTCCAGTAACGCGTTTTCCAGCTTTTCAGCCAATTTTTCTCTCAACTCTGTGCAAAATAAAAATTACGTGTTTTCCAATTTCTACTTTACTGTTGAGTACAGTATTCCACGAACCATAGACACACAGCCAATAAATCGCTTATAATGAGTTTTATCTTCACATAAGTCGCTGATCGAAATAGCTCATTCGCTATATATATATGCTCATTATTGACAACTTTTAAATTCCGGTTTTTAAAAAATTAAACCCCAATCGTGAATATGAGATAAATGTTTTATGAAAGCAGAATGTTTCCGGTATTATTCCGATAATTAGAGTCAATCTTAATCAGGGCAGCCTACGGCCCACGGGACAAATCCGCCTCATTGGGTAAATCAGTCTGGTCCGCCTGATGCCGCCACAACCAACATAAACAAAATTTTGATGTTTGTAAAATTAGCTGAACAATAGCTCAAGAAGTTTGTTGAGATTGTGATAAATTTAGTTTTGGCACGAGGCTTATTGTTTTTCACTTTTGCTTTTGTAACTCTGTAAATATTGTTTATAAAATGTAACTTTTTACGTCACACTTACATGGCCCAACCAGGCTAGGTGGGCGAAATATTTGGTCCCTGGTTCAAAAACCCAGCCCATCCCGTTCTAAGTCTAAGACCAATTAAACACAGTAAAAAACATTTTTGTTCCCATCTTTAACCTAAATTTTCTTTTGACATGTATCTTCAGAAAATCACCTTAATATAACCCGATTCGTCTTGGAATTATACGATAATTTGATAATTTATAGGCTTATACAATAATTTATAAAATGAAAAATTTGCATAATTCTTCAAGCCAGATTATCTAAAAGATTTTAATTTCACAAATCACAAAGTTGCCTATCTCTAAATTTACTTTATAAGTCAGAAATAACGTAGTGGGTTAACCCGTAACTCACCTTTCTCATTCTTTGCCTGAAAAATAAAACAATAAAGTTGAGTCGGCTATAAAAAGGTTAATTATCTCCAAAATAAGCTATGATTACTCACCGTGATCGTTTCCTCCTGTCGGTACGGCTTCATCATTGCACTGCCTCTGAATTGAACTCTAACAGAAATATCGACTGCAAATGCAAAAATGGAATAATTTCAGCTGATTGTTGAACAGGGATGGAGAAATAAATTTTAGCATCGCATGTTATGTGTAATTGCATCAAACAAAGAATTGCCGACGGGCGACAACCCAATACACCAGAAAATTAAATTTATAGAGCCTTTCTTGAACCATATAAATTGATTGATAAAAACTCCGATGAATTCAAAAATAAGACTCGGCTCATGGCTATTGAATATAAGACCCCAAATTTGAGTGAAATTTAATTTTGAAAAACTTCGAATGATTTGAAAATGCGGGTCCGACTCTGGATAACAATGTTTCTGTTAAGGCAGAAAAAACTTTTTTGTTTTCAGTTCTTACCTAAATTTCCTTTAGCGTTATTACTTTTAAAATTTTGATTTGTGAAAATGAAAGGGATTGTCCTAAAATCTGTTTTTATTGTGATATAAAATAGCATGAAACTTTCAGTACTTCCAAAATACCAACCGAACGCAACCGACGTACATTCGCATTCCTAGAACATTCTGACAAAAACCTATCAATGATAAAACAGTTCACCTGTCGTGACGAATCCAATGCACATGACCAGCAGCTTGAAGGCTTCCATTGTAGATTGATTTTATATTGGAAGCCTGAAATTACTCTCCTCGTGGTTGCAAGTAATTCTTTTAGCAATGCTATTTTCACTGAGACCTATATTTGAGTAAACATAGCTAAACTAACTTCAAAACATTGCGACCACAAATGAAAGCCTGAGTGAAAATAAAATACTAACTCCTGTTGCCGCTTCCTAATTCCACAATGTCAAAAAGTTTGTAATTTCAATGTCATTTCCGTGTAATACGCAAGTCCATCAATGAATCATACATGGCCAATGGATGATTGTATCCTAGTTAGTGTTCATATTATTTCGTCATATACCGTAATGTGTATGGTGACATCATAGCTCATTATTTAAATACTTCCGCGTATGGATTGTACCTGACGAATACCCACCCATTAATTTGAACGCGCGATCTAATCATGCTGAGCGTGTGGAACCAATATTCCCTTTCATTGCTGATTCGCCCGTTTGAGTTCAATTATGTAAAGAGGATTGCTGGACTCCTCGTCGTGTCAGAGTGATTCCCAGTGCTGGATTAACTATTAGGCAAATTTTTCGGGCACCAAGGCAAACGGGTCACCCTCACCACAGAAATTCCATAGATGAATTCCCAATGGTTCCTCAGTGTTAATCACATAATTCTAGTTGGCCAGACGATTCAGATCTCAATATTAACCAGGTTGAAATGAATTTTTTGCTCCTTTTTTCATTTTCATCAATGTTTGTAATGTAATAAGGCATGAGAACTCTTGTAAATTAATTAAAACTTCAATTTGTAAACTTTTAACTTGTAAAAAATTAAAATTTAGTAATGAATACCGAACTTATTTATTCAATCTCAGATAACACGAAACACCAGTTCCATTATTTATACATAGCCTGAAGTGCTTATTTCATATAAAAAGGATGGTCGGCCTTGGTGGTTTCCATAAACGTTGGCTGATACGACTTCTTTACCGCCAAAGACTACTTGAAACAATATAGGTGAACTAATCCTATACTCGACCTAAAGTTATAACCGTACATAGCGTATGTTGTCGTATAACATTTTCTCAATATTCGTACATACATCAAAATCCTAACACTAATATTTACTAGTGAAACATACAAAGAACACCTAACTTATTTAGGCTAGCTACATCAGCTTGACATGCTCCACATAAATTGCCCTACTGGTTCTGAATCTTTCAAATTAGATCAATGTTTTTTTTAAAAGGTATTGATTTTAAAAAGATTTTAACGCAATCCCCATTACACCGTTTAGTTGCGCTATCCCCAGTTGGAAGAAGACTACTGAAACCATTCTTTAAATAACCCTTTACCGCAACCCTCATTGAAATATTTTGTGACCCTTCTAGGGAAGAGAACCCCAGTTTGAAGCTTCCTGCTCGAAGCAACCTTTCATTCTACCACAGATACAAAAACACATGTTCAATCCATGAAGCAAAAGAATCTTTAAAGCAAAAAAAACAATCAAAAGCAGTTAAAGTTCTCATTTTTCGCTAAAATATAAAAAAATAGAAATACAGAAATCTGTTTAAATAGTTCCCTGACAAAAACAATTATGATGGCATATGCGCATGTCATGATCATTGTGACACAAACAAAAGAAATCAATTGTGAAACCCCAAAGAATCATTGTGACAACACAAAAACACAGTCACAAAGAATTGTGATATCATCGCTTTCCTGCCATTCCAATTATTTTATTTTTCAAAACTTCAGCGATGTCACCATCAAGTTTTTTGAACTTTAAACTTTGACCCTTGACCTCTTCACGACCTTTAACCTCATCGTCAGCATCATTGTAGGATAGGTTAACATCAACCTCTGAGTCACTGGATTGCTCCAAACTGTTATCGATTATTTCTTCATGCACCGGAGCCGAGCGTAAATATTTGAAAATCGAGGCCTGCAGAGAAGAAATTGTAATTTGAGCAATTATCCTTAAAAAGAGGAAAGTCAATGGATTGATTTAAAATGCAATGACCCATGACCTCTTGTCACGGAATATTTTGAAATATTGATAAATTTAATTCTATACATAGTCATCTGGCATGAGCAGAGCGACGGATATTCGAACATCAGACGTCGTAAGAATATTTATTCGAACCCCAAGACGAGTGTGCCAAAATTGGTGATACAGCAAAATGGAATTTTATAAGTACACATACGTACGTCCGTACGTGCCACATACGGATCCGAAGTAACAAGTAATCAAGGAGAAAGGACCTGCAGTTCAATACACAATATCCAAGTTCCCCTAGCATTTTATAAGTAGTTGAAATAATATTACCTTATTCTTCTTTGGAGCTTTCTGGATGAGTAATCGCACATTCTTCGTGAATAAACTGAGTTCATATTTTACTTGTGACTTGTAGATGGCGCCATTGTCTCGTATTCGCTTGTTCATTGTTCGTAGAATTGTACTGAGGCGCTCTAGCACAGCCTGGTGGATGAAATTGAGATTAGTTCATGAAAGATTTATTCAGGCTTAACTCAATCATCATGCGTTCAGTTCAAGCCAGGTATAAGTATGCTTGACTCATTACCGCATTCAGGATTTACATTTTTATCCCGGATGAGAGGGAAGCTGATAGGACGGCTTAATCATATGGCGAACCACGGCCTCTCGTTCGGTTACCCGTCAATGTCGAGTATGGGATTAATTAGTCAGTAATTTGTTTTCGGAAGCATCAACTCGATGGTGGAGGAAGCCGTGACTGGCCGGCGGTTATGTGAACCACCCTATGACAACGAGGAGTCCGCATTATCGCGCATGGTGGGTGCAGTGGCGAGGGAGTTCCTAACCTTGAGCAAGACGCGCCACAGCGTCGAGGATATAACAGAACATAAGGAGCTGTAACTTTTTTATTGTAATGAGCCCTGCAGACACTTAACTACTCAAAAATAGCATATATCAATCAGACAGTTCGGTGAGAATTCACACACAATATGAAACATGCTCCATCAATTAATCCAATTTCAAAAACATGATCTAAAAAACGGCAGAATCAACTGACAATTGGTGAACGAATTAAAAACAAGATGGCGGCGATTTGAAATTTTCAGTCTGAATTGATTTCAATAATTGAATATTCGATTTGAAATGCCCTATAAATGAATTAAAGAAGCTTTATTTGTAAGAAATCTTACCAGTACAGTCCTGTTCTTGCACTCATCACCAATGCAGATGTTGAGCAGAGGTAGCAGTAGGCTGAGGTGATGGTACGATCTCTTCTGGCTTCCGATTGGTTCAGCAGATTCGTCAGGTAACAACAACAATTCAATGTTTTCCGGATTCAAGTGATCCACGATGTCAACTAGAGCCTGGAATATATCATTAGTGGTTAGACAACGCTCATAGTGGCAGAATATTATGACCTCTCCTAGCGTGTCATCACATATACATGGCTGCTTGTACCGAGCCTTATATAGAGTGAAATAAGAAATGATTCATGAAAAATATCCATGAGGTTGTTTCCTTGACAGTATAAAGCTTACATGGACGAACTACAGCCTGCATGCCAAATCCGACCCGTTGGGTAATTCAATCTGGCCCGCCTGATGCTGCCACAACCAAACTTGAACCAAATTTTGCTGTTTCAGCTAAAAAATAGCTCAATGAATTTGTTGTGATTGCGATTAAATTTTGTTTTGGCACGAGGCTTATTGTTTTCCATTTTTGCTTTTGTAACATTGTAAATGTTGTTCATAAAATGTAACTTTTTACGTCACACTTACATGGCTCACCAGTCTGGCTGGGCAAAATTGTTGGTACTGGGTCAACCCCCAATCCCCCCCCCCCTTGATATAGAATTTGGATGTTTCAAGTCCAGCATTAACAAATGCTTACTGACACCTCTCACAAGTTACATCAAATTACTCAAGCATGCCAGGGTTTTCATATTTTTTAGTTTTTCATCCAATTTGCAGACCAGGGTCCTAATTTGAGTTTGCGACATGCGACAGACTATTGCTGTTGGAGTCATCAAGGAAACTACCAGAAAGGCCGGGGATGTGAAAGAAACCAAGGCAGCAGCTAAGGCCAATAAAAAAAAAAAGGAGCAAAGGAGTGACTGGAAGCATTTGGCGCCCATCAATAGCCTAAACCTAAACTCTCATATCCCTGAAATGTCAACAAATAATCAAACCTCAAGATCCGCATAATTATCCAGAACGGCTGTCCTGCTTTCCTCTCCGAAGACGTGAATCCTCAAAGTTGCAAAAGATATCAGCTTGCTTAGTTCATGCAAACGATCGCCATGGAAACGGATTTTTTCTGCAATATCAGCAACAACGTTCAACTGAGGATAGAGCTCAACCAGACGTCGAGTTATGGTGTATTTCTATAATGAAAAAAATACACAAATGATGTCTGTCGTGAACCAGTGGTCGGCAAAATTAATATACAACTGGGCCAAATATACATATTTCCGGTAGCGTGTGGGTCGCAATTATTCCTGTCTATTAACAATCGTCACATTACCTTCCAATTCTGATGCATCTGCAACTCCTGACGTGTTTCCCCAAAAATAGGACCTAGTCAATAACGCAAATTTTTTTTGACCTAGTCGATACCGCGAGAAATCTCTCCTACAGGTTTTAAATGATTACTTATTTATGTTTAGCAGTTATTTTAAAAAGAAACGTGTTATTTATAATTAAATGAATATTGGTTTTCACATTTTGTATATTTGAAAATCTCACAACTCTCTAACTTGTAATTTTATTTTGACAAATATATATAAAAGATCTCCACCCAAAATAAGCCCCAGTGTTATTATCTGAAGGAAAATTAAAATAAGACCCTTATTTTCTGGGAAACACAGTATTTCTGTGATAATTACAACTAACTGTAGGCAAGTTTGCAAGTAATTGACAACTGATATTCGCTCCCGCTACTTCTACAATATGCTGTAAAACAGCCATTGTTACGACATACATCCGCAGATAATATATTTATAAGCAATTTTGTTTTAAAACATTCATCATCTCTGAGCAAAGTTACAAGTGATCACCAAAATGCCGAGAGCAATTGAGATAATATAGGATTATAGAAGATTTTCGCGTCAACACTTACATGAGATTGCCAGTTCTTCAATCCTCGTATCAGAATCTCCAACATCTCCTCGATGTCGCCCAACCAATGGATCAGTTTCTCATCTTGCATCAGCAGAAGAAGAAAAACCGCAAAGTCTGATTTCTGGTGAGACGTAAGCGTTAATGGATGAACATGGATTGTTGTGCTCAGGACCTGTGGAAGAGAATTGGGATTTAGAGACACATACACACAATGAGGGCACAAATAGATACAATGTGTGTGCACATACACACAATGAGGGTACACATACACACAATGAAGACACAAATATATACAATGTGTGTGCACATACACACAATGAGAACTACACATATACACAATGAGGGTACACATACACACAATGAAGACACAAATAAACGCAATGAGGTATACATGACCTAACAGCAGTACACATAGAAACATGGAATCCCTACCACCATTAAGTGATGGTGAGTTCTAGCCACTACTCAAGTATTCCTCTGCCTTCTCTGATATCTGAATTATGTTGTTGGTTTTGTGCTTATAAAAATGAAGCAATATGTAATCCCATCTTGTGTTGAGTAGAAGTCCTCAAAACCTTCATTGCTAGTCAAATCGAGTCATGGATAATAATCATGGAGTCGCATTAGTGCCCAGTTGATAATGAGTCGGAATCCTGGTATTTAGATCTGTGCTTCTCAACTTTTTCATTTCGTGACCCACTTTTATTGTTATTTTTCGTGCGACCCACGATGAAATGTGGATATATGAGAAAAGAGACAATGTATCTAGTATTACTGCGGAACTTGATCTTGCATATTTGATACTACCAGATCAAGTCTAATAATGACGCATGATCATAATTGTTTCATAATTGTTACGTAATGATAATACCTCAATTTCCCGATCTAATAGAAAACTGTATGACCACTGATTTGGATGAGTAGGGCCACTTTGAGCCTTTGATAAATTGCAACTCGAGTCCAACTCAAGTAGAGTCAATAACTCAAGCCCCCCCCCCCCCCAAAAAAAATTTCAAGAATGCACGAACCTTTACTATTCCCATCAAGCTCTTTGATGTTTTTCTTCGTCTTCTCTTCAGACAATTCTCACATATGGAAGAGTCAATGGGTCTGCAATACAGAATTGTTGATCTTTAGGACACATAAACAATGTGGGAGCAATTGACAGAAATTGAGAGACACATGCTGCAATCAGCTCACATAGAATCGAGGAACATAGACATAACCAACCAATGTGAGAGCAATAAGCAGAAATTTAGGCACATATACTGCGATCAGCTCACATAGAATACGAACACATAGACAATGTGAGAGCAATAAGCAGAAATTCAGGCATATATACTGCGATCAGCTCACATAAAATAAGTGCACATAGACAACTTGGGAGCAATTAGCAGAAATTGAGGCATACATAGACATGAATAAGAATGCACACATATATAGTCACAATTGGGATGACACATTAAGAGCAACTTGGACATTCAGGAAAATTAGCTCTGTTTTATATGCAACATATTAGCACAAACATTGCAGTGGGAATTTGGACAAAGCCGTAAACCAGAGATTTTCAACCAGGGTTCCGCAAATTTACATTTAAATGCGAGAGTCTACATTATCATATGCATATGAAATATGAGGAAACATATATTGGGCTTGCCACTATTTTAAAACTTGCATCGTTTTGGCTGGAAATTAAGAAAATTTAATAATAATTTCAGGCATTAGTCCTATTATACAGGCAGTTTATGTGGAGCCTTGCTTGGAGCAGAGCAATGATTCAAGGAATTTTACTATCAGTTGGGATTGCACGACATTAAGATCATTTCGTTTTGCCAGAACTTCAACAACCATATTGAGTGCCCGTTCAAAGCCTTATTCAGAGAGAAGATAGGGCTCACCAAAGCGAAACCAACTGCACTTACTCTTCTTTTATTACTTTTTCCGTATTTTTATTTGAGCTGAATATTCTTGATTCGATTCCTGATGAAGTCAACGCAGTTTTCAAACTTGAGTAATTGAAAGGTGATTGTTTGAAATCTCTCTCCCTGAGACTTGATTGGATTGCACGTTGAATTATGTCGGGATTCGAATGACAAGGCATAATCTGAAACACAAAGATGGTTTAATAATACGGCACCCTCTTGTCTTGCAACCTGTCGGGTATGGAAATATTTTATTGTCTAAGATATGCAGGTTTGAAATTTAGAAGTTATTTTTCAATACTTGGATAAAAGTTAATATATCAGCCTATGTGGCAAATTGTGACCTCTCGCTTGGTTACCAGTCCATATAGGTATGGTATGAATATATTTTATTATTCGAGATATGCAGACTTGAAATTTATTAAATAAATTTTTTATACTTAGATAAAAGTTGATAAGACGGCCAAATCATAGTGAACCACGGCCTTCCGTCCAGTTACCAGTCACCAATATATCATCAACCAATCTCAAAATGTCAAACCTCGCGTTATGGACCTGGCTGACAATTTCGAACCGCCCACAAAATAACAGATCCCCGGTCAGAATGAAACACTGTATTCACCATATAACAGTCTCTCACAGATCAGCGGCTTCCTGTTCAGAGCCAAAACTTTGTTCAGCATTTACTATATAACAGACAAACCCACCTCTAACAGCCATTGGTAAGTCTGCATCCTCGTATCAGACTCGCTCAGAAGAGACGAGAGGAACTGAAGTTGTTGCTTCACGTTTGAACCTTTGATGCTGAAAAAGGTAATGAGACTCATGGTTAGGGCTGCCATAGCGTCCTTTTTTTCTGAAATTTGTCCTTTTTGACACGAGTCCTTATTTTTGATACATTTCAGAGGTAAAGCAGGGTACTTAGATTGGTCAATTTGAATGATTGATTTAATAGAAGCGATGTTATAACCTTATTGATTGCTACACACATTCATAACGAAAGTGAAAGTGAACTTAGAAGTGAGCTGCAGTGAGATGGAACAAATAGTTTTTAGGAAAAAAGAACTGCTGGAGCAAATCCTATCAAGTATGATTAGACACAGTCGCTGTGGCATGAATACACTTCGTTCTTTGTTATATTATTATGTTTCCCTGATGTCCTTATTACTTATCGATTTTATTCGGTATGTATGTTGATAGGTATTTGTCTGTATGTCTGTCTGTCTGTTAGATGCACGCGATATCTCACAAAAGCGAGATTGAATCTGCTGCAGATTTTGCATGTGCATTCATCATATGTCGGACCAAAAGCCTATTAATTTTGGATGAATTATGTCGTTTAATTAGCGAGTTATTAATTAATTAGTGATCAAGTGATCTAGATTTTTGTAAAGCGAGAGAATTTTGAGATCCGCCAAGTGTGTGTGTGCGATGCGCACTGCGCAAGTTACAAGAGCGGATGAATCGAAACCGCAGTTTCTGTTTTGGGGGATCCCCTAACTCTCGATCGATAAGTCTTCGGTTTCCAACCGATATTCTCGTTTTTGGGTTAATGTCGATGGCAGTCCTGTTCATAGTGCTGAGTTTTACTAATGAGGTGCTTCAATTTGTGTTGTATTAAGTTTAGATGCCATTTGGCGAGTGGTCAAAGTGTCGTAATGGACGTTTCCACGACCCCAAATAAATTCTCCCTATACTTTACTATAGCAAAATTTGTTACGCCTATTTTGAAGAGTGGATGCTATTTTTGAAATAACTTTTGAACAAGCTTATTTTGGAAGTTTAGAACCATCATTTTTTTTTGAAATATTAACCAATGTAGTGATAGCTAATTTTAGCCTAGTCTATCAGAGTTTTTCAGGACTAATTTTTAAATCACTTGGTATATGAAAAAAGCTTTGAGCATGCCAAGCTAACCTCATCACAACTTTTCTTGTCTGTGGCGACAACGCTTGAAATGATTTGTGTGAAAACCAGCTCTGTAGTACCATCGAGTGATGACAACAATCCAATCTCGAACTCCTAAATATCTTGCTGCATGCTGACAAGCGAGGCAATGTTCCCCAGTCTTTCTTCATCAGGTTTATGGCTCTGTTGTGAGAAATAATAAATGATTTAGAAGCCTAGAAAAATAGTAAATGATTCAAATCCATGAGAATTAAAAATGATGAATATTGATAAATAAATTGAAAGTTTCAGAAAGTAATACATGATCCGAGAATAAAGAATTATGTTTAAATTTTGTAAAAAATAGTAAATGATAAAAGTCTCGAAAATTAATAAATGATTTAAAAAGTATAAAAATAATAAATGATATAAAATAGAATAATGATAATGATTGTTATAAGTCTCATAAGTGATTGGTGATTTGAGGAAATTAATTATTTTTTGAGTTTGTCAAAAAAAACTATTTGATATCACATGGAGAGTTATATGAGAAAGCTTGGCAACTGTAAAGTTAACTGATGAAAGATGATGCTTAAATATAAGAACACAAAGGCCAAAACAAAGTAGTAAATGTATGCAATATGTCACAGCAAGCTACTGCTACAAAGAGAGTAATTTTTTATTTTGATGACATCATCGCAACATGGAACAATAGTCAACAATGTGTGGATCATTACTTATCGATTTTAATCGGTAAGTATGTTGATAGGTATTTGTATGTCTGTATGTTTGTCTGTTAGATGCACGCGATATCTCACGAAAGCAAGATTGAATCTGCTCCAGATTTTGCATGTGCATTCATCTTATCTCGGACCAGTAGCCTATTGATTTTGGGCGAATTATGTCGTATAATTAGCGAGTTATCAATCAATTATTGATATAGTGATCTAGATTTTTGTAAAGCGAGAGAATTTTGAAACCCGCCGAGTGTGTGTGTGCGATGTGCAGTGCGCAAGTTACAAGAGCGGATGAATCGAAACTGCAGTTTCTGTTTTGGGGGATCCCCTAACTATCGATCGATAAGTCTTCGGTTTCCAACCGATATTCTCGTTTTTATTTTTAATTGTGGGTCAGAGCGAATTTTGAGACCCGCCGAGTGTGTGTGTGCGATGCGCAGTGCGCAAGTTACAAGAGCGGATGAATCGAAACTGCAGTTTCTGTTTTGGGGGATTCCCTAACTATCGATCGATAAGTCTTCGGTTTCCAACCGATATTCTCGTTTTTATTTTTAATTGTGGGTCACGATCCCCTTTGTTTGAGAACCACTGCTTTGCATTAACATCAACTTTAGTAAAGTTATGAAGCAGATATACCTCTGAGTGTCTTCATCACATTCTGTATGTTTCGAACCGGCTTCCCCTCGTTCAGCCCTTTCCAGCGTTTCCCTGAATCCTCCTTTCTTTAATTCAGAAAGAAGAATTCTTTCCATCTTGTCAACTTCATGACTGAAAAATTAGAACGATATTCTCATAAAATTTGTGAGGGAGTTGACATTTTCTCGAATGTAAATGAGCAACAGAAATTCTCTGCTTTTTTATATTTTGCGAAATCCAACTCAACTCAACTTCTTGGAGGGGTAAAAGAGTACAATTTTGTCAAAATATTTTTCGCTAAAAATGATCCTATGTGTCATATAAAGTGTTCCCATGTGTCATATAAGAGTGTTCCCATGTGCCATATAAAAGTTTTCCCATAAAAAATTGTTTTAAGGTGTCATAATAGGTGTTCCTAAGCGCCACATAAGATTATGCATATATATTCGCGTTCCTGTAAAATAAAACAGTAAAACTTATCTGTTTTGGAAATGAATAATTTTTCATAAAAATTTCCAAGACAACAACAGCAATTTAGGGAAACAATCCTTGTGCAATATCTGTAACAAAAGATCCACCATTGCCATTACCCCTCCCCAACTGTGCCACTGTATAATAAAATATAAAAACACAATAATCTTACTCTTTCTTTTTCTGCCGAACAAGTTTTTTCAACGATGCTCCGTGATGTTTGTAGCTTCTTGAGAAAGCTGTGTCGTTCAGGATTGCCTGCAATAAGAGAAAAATATTTGTGAGTAACAGCACAAAAGTTAGGCGCACTCACTCAAAAGTAAAGGAGACTCATGTCTGTGTAAAGTTACAAACACTCAATCAGAAGTAAAGGAGACTCATCTCTGGGCAAAGTACAGGCACTCACTCAGAAGTAAGAGAGACTCATCTCTGAGCAAAGTTACGGGCACTCACTCAAAAGTAAAGGAGACTCATCTCAGAGCAAAGTACAGACACTCACTCAGAAGTAAAGTAGACTCATCTCTGAGCAAAGTACAGACACTCACTCAGAAGTAAGAGAGACTCATCTCTGAGCAAAGTTACGGGCACTCACTCAAAAGTAAAGGAGACTCATCTCTGAGCAAAGTTACGGGCACTCACTCAAAAGTAAAGGAGACTCATCTCAGAGCAAAGTACAGACACTCACTCAGAAGTAAAGTAGACTCATCTCTGAGCAAAGTTACGGGCACTCACTCAGAAGTAAAGGAGACTAATCTCTGAGCAAGACACATGCAACCATTGGGAGAAATAGTTATGATGGCGAATTCATTGAAATTTAAAGAAACACTCACAGTATAAGAACGTTGATTCCTCAATGTTTTGATGGTTTCCGTACTTCGGTTCCGCTTCCTTGGGTTTCTGGGAGACCTAGGGGCTGCTCGCGATAGTTCATCCAGGTCCTGCAACACAAATAAATAGAAAATGAAGTCCGCAAACACAGTTGCAATTCACGAAGTTACTCCTGGCCAAGCAACTCGCAAGGCAACTAGCAATAATGCTGGTATTTTCCATATTTATTTTTGAGAGGCTCGGCTAGTTAAAAAAGCCAAAGCGTTTTTTTTATTATATCTATTGTGAATATACTTTATAGCATAATCAATTCATTTTTCTAGATCACAACCTTCGCATAAATGATATTATCGCCCTCCATGTGGAGAAGCTTGCGGCCTACTGTACCGAATTTCTAACAAAAGAGCATGAAGTCGAAAGCAACATGGTTGCTAGCCCGAGAATGAGTAATTGTTCCAAACTAAAGATTAGAAAGCAGTGTCGGGCACGACCCCCTAACTTTGAGTCAAGTTGAGTCACAAGTCTAGCACCACCAAGTGAGGTAAAGTGAAGTTGACCGGAGTCCAATATTAGAAGCGGAAGGATATTAGCGAGCAGGGAGAGTGGAGCGAGAGTTAGGTATAATTTTTAAAAATATACAAATGCTAAAAATGTGATAATGACATAACAATTGGAGGTATCTGGAACACAAAAAGGTAAAAACATAGTGTCAAACTATTTCACATAAGTTGGGCAGGCAATTTATATTGCTCACGAGTCGTCATTAGCCCATGAACATCAGTTTCAGGGGGTGTGGAGTTGATTGAAAAAAAATTTGTTCTTGCCCGCTTTATTTTGGATATTTACATTTCTATATGGTTTAGAGATTGCAGAGAGCTGTTGTGACAAATTTTCTTCGTTTTTAAAAGTTCATTTATTTCCTTATTTACGTTCCATCGACATATTTTCAACATGTTTTTAAATAAAACATACTTTCGCTTTACTATATGTGATTTGTAGCTTATTGTTAGCTAGTTAGGAGGGGTGCCCGTAACCTGAACCAATAAGTGTAGCCTCCCAAACACTGTCTGATAGTATAGCAGCTACATAAACCACCATAGGGCTCATAATTATAGTTATTCCTTAGCCCAGGGGTCGGCAACCTTTTGTCGCCCCGGGCCAAAATAAGGGTTGCAAGTCATCGGCGGGCCACACATATTTTTAAAAAAAGTTAAAAACCGAACGAATTATACTTTTTATAATAAAAATCAAGCAGTGATACATCTCTCGAATAGGATATAGATTTATTTCCTCATTGCATTGCATTTTTGGCGCCATTGAACTCTTTGTACTTAGCATCAACTTTTCTGCGTTTTGTTGCCATCTGTCTAATTATAATTAAACTATAGGCTCATTAAACGAGTAATTGTGAATTTTATACTTGTAAGATTATATTATAATTTAGTCTACACGCGTCTCACAGTGAATTATGTAACATGAAAAATATAATGGTCAAAACAGCTGTTTTGTTACTATAATTCAGTAAAGCATCGCGGGCCGGATTAAGTTCCTCCGCGGGCCAAATTCGGCCCGCGGGCCGTAGGTTGCCGACCCCTGCCTTAGCCATAAAAAGCACTTACTCTGATCAATTGCGAACCATCTAATGAGTCATGGGTGGGCGACTCCAACAGTGATTGGTTAAACTGGTCACCCGCCCCTCTTGTCATCAGCGAATGACTAAGCAGCTGTGACATCATCTTCTCTGTCCGCTCTATATTGTTGAGTGTCGGGCTCTGGAAAGAAATATTAAAATTCTTTACTAAATTTTCACGAATCAATGTGTCAGTGCTGCCCCTCAGTAGGTTTATGATATGGTAAAAAAGTAAAAAGAAAGAATTAAAATGGACTTTCAAAATTTCCAAAGTATGAAACAACATTTGTCACAAAGAATCTGATTATTTATGAGAATTTACTTAGGGCAACTAAAAAATACAATACATACTCTTATACAAACCTCCATAAATTTTCTTCTTTTTCTTGGCGTTTCAGTCAATTCCGGAAGTTCATCAAGGCAATCTTGAAAAAGAGAATAAATTTTACTGAAATAGGTCAGTGGTTTCCGAAGGGTGCAGAGTGTGCCGCAAAAATTAACAGAATTTTGTTAAAACATAAATAAAATATGATCAAATATTTTACATATTGTATTTATTATAAATGTTTTATTGTTCCATATTTTAAAAGCAGTGTATATTAATAAATGTAGGTCGACACTACTTGCTGCAATTTCTAAAGCTGTAGTTTGTTTATCTGCTGGAACGATCTAAGCAAACATGAGGAAAAAGTTTGGGAACCACTGGCCTAGGTATAAAACAGTGTTTCCCAACCTGAGTCCGCGGAGCGTTTGAATAAGTCCGCAACTGGCCAGAAATTCACTGCGGGCCGCAAACGATTTCACGAAACTCAACTATCAGCAAAGTTATAATTTATGTTAGAACTAAATAAAACATAAATAGCAAGTTTATTCACATAACATTAATCGAGCCAATAATCACTGGATACTGAGTATGGTTGGGCATATATTCGAATATTCAACTATTAGAATAGCAATTTACTATTCGAAAATTTGATAACAGGTGACGCGTGACTTGCAGGTAACAGGTCACTTGCGCTTAATTAATTGAACGATTGGATTTTACACTTGCAGATTTCCGACGAAAACACGAGTCGGCACACACGTCGATAGATACATAAGTGGCGTTTCTCGCGAGCCTCTTGTTTCTCGAACAACGAGGAATGATTTTTTTCCTGGTAGGTGTCAGTGGTGGCAACCTAAATTTTCTAAATTGAAAACCCACAATACAAAATACTAAAAATAAAACGAAGAACACCATAAGTTTTGTTCTATGATGGTCCTTGACCGATTAAAAACGGATTTTGGACATTGTAAATCGCAAAGTTCGGGTTCTAAAGTAGTATATGTACCAGGGCAATTTCCCTCAGGATTCTTTGCTTTACTGCCCTCACATCGGTACGTATAGTACTGGAGCGCCGTAAGTGTTGTACAAACAGCTCAGATTTATCGATTCACAAAAATACAAATCAAAACAATATATAATCAGGCACTTTACCACGCATTTTTGTGTCCACGGATTGTCATGATATTTTCTGAATAGTATTGCTTTTATTTCGTCAACACAACCGCAGAATAAAACGATCACTATTAAATTCATAAATAAAGCAAAGCGATGAATATGTATTTTTGATTTACTAACATATTTTAAATATACTTTTACTAATAAGTACTAAATCAGGTTTTTCTTTCTTGAAATTAGTATGATAGTATGATTTTTCTAACGACAATAACAGATTCCCAATATCGCATAAAATATGTATCAAACCTAAATATAAACGGGCCATATATTCTCACATTAGTGCCATGGCATTTTAAAGAAGTAATGCTTTCATCTTGTCGTTAGTCGACACAACCGCGAGTTGCCACGAAGACAATTAAATTGAAAAGACATTTCAAATTCTCGTCGTTGTCATGGGTTGAATATTGAGCGACAGATAAAGCCATTATACACTAAAAAGTTGGCTCATGTATAATGAACTCGTAATTGAGGCGAATTTACGATTTTAAAATTCTTGTTGTGTTTGGTTTTATTGATTTTTCACACACGATTGCAATTGATTGCAATTACGAGTACGATTGCAATAAACGCACCTTGAGTCCGCAAAGGTTTTCATCGGTGAGAAAATAGTCCGCGACCAAAAAGGCTGGGAAACGCTGGTACAAAACCATGAGTTTACATCAAGTTGTATAAAGGGACTGAAACCTATGGACAGGGGGATATTGACTTGGCTAACACAGACAGTCCCCGAACTCGTAATAGAACTAAAATAAGAAAAATTGAAATTAAATTATGACCTCTAACCTGGTACACAAAATGTTCCGGTGTTCGCCATCTTGGTTCACATACTACGGGAGCACCCATTATTGTATCAGTATGAATATAATCAGAAAAAGATTATATTGAAATCAAATAAATATTTGGTGTAGGGAGTAAAAATTGTCAAAATGTCCTTAAGAAGAATACTAGTGTCTGCCCAGGGTAATTTACTATTATGATAAATATTAAACTGGTACACGCACTACGGGAGTATCGTATTTTGGAGCTTTCCTCTCCCCCTCAATAAATAAAAAAGTCTTACCAGTTTCAACATTTTCCAATTGGTCACTTTCTTTTTGTCTGATGGCAGATATTTTATCTTCTATTAAAAATTCTGGTAAATCATCATTCATTTCGAGCTCTTCATTGCGGAATAATCCATCATCCGTGACGTTACTCCTACTGTCATCATCAAAAAATTGACTGATATCGAACATGGAAGTCTTGAACATGCTTTCAGTGGAATTGTCTTTTAATTTTGAACCCTGTGTTGACTTCTCAGGCGTGACTGTTGTGATATCAGGTTCAGGAATAATGTTTTGCGAATTAATTATCAATTCTGACTCCTGTGAGATTTCTTCGGATAAATTATCATCAGAGTTTGAGCTCTGCGAATAAACTTCCGGAGTTAAAATATCTTCAATGTATTCAGAACTGGCATTATTGTCAAATGCAATTGGGGGATCTGTGCCTCTTTCCATGGCATAAGTGCCATCTTCTGAGGCACCTGTTTTGTTATTCATGGCATGTTTAATTTGTTTGGGCATCGTATGTTCTTTTTGTGCTGTTGTTTGAATATTAGCTTGTATGACATCAGTGTCAGTAGTTTTATCTTTTATGGCATCAGTGTTAAAATCGGTGGAATCAGTATTGATGCCTTCATCACCCACTTCCAATGCCTTCTCAAGAGCGTCTGTAACTTGATCAATTACTTTCTGGGATTCTGTGAGCAAGCTTTCCGGTGATTTTTCAGTTGAATTCATCCCTTTCCTGGCTTCTGTTTCATCCAATTCTTGTTTTTCAGTGGCTAAAATCGCCTCATTCAATGCGTTAGAAACTTGAACAAAAATATCATCCGCATCTATTGGCTGCATATCCAAGCCGATGTCTTCTATGGATTTCACGATTTCAGCTGGTGAAATGCTCCTGTGAGCCACCGGCTCATGAAATTCATCTTGTGAATTTTTCAAATTCACCGATTCTCCTTTCCCAGATGTTAAATTTTCATCAGCGCTCACAAAATCTTCACCTTGTTCACATAAACTGGCCTCGTGAATTGTTCCGCATTTATCACACAGTACTATTTCAGAAGCGGTGATGGTGTCAATTTTTGAGATATTGTCGCGATCTGGTGTATTGTCCGTTGCTGTCTCATATACGTCATCATCAGTCTCTGAAACATTGCTATTTGTACCATAAGCTTCATTATTTGTCTCACAAGCTTTGTGAATTTTCCCACGAGCTTCTTGATCTTTTTGATTTGTCTCACAAGCTTCGCGATTTGTCTCATCGACAATTTGGGAAACAAATATGACATCATCGTCTACTTCACTCAAAGTTAGGTCTATGACATCACCTTTAATGACATCATTAGATGTCATGTTGTTTTGGTTCACATTTTTTCTCAGAGTAGCTTCTGAGGCTTGAGGCAACTTTATCACTGTTGATCTATCTTTGTTTTTTAATTCATGGGACAAATTAACTTTGACCTGTGACCCCAAAATGATCCCTTCCTCCTTCAAAGTCGAGGCAATCTGCAATGCTTGAGGAAACATTGAACGTTTAGCTGCACTCGATGATGAAGAAATTTGTTGTTCACGCAATGTTTGTCGAAGATCTCTTTTTGAAAAGTTATTCGCGGTTTTATTTACTGAACTGCTATCTTTAGCAGAAGCACTGATGTTCTTCATTGTTGCGGGGTGTTGGGTTACAGCATCATCCCTGGTTTGAAGGATTTCTTTTGTAATTTGACTCATGCTATCATTTTTATTATCTTCAGCGTCCCTATTTTGAGACATTATTGACTCTTTGTTCCTCCTTCGCTTTTTTTTACTGACACTGTCCTCACTAATGACTCCTGGTATCAGATCCTCATTTTCATCAATTGTGTTACTTTTCTGAGAATCGAAAGTCGAATTTGTCTCTTTTAGCGATTTCTCTGCGTTCGCTTTCAACATCTTAGTGAGAGGATGGTCTGGACCCTCCCGCAGCATCGAACGATGGGTGATGGCGCCTGAGGTCGGCGACACAAACAACGCTCGTCTTGACAGTGGGGAACCTGAGAAACAAAATACATATTTCAGCAAATTGAGCAAATTTTCTTTAAAGTATATGAAGGGTGTCAATGAAGTACTTTTACAATTTCAATTTTGTTATGGAGTCAGTTCTTAATATCTTACCCAGGTTTGTTGTATTTTAATCAGTAATTGTGTGTTTTTACTTCATTTAATAGATCTGTGAGAGCCAAATGGTATTGATGAATTTTCTTTGCAATTTGAAATAATTTTAGGACTTTATGGAAACCCTATTATTGATAATACTCACAATCTCCAAGTCTCCTCTCTCTCGATTTCTTTTTGGCGTCTAAGAGGACGCTGTCAATCAAAGAAGACATTTTTGCTTCATCTCTTTCCAAGTCTAGACTTGTGCGCAAACGTTTCGGAGTCGACATACTAATATCAGCATCATCGAGTAAACGTTTACGATATCTCGGTTTTAAAATTGGACTTGGATTCTCAAGTGACAACAATGTTTCAGATCTTTCCAGCTTTGCTTGATTTTTTAAAGGAAGAAATGAATTTTCCAATAATGAGGAGACGTTTCTGCAACTTTTTGATGAAACTGTTTGTTTATCACTCAATGTTTTGTTTCTGGGAGCCTCTGGTGAAATCTGGCTAGTTTCTGGTACCAAAGTGTCATTTCCTTGTTTGGCAGAATTGAAAACATCATTTTTCTGGTTTAATGATTCTGGCGATGCCTTCGCGGTTGAAGAAGTCTCGATTGAATTTTCCCTTGAACTAACCGAAAGTTTGAAAAAATCTGAAAAATCTGACGCGTCGGATTCGGATGAGCGAGCAGAATTCTGTCTACCTTGACGTATTTTATTCAATGCCGCAGACTTTGGTGTGGATTTTTGTCGCCAATTTAGGATTCGTTCAAAATTTTCATCAGTGGATAACTTTTTTTGCGACCCCCTCATTGGGGGGTCTAACGGGACATTGTTGCTCACATCTGTGAAGACTGGGATCCTACTCATACTGTTCATGTTGGTCTTTGCGTTGACTTCTTTTATGAAGTCGTCGATTATTTTGTCTCCAATATCTTTCTGAGAGAGATTTTTCGACCTTTTGCCCCCACTGCCACTATGTGAGGATTTCTTTTCGCTGCTACTATTTGACGTTGTTCTTTTTAATGTTGTTTTCATGATCTTACTGTCTGTGTATGGTTTCATTCGATCGATTCCAGGAAGTATTCTTGGGGACTCCAATTTTCCATCTTGAGATTCAAGCTTTTGACCTTGGTAAGAGGCATCAGATTTTTGACTTTGAGATTCCAGTATTTGACCTTGCGACAAAGTTTTTCGAACCTGAGATGAAGAATCAGAATTTTGACCTTGAGTTTCTAGTCTTCGACCTTGCGACAAAGTTTTTTGAACCTGAGATGAAGAATCAGATTTTTGACCTTGAGATGCCCATTTTTGACCCTGGGATTCCATTATTTGACCTTGCGACAAAGTTTTTTGACCCTGAGATGAAGAATCAGATTTTTGACCTTGAGATGAAGTTCTTTGACCTTGAGAGGACGAATTAGACTTTTGACTTTGTGACTCAAATTTTTTACTTCGAGATGAAGATTTTTGATTCTGAGATGAAGACTGAAATTTTTGACCTTGAGAATCCCACTTTTGACCTTGAGAAGAAGATTCGAATTTACGAGCTTGAGATGATGGTTTCAATTTTTGACCTTGAAGTGCAGATTTTTCAGTTTGAAATGATGATACGGAAATCTGACCTTGAGATAGAGAAAATTCGTATATTTGACTTTGAAAAGAAGATTTTTGACCTTGAGATGACCTTTTGTCATTCTCCTGTCCTTGATAGTTGTGTTTTTTGTTCATAAGATGAGGTATGAGAGATATAGATGCATTTAATTGACCTTCAGGTTTAACTAATTGACTATGAAGTTGATCTGAACGACCTTGGGAATTACTCAAATGACCTTGTAAGAACACATTGTCATTTTGTGACATTGTAGTTTCATTCTTCAATCTTTCAATTGAAGAAAACAAGTTCTTTGGTTCTGTTGAAGGTACCTGACCTTGAGAATTTAGCGAACGACCTTCATGTGATGAAATATTTACGGTGTCGTGGTTCACTGACTTAATCAGATTATGATTTCTATCTTTTCCTTTGTATGGGTAGAGCGAGTGTTGCCTGGAGTCAATTCGGCGTTGTTCGGAGTCGTCTTTATGATGATTTTTTGCAGCGGAGTGATGTCTGATATCATTCTTCTCCTCATGGTCAAGCAGTAATTGCAAACGATCCAGAAATGAGTCTCCAGGTGAGTTTTTTATTGCCTCATTTTCACTCCCCTGTTTAGTAGATGGGGAACACCCCATATATGCAATACCATATTTGTCTTTGAGAGGGGTGGTGGAAGTTGAATTGGAGTTTTTCATTTTTTGGGGGGTGATAGTTTTTTCAACCATTCTCATATAGTCTTCCTTTACTTTGACAGGATCACAAATGATTGGTTTTCGAATTGGTGGCCTTTTCTCCCTCTCTGTAGTTTGTAGAAAGTCTCTGGCTTCCCTTGGAGGTTGAGAAGTCGCAACTTTAGGAGCGTTTTGGGTTTCAACGGCTTTTGCGGATTGCATAATAGTTTTGTCAGAATCTGATGTTACTGGCACTAACTGTGCGATAGGAGTTTGCTTTGGAGTCGGTGACGCAATTTCATTTTGAAAACTTTTTCTATGGGGGGTAATTGTCCCTGTTTTTGAGTTTGCCTTAACCCTAATCGTGGCTGTGGCCACTGTTACAGGTTTTGTAATACTTTTTGAAATAAATTTAAGAGGAGAGACCACCGTAGTTGATTTTTTTGAAGTCATGGGTTCCGCTTTGGATCGAGCATCTGGGATCTCTAGCGGACCAGTTCGCCAGACTGCTGATTTGCGGACTTCTGCAGATATAACGCTCAACTTTTGGGGAGAGCTTTGAGACAATGGCTGCTCAACTTGACCTTTATGACCTTGAGACATTGAGGTTTGCCCTTGAGAATGACCTTGCTCACTTGCGAGAATTGTTGATGAACGAGGAGATTCCTAAAAACAAATGGGCTACGGTTATTTCTCTCACTAATTTGCAAACAAGTCCAAACAATTATGTGTACCAATATATCCACTTGGCTAACACAGATAGTTCTCTTGTAATAGAACTAAAACAAGGAAAATAGGAATAAAATTATGGCCTAACCCTAGCCTAGTAGTAGTACATATACTACGGGAGTACTCAATACTCCCTCCTATGTATAGTCATTAAAGACTCATTATCATAACAGTGGCGGCATATAAATGTTTCCAATGCTTCGAGCAAACTGGTAATAACATTGGTTACCTCTTCCTCAGTATCTGAAATCACGATGACATCATCAGCGCTGGTTGACATCCTTGACGATAGTTTGGCAGGTTCCGGAGTTGCCAGATTCCCACCTGCATTTTTATGGACTTTTCTGTGATGCTGGAATAAGAGAATCGAAGTATGAACCAAAATTCTGGCGAGTGTAGGAATTGCTTTGGAATTGTTCTTTTGGAAAGACTAGGTCAGTGGTTCCCAACTAACTTTTTTTTTCAGGCTACCCAAATAAAAAAATTTTTTTTATAAATTCTCGCGACCCCAGGATATCCTCAATTGCTTAATGTGATTTATGACTACTATAAAACAATCATATTTATATGGCATGTATTTTTCCTAAAAATTATCTCAAAGTGAGAAAGCTACGATTACAAGCAAGTTTTTGAAATCGCGGAATTGGTTCACTCAATCAGCAAAGTCGACGATGCCAAGTTTTTACTTTGCGATACTTGCCACATATACAATTACTATTGAGCAACAGTTCAATACTAAATATAATCTACAATCTACAAAAAAATGAAATCGGCAACTTTTAAGTGTTTGTTGGAAAAACAAGCGAACCAAGATGATTTTCAAATGAAGTAGGGAAAAATAAAACACTACACGAGACTGGTGTGTCCTTAGCATGAATATATTTGACTATGGTTGGTCTTTGATCTAACTAAGCCAGCGGTTCGGACCCTATGGGTCGCCTAAAAATCTTCTTTTGTATTGAATTATATTAAATGCTATGTAATAATGACTGTTTTATATTAGTCGTTTAATCTTGCGCCAACAAAAACACTGCATACCAAAAATTTGAGTCACTCGATGAAAAGATTGGGAGCCACTGCCCAGGGATACCACCAGCATAGTCCAGAGGTTCCCCTAGTTTCCATACAAACTGGAAAGTCTATAACAGACATATGCAAACTACGGCCCGCGGGCCAAATCCGGCCCGTTGGGTAATTCAATTTTGCGCTGCCTGATGCTGTCACAACCAAACTAAAACCAAATTTTGCTGTTTTAGCAAAAAATAGCTCAAAAAATTTGTTGGGATTGCGATCAAATTGAGTTTTGGCCTTGAGGCTTTTCCACTTTTGCTTTTGCTAACACTGTAAATATTGTCCATTAAATGTAACTTTTTCGTCATACTTACATGGCCCGCCAGTCTAGATGGGCCAAATTTTTGGCCCCCGTCTGAAAACCTTTCCCAACCCTGGTCTATAATATTATAATATGTTCTATGTTCCACTATATTAGAAGATTAAAAAACCACTGTTCGTAATGCACAATTCTGTGAAAATCGCCGTGCGCTTATTTCTTTTTAGCAAGTGTGAACAAGCTATTTCCCTCAATTCTCAGTGATAATTTTCAAAAGGGAAACGTCCAGAAATAAAAGGAGGAAATACGCCTTGTTATTATTAAGGTACGCTTGAAAGCAATGGAGCATGGCTTACAAAATGCAGAGTTAAAATCAACTTACATTTGCTTTGAATCTTTCACTGGGTGGTGTAGGGACAGTATACTTTGTTATGACGTTGAATCTGAAAATAAAAAGCAAAAATATTTTTCCGGTTTGAATAGTATGAATGGAATATGATGCAGGAAAATATATCCCAATGTATTGAAAATTATTAGAAATACTACTTTTGAACATGCTAAATCTTTCCCCCTAAAAAAATAAAATTTCTCTAGAAACGCCGATCACAACTTTGCTCTCTGTTTAGAGCTATTTCTTACAAAATAACTGTAGGAATATATAATAATTCTCTCAATACGGACACATTCGGACAATACAATATACAAATCGAACAACAATTGTTTAATCTGAATACTTTTCACTTGGGCAAACCCAATACTCATATATGAATTAAATCTTCTAATACAGTAGAATAATAAAATGAAATTCAATGTTCGTTCCAACTATTGCTTGTATGCATGTAAACACAGAGACAGAACATTGCATTATTAAACTTAATGCACTGTGTATGAGCACTTTCACTACTGGGTCATCGAGTCTACCAGATTGCATCACTAATTGCAATCTAAACATTTGACATTTTGAGCAAATCAGAAATCAAACAAATCTGTTTCAAACAGTCAGATTTGAATGTCAAACATAGAACTACGAAATGAAGAAATTTGTGTTTCATTTGATGAGGGCATTTAATGTAGCGCTAATTCGATATTTTCATATTCATCCCTGAGGAAAATAAACAAGATGTTCAAAACGTAAACCTGGATCTCTAGAATACACAATTTGTCGGTCAGATTCTACATTTCGAATTTCTGGCTTCAACCATGATAATTATTCTGTCAACTTGTATTTATTGGCATGCAAAGGAACCATCATAAATCAAAGCGTGTGCCGAAAACAAATAACTAATCCCATACACGACATGGAATGGTACCGGACGAGGGGCAATGGTTCACCATGTAAATCTTATCCTATCCTACTTCCGAATGAAAACTAACTTTTCGACAATATCCATGTTTTTTGGTTTTATTTTTTTCTAGGTAGCTTACATGTCAGTGATTCCCAAAAAACACTAGATCAGCGGTTCCCAAACTATGGGTCGCGATCCACTGGTGGGTCGCAAGAAGAATCTCAGTGGGTCGTGAAAAGATGTAGAAAGCTTTGATCAATTATACTGGTTATTAGGATCGGTGGCAAAGCAAATTTAAAAGCAAATTTCAAAATAAACTGAAACTTATCAATTTTTTTCGTCTAAAACTATCTGAAATTGAAATAAATGTCAAGTCTATTATGAAAAATAGCAAGAAACAAGCTCATCTTTCTCACTAGCTTCACTGAAAATTCAATTTTAGAAAATAAATTTGTTTCCTCCATCAATGTTTTATTAATTTATTAAAGTTAAATGGGTCGCCATAAGCTGTGGTCAAAAATAGTGGGTCCCAACTCCAAAAAGTTTGGGAACGACTGCACTAGACGATTTGCTAAATGCGCCCCGAAGATTAACAGTATTGTGTTGAGCATAAGTAAAATTTATTTTTGTTGAATCGAATCTTAAATACTTGGGAATAGAGCTCGACCGATATATCGGCCAACCGATATATCGGGCCGATATTGCGTGTTTGCCGATATATCATATCGGCCCAACCGGCCGATATATCTGGCCGATATATATCAGCGTCAGTAGCTTTTCCACGTCCTAAAAAATGAGTATTTTTCCCCGGGAAATATCTGCGGCCGAGGCGTTTTCCTTTTTTACTCTTCTCTCATTTTACCTTCCAATGAACAGAGAGTTCTCTTCTATATTTCTCTCTTCGTGCGGCGCAAAATCCTCGCCCTCGAATATCTTACGTCCCCACTAGGCTTGCACGTAATCGACAAAAATCAATTCGGTAATTACGGAAAAATTGATTACGTAATGACCCCGTAATTGTGATATTTTTCACACGTTTAAACCTATCATAAAAACCATTCGAATCCACTTCTTTTCCGAATGGGACATCGAAGTTTGGTTTTCATATTACCGACAGTACTACACGCCGGCGACAGATGTTAAAGACAAATACCAAGGAGTGAATTCAAATTGAATTGAATTCAATCGACTTTCGTATTGAATAAAAATTTCGGGTTTCTAAGTTATTAATCAACGACAAGCGTATTTTCTCGTTTGATTATACCTGCGCTTGTCTCGCGACGAAGACTTGTTATTGCTCCGTTTTTTTACATTATCCGACTTTGCTACCTAGTTAGCATTTTATAATAATTATTGATGCTGAATTATTGACGATATTCCGATTACCAAGCTCCATTTTATATCAAATCATTTCGCGGCCTAAATGTTATAACATTATTTGCGATAAATTTAAATCAAATAATAATTATTTAGCCGGCGATAAATTCCTACCCGTAACTTGTTGTAAATTAATGCTAATAAATTCTATTTTGTTTTTTATTGCCTCCTCTCCTTTTGAGCGCTTATAGCGGCGGTAAATTTCGTTTCTTGTCTGTTTCACGGAGAGAAAGAAAATACGCCTTCAGGAATTACAATCAACTATCACACATTCTTATTTATCATTATCAGCGCCGAATAAAAAAGATACCAAATCGTGAAGACAAAAAAGTCTGTCGGTGCTAATTGCGTTACGCTGATAACGCTTACAATAATATCGTTTTGACCGTGAAACCAAGCGTCATGCCGACTCAAAACGGCTGCGAATACCGGAACTCTAACTTCTTCTACTTGTTAAACTTTGATTTTTTACAATCGACGAAATTGACTGCTTGGAAGGAGCACGTTTCAAACGCGAAAGCGCTCGACCAATAATTACGACTTTACGTAATTTGTAACTTCCCTTCCGTAACTCCAAACAATTCCGTAAATTACATGCAAGCCTACTCCACCTACTACTGTATGGATCAAAATGGACTTCTATAAGCTTTTTACTGACTGCCTTTTTTCTCTTGTGCATTAATGTGTGTTCTTATTATTTGCTACGAAACTTTTATTAATGATGCAAGCACTGTGTAGGACTGCTTTATTTTTCAACATAAACTTTTGATTGACTGAAACTGAATGTTTCTTTCTATTTGTATTTACTGCGGGTCCGAGTTGTAGATATCGGTATGTCAATATCGGTTATCGGTCACTAGTTGGCCGATATATCGTTATCGGTATCGGTGCCAAAAAGGGATATCGGTCGAGCTCTACTTGGGAAGGTTTGCATTTGTATAGCACAGCGTTTCCCAACCAAGTGCCGGGGATAGCTGCAACAATTTGCTAAGTGCGTCCCGAAAATTGACAGAATTGTGTTGAGCATAATTACGGCAATATACAATTGAATATATTACCTTTTGTATTTATTATGAATGTTTTATAGTTACTTATTTGAAATGCTTTGTATATGAATCAATTAATCCATTTCACCTTTCTATGTCGTTTACTTTCTGTTATGCATAGTGTTCCGTTACAAAAAATTTGAGTTTGAGTTAAAGGCAGCATTTTTTTTCTGTGTAACCGCGATTTTCCCCCCTCAAGATTTGGCAATGCGTGAATGAAAAAATTGGGAACCACAAGTATAAGATTTTTATCATGATATAAAAACATAAAATCCATCACTCAGACAGTTCGTTAAGTATTCGCCAAAATAAGAAACATGTATCAAAAACAACTCATTTCAAAAAAAATCATTTATGTCAGAATTGAAAATATATATTTCGAAAATATGGCTTCAATAAAATAGAGTGGGATTCAGGGACGCAGCCAGGACAACGGAGGGGTTACGGTGAAATTAAAACAGTGCACCAAAAATGCAATTCACGACGACATAATGCGTTTAATAAACTAAAAAGTATGGTCAATCACAGCGAAATTTCAGTTACGTGTAGCCCGCCTATATTTGCCTGACGGTGTTTGGTGAATATTTTGCAAGTCGTATTTCAAACATCGACCATTATTATATAGTCAGAAGCTACCAGCATTTAGAAATAAAATATTAAAAATCGCGAAAATTAATTCTAGAGAGAACTATAACTCACAGATGTCAGTAGCGTCATAATGGTTTATATGTATAAAAACACGCTCGCATGTAGCGCCAATCAAATGCCTGAAATGTGAAACTATTACTTGGAATTTATTGTTAATGAAGTTGATTTTTTATTGCCATTCAATGATTATTTACATGCGCCGCGATTAGTGGCGGACAAAATTGAATATTTCGGACAGAATTGCGAGTTCACATCGGCGAAGATGTTAATAAAGACAACTATTAAGGAGTGCATATACAACACAAATTAATTTAATTCTGATTTTTATCTTCAGTGTAGGATTTGTATCACAGTTTGTAAAAAAAGGTCCCAACTTTAAGCGAACAATATTATCATTTCTGACCCCGGGATGCGATATTTGTGAAGCGAATAGTTGACATTTTTATGCTTTCAATTTTATATCGTGTCCGTGTTACAAAAACGGTGTTGACAAGCTTTATACAAAATTAGGAATTGAAAAATACAACGCGAAAAGGCAAGGAAATTTTCTTTATCGCTTTCATCGTTTCTACCTGTTAGCAATAGCTGTCGGTAAATTCTTCTGTCTGCGCCCCTGGTGGGATTAACCCTGACCTTTAAGAGGACAAAACAAAAACAAAGATGGCAGCGACATATAGTTCTCGATTCTAAATGCCAAGATCTACCAAAGTCTAAAATGGAAGAAAACTGATCAGTGATGGGTTAACATTAACACGGATTAACAGATGTACAGAGGCCACTAATCGTCTTAGGTTAGGTTGAGATAGGTTTTGAACAATAACGATAATAAACAAAAAGTAAGGTTAATAATGGACCGAATTTTCAGTGCCTAAATGTGGAAGAAGTAAAGAGAACGCTAATACTTTTATTTCTCTTCAAGTTTTTTCAGAATCATACGAGGTATATGAAGAATTCACCAACATTTCCGGTGTTTTTTTCAATTCAAAAAAATGTCCCGAACCTAGCCAAACCTAAGACAATAGTCTAGAACCAACTAATAGTTGAGACTCTTAGTATTGTTCCTAACATAACCAGACAAAATAGAAAAGGATAGTACCAAAAATCTTACCCCTTCAGATATGAATCAGTGATATTCTTCTTTTTTTTATCGACAGAATATTTCCCAGGTTCTACCTTTACTTGAAAAGACATTTCTGGTAAGTTATGCTGTCACATGCTTAATAACAGTCATTTATAGTTTAATATCTGAAGTTTTTCAATATATTCCAAGAACTTTATATCCAATTTGATTCACAGATTTATAGAATATCCATGGTTGCATGAAAGCTGATGATATCTTCATAAAAATTAACAAATTCCAGAATAGCTGAGTCTAGGCTAAAGTAGATAAAATAGAAATTTGATTTATGATAAAATTCATAATAGGGAGGTATTTGAGTAGTCTTTGACTATTGAAAACATGAAAAATCTGTGTGAGACAAACACATAGGATGAAATTAAACATGAGAAATTGTATTAGCTTGTTGGCGCAGAAAATAACGAAAAAGCCTGAATACTAAGTTGGAATCTCCTAAACAGTGTCACGAAATAATTTCGAAAATACATTTTCAGTACTTCTTCATAGAAAGGATAGGGAGAGAAAAAAACGACTCAAAATCGGACTCTCAGTCATGTTGTTACTATTTTTATACACAAAAAATAATAGACTGATATGTAGTACCAAGCATGAAAGTAAACTCTCACTTGCTTGAATTAATGGATGTGATAGTATTGCGAGTTCGATAAGAACTCTTCATAATCGTTTAAACTGTTGAATACAGAAACAAAAGGCTATTGAAGCAAAAAGTCCCAACAACATACGGTACAAAAATTCCATATTCTCGTTCCCAAACTGGTCTGGTAACCAGACGAAAGGCCATTGCTCACCGAAATACAGTTTTTCCCCAGCTAAATACTGAAATAAACAAATCCTGTTTAATTGCACAATATTTCATGCACAACGAAATTAAAACTGAATATATTAGACATTACTTTTTCCATTTTTCATCTTGAGCCGAAACATACAGTTGGGAATTAGAATCCCTTTTCTGACTTAAGATCCTGAATTTAATAGCTGAATAGCGTATCCAATTGTTCTCATAACTTTAACTACACCATTTGGCAATGTACTGCGGGGCAACAAGGTTGTTATTAGATTTCAACGCTTTGACCATGATACAGAAAAAACATTAAGTGAATAAAAACAATGTATTGTTCGATAATATAATATATTGAGAAGGGCGACATAAACGTCTCATTGTAACACAGCAATAGAAGGTGCGTGTCTGCCATAATTTCAAGTTCAATATGGCGATTGTTCGCAGGCAGAAATGAATGCGGCCCGCAAGCTACCGGTACCGGAAATGTGTATATGCGGCCCGCGAGTACAAAAAGTTCGCCGACCACTGGCAGACTGGTCTACACAATGTGGTAACTTATGTGCGTAAGTGTGTGAATTAATTTAATACTGGTTCTTTTCTGCTTTTAGGTACCGGTACCGGTACCTGTTGACAAGTACCGTACCGGTACCTGTTGACAAGTACCGTACCGGTACCGTACCTAACCTCTTTGGACTATTTTCTCTATTTCTTGATAGGATTTCCCTCCATTCTATCGGAAAAGCTTCCCATACCTGACTTAACTCAGTTGAACATTTATTTAATAAACTACTTCTCCTGAACGTACCGGTACTCATTGTAATATTTTGTAATTGCGGATAAATTACTGCTGTACCGGTACTGGTAATCCTAATCGCACTCAACTTCAACCTACTTTAGAGGGTCCGTGATTTCCGGAGCCTCGAACAACCGACTTCTGTTTCAACGTTTGGGAACACTACTTTCACTATTTTTACCGAATGTAACTAAAATATATAATACGAAAAACCCTACAGCTTGTCCGCTTATCATACGCCAGTGCTATCAAACACACAAAAGAATCAAACATCATTTATACGTCACCACAATATAAACTTATCATATTAAAAACAAAAATTATAATTATTCATTGATATTAAAACTAGCAATAAAAAACTCAGATACAATACAACGATACAATTTATTTCGTCACCGTAAAAACACAACACTCAATAAAAGAAAAACAAATCATATTACAGAAATGCCTGGAAAACGAGGAAACTCAACAATGAAGTTTATAACGTGTAATGCACATTAGGAACGCATACTACAAGTTTAAAAAATGACAAAGAAATTAGTGTATTGGCTCGTTACAGTTATGTCAACGCATTTAGGCAAGGATGGAATAGAATTTACATAATTATCCCAGGGGAGAGGAAAGTCGATAAGACGGCTTAATCATATGGCGAATCACGGCCTCTCGTCCGCTTACCAGTCCATGTCAGGCATGGGATTAGTTAGCCAGTTATTTGTTTCCGGAAGTATGGACTTGATTGTGGAGGAAGCCGTAACCACCGACCAGCGATTACGTGAATCACCCTACGGCGGGGGGGAGTCAAGCAATCCTCTCGCACATAACTATCCCCGCATAAGATTCGAATTTCAAACCTGCGGACCCTCGCAGGGTAATCAAGAGGTGAGGTGGCGAGCGTATTCCTAATGCTTAGCATGATGAGACACACCGCCGAGTCACTAATCGCTATTCAAAAAACATCTTTCAATTTTTTTTTTGCGGGGAGCGGGGGAGGGGGGTTGAGGCGGCGCCCTAGCCTTGGGCTAGCAATTGTGCAGGTGATTCAAGGAAGTGCAAAACACAGCAAACGAACGCTGGTACATGCGTAGGCTACTTGTTACGTAAAAATATTTGAAGGCAGTCCAATGGTTTCAGATAAGACCAACTACCAATCAAGTTTCCATAGATTTAGATTTTAGGATAAACATTTTTGCTTTGAATAAAAGTATTGCTGTATTACTATCACAGAGGTGTCCTTTATTCTGATCACTTGCTTGTATTGCTCCTGAGAATCCAAACTTTAAATCCAACCGTCCATATTCTTATTTTGGTCTAAAGTTGTTCAACCGTAGTAGTATATATTTACGGTACAACTCTTTACGGCTTAAGTCAGTTATTGGACACGTTTAGTGGCCATAACGATCGTTTCAAAATTTTGTTGTTATTGTTATTTGTCTCTGTCTTCATTTAAAAAAAAATCGCTTTTCTCTTTGAATACTGGACCAATTGCTTTGATATTTTCAGTGGTTAAAGATAAAATTTTTCTCCAGAAGGCAATTACTTTTTTTCCGCTATGACGTCATCAAAATTATTGCCACTGGGTGGCGCTACGTATCCATATATTTGAGCATAGCTCTCTTGTAGTTCTAAAATTAGACTCACTAGATCAGCGTTCCTAAACTTTTTCGGCCACAGAACACTTTTTATCTCGCCTCGCAGAACACCAAAAAATGAAAGGGTAAAATTGATAAAGAAAAACGGTGTAATGTAGCGGTTTCTTATGCCTTCGCCGTTGCGAGTTGCCAAATGCGCCGCAAAAACTAACAGAATTGTTAAACATACCTTAAATATGATTGAATATTCTACATATTGCATTCATTATAAATGTTTTATTGTTTCTTAATTTAAATGCTGTGTATATGAATCAATAAATTCATTTTACCTTTCTATGTCTTTTACTTTCCATTAGGTAGTGTTTACCTCGAATGTTACTTCTAATGTAGATAGAAGCACTTGCTGCAATTTCGCGAGCTGCAGACCTACAGTTTATTTATCTGCTGAATCGAGTTTCGCAAACAAGAGTATTTTTTTCAGCATTTCAAAGTAAAATCAGGCGGAGATGGAGGAAGAAGAGTTCACATTTTGCTTTTATTCTTTAGTTTAGACGTACTAATTTTTGCCGATAGCAAAACCAAAAAGATTGCTGTGAACTTGATACAGTAATGAACTTGACAGTCAAAAAACTAGGCCGACGGTTAACGAAAATACCACCTTAGTCCGCTTTAGGCCGACTGCGACCCGAAATTGAACGGTCAGTTGGGCGACAACTTCACGATCCCTAGATCGCCATGGCGACCAATTTAGACGTATTTTTGATTCCCTCTCCACGGAACAATCGGAAGACTCCCGCGGAGCACAGTTTGGGAATCGCTGCACTAGATGATTTGTATAGTTCGATTTGCAAAGTTTTAACCTAAAAGTCTTTTATTTCCTCTTCCAATATAACGCCCACACGGGTGTCGCTGGTCGATAACCAGTAATGGTGTCTCGCGCCTCCCGTCACCCTGAAGTACTATTTTCATTTTTAGGTATTGTTTATTCATAAAGTTTAGCATGTGTAAAAATAAATTACTGATTACTGCACTTGACGGTGAGAAAAGGCAAAAGGATAAATAAGACAGATAAAAAATAAATATCATATTTATCCAGAGTAAGAAGAATAACGATAAAACGGATATGTGAATTCTATCATACTCATCATATGGCGAGGTAGTTTTTGTTTTAGATGTATGAACTTGAAGGTGGAGGAAGCCGTAACCGACCAGCTGTTAGATGAAACGGTTCCCGTACATTTGAACCCACGTACATCTGAACCCACGACGATTGCACCTGCATACTATTGTACCTATGGAATTTTTTTGTTTTACGGATATTTGAACCCATACTAACCCTAACTCATGGGTTTTAGCACCCGCATATAGATTGAACCCGCGGATATACACATGGTTTCAAATGTACGGTCACCAGATGAAACACCCTAAGACGGCGATGATTCATTCCATCAATACTCATGCGGATGGCCATCCAAACCTGCGCGGAGCAAGCATATTCCCTAACGCTCAGGACGTTCTTGCCTCTCTCGGGTTCGGAAGGGTATGGATTGGTAGCGAATTTGAAGTTTTGACCAAATCGCATTTTAAAATAGTTTGATTCTAACTACCGAAACTAAAAATGAACATAAGGCACAATTAGAACCGTACAAACAAAAAGCATACCTTGCAAATCCAGACCAAAGGACGTTCTAATCAGTTTTTCAAGGAAACTATATAAAGCAGGGGTGGGCTTGGGCAACATACGGCCCGCTGACTGTATCCAACCACACTCTGTTATGTGGTCCGACGCATCATTCCTGAAAGTTGACGATTGCTCTACTCTCATCGCACTGTCAGTGCGAGCTGGTGAAATAAACAATTGCTTTAGTGAACAAACAATTGCGTTGGCACACTTGTTAAACAAACAATATAAGCATAAGGTCAAAGCAGAGAGCGTTGTAAATATTTCTTCCCCGCTACTGTTATCAGTTATATTTAGATTCTAAATATAATTAGATTTTAGAAATTAGATTCTATATTAAGTTTTATTGACCATGGAATATCCCAAGAAACGTAAAGTTGACAGAGAGAGTCGAGCATTTGACAAAGATTGGATACCAAAGTATTTTTTGTAATAATCCGGCCCGCCGAGGACTTCATTTTCCCACATCCGGCCCGCCGACTAGAAAAGTTGCCCACCCCTGATATAAAGCCTCTAGTTATATTGAAATTGCTTCCCGGAAAATATTGTGGTATTTTCGGTATTCTTTCTTGTGTGTGGTTTTGTAATGTCGCTTAAAATTATATTATTTCATAACAAATATTATTTGAAAACACACCAGACACTGGGAATCAAGGTTAATCACATTTTTCTACACTTATTGTAAGATGAGCAGGCCTAGTGTTACCTTCAAAACGACCAAATTCGTCTGAGTTGGGACTTCGGACCTAGATGAAAAAATAAACTGGATCGCGCGGTGCCAAGTCAGCTCTGCGGTTCGTCACTGCTGTCACATGGCCAACGCTTGAAAATAGAGGAGTGTTGAAAATAAAGGCACAAAACGTCTCTTCAAATGAGGATTTACTTGACTAGAGATCATCTCATTGGATAGTCAGAGTTTCCCAAACTTTTTTGAGCCGCGGACCCCTGTTTGTGGATTATACTTTTTACGGACCCGCATCCTATACCGATTTATGTTCGTAACCAGGGAGGAAGGATAAAGTTTCATTTGGATTTAAAACACAACAACACAAACGACATTAAAGTGACGGATCAATTTCTGACAAGCAAACTCTTTGGCCCGACTCGACTACGACAACGAATTTATAGTTTTACATATATTTTGACGAAATAAAACTTAGGAAAGTCTGAATCGAAATACAAAATAACGTTAAATATTGGTCGGCTAACGTCAATTCGATAAAATTATGATCTATTTGCACCCCGATATTCGGACTATCGGTAGTAATTGAACATGTGGAACTAATAAAATAGTGTATACTTGAATAGTCTCACACAATAAACTTGGGTTCCATGCCTCTTCCTTGCTGCAACGGGGCTCAAATAACCTTGACAAAGTCGCACAAGTTGTCGACTGGTGATAACTCAATAACGCTTACAATCAACTATTACCGACGATATAGCTCTGTGACAGAGATCTACCTCACAGACGCTGAAAGTAACGATCGTCTACACAAGGGGTGTGCAAAGTACGGCCCGCGGGCCAAATTCGGCTCGCGAGGGAAAATTGTGCGATCCGCGGATAAGTTCCAATTTTGAATGATGTGCGGCCAACTAAACTAGTTTTTAGTTTAGTTTGATCTGGTGTCTTTTGCGTTCGAAAGCTTATATTCAAGTCTGATTTATCTTCTATGCCTTTGACGTTACAACGTCCTAACAGCGAAGCAAACAACGCGATTCACAAAGCTGTCACTTGCCGAGCAGCGAACAATTGAAAGAAAAAGGCGGAAAAGACGCTAATGAATTTGTAAGAACGGGCAATTAAAATTTAGGCAATTTGAAAATCAGTTTTAATATTAAGAGATACAAGAGCTAAATGAGTTTTGGTCCCAGCCTATCAGTTGATTTTGTTTAAATCTAATCTAGAATAGGATTTGACAGCAAAGAATTTGGAAACGAATCGTGGCGTATTATACCGAAAACATTTAATCTAAACTAAGATAACTTTCCACATTTGTAAAAAGTCATTGCTTCAAATATGGCACTTTTCGGTTACATATTTTTTTCTAAAATGGGTGTCATATCGAATTGCTAGCACTTCCATTTGGGCAAATTTGAATAAAAGTAGTCGGGAAAAGAATCCAGCAGCAAATTTCCCACTGAATTCGTTTAAATTGGGTGTGACAATATATTTGAATTACAGTTTTAAAAAATTTATGCGTTTTCTGCAAGGACCCCTCTAATGATGACGACATGAGATCAATAAAAAAAAGACACGATTTTGTGCCTGACACTCTTTTGTGCCTGTAACTAAAAGCCTGTGTTAAATGAAGGTGCGGGCCGCAGTTTTACCCAGTTATTGATATTTGGCCCGCCTGCGAAAAAGGTTGCAAACGCCTGGTCTACATTTACGACAACTTGTTCACTCCCATTGTTAAGGAATCGTAACAATTACAATTTGCGATTGGGTTAACTTACAACTTCATCTCTTTTATGAATTTCTATGTAACAGTGCATAAATGTATATATTTCAGACTCTTAATATCGCTGCGGACCCCCTGTGACGTCGTCACGGACCCTAGTTTGGGAAACATTGGGATAGAGCCATGCTGCACAAGACAATTCATTCTCCTTTTACCGATCACAGTAGTCTACGTCATTCCCATATAACCGTCTTGACGTTTATAGATACAACAATGAAATTCCGTGATTTTAACAAACATCAATCCCGACATCGGGATTAGGAAAAGGACCATTCCCAGTTGGTAAAGTTTAAAAATAAATCAAAATTGTTTTACTAATAAATACAAATATCTGCTAATGGTTTGGTAGTGTACGCTAAAAGTGTTCTGCGGGCCGCACGGAATGTCGCAGTTTGGACCACCCTGAGTTACGTGGTTCATTGGACGAAATGATTCCTGGTATGTCTGTATGTTGCAGTATGGCATTGCCGAAACTCAATCAACTTGATATTATTGTGCCTACAGTTCCATTACACTAGAACCCACGACAATTGCACCTGCTTACTATTGCAACTACAGAAATTTTATTTTTACGGATATTTGAACCCATACTAACTCTAACCCATGGATTTTAGCACTCCCATATAGATTGAACCCGCGGATATACGGGTGCAAATGTATGGGCTTAAATGTACGGTCACCGAACGAGAAATCCATGTGTCTAAGACAAAATGGGCACAAAACTCAAAAATAGGCACAATAAGCGAGTCGTTGCTTCATAGAACGTGAGATAAAAAATAAGCAAAAATCTTAGAAATAAGCACGATATGGTAATCCTGTCTATAACAGGTTTCTTGCTCCACCTGACATTTTGAAACAACCAATCCAACTTCACCAAAAGCAGACCCGTGTGTGTCGCAAAAGGGCTCCATGGGGTTCGTAATAAAATTGTTCTCGTCACTAACTTATGTTAAAACAAAATATCGATCAAATTTGGACCAGTACTGAGACCCTCCGTCACCGGAATGAAGGCAAGATTTGATATTTCGTTCGAAAATACACGTTGTGTAAACGTAAAAATTAATACAGTAAAACACTCGCTCGTATTGAACAAATTAAAAAAAACAAAAACAGAATGGATGGGACAGGCGATCATTTTAATATTTTCAGCATTTTTTCTATGGGATAATACGTTGTCAGGAGCACGTCGGTCTCATTAAAGTATTTTTTCAAATATTTTCTGTGTTATAAAATTTTATATGTTTTTCATTTAGTTGTGCCGTTCAACCGTTGTGCAGACATATAACAATACACCCAAACAGTGGCTTTGGCAACAATAGTAAAACGATCCAGAAGGTCATTTAGTGCCCAATAACAAGAGAATGGGCCTCAAATAAACGGACACCTAGTCTAAATCGAAGTGCTCTTCGTATGTGAGCTACCCGCATCTATTAATCTCCGAGTTTCGCGAAGTGTCGAATCGAAAAGCAGTAACACCTGACAGATCAAAACACCTTGAAACATAAAAAAATTATTAACCTTCTAGCAAAAAATGCAACTCCTAACCACGGAAAATGGCGAAGATTCATTAGTTCAGGGGGTGTGCAAAGTGCGGGCCAAATGCGGCCACAAGGAAAAACTGTGCGGTTCGTTGAGCAGCGCCTATCTTGAAACAGGGTGCCCGCGAAACGAGTTTTTAGTTCAATTATTCTGGTACGTACGAGCAATTCCAATCCTTTTGTGTCGCAAAGCCTTTACCAATGCCTGAGTGTCACTGAATACCAACAACAACATAATACCAAAACGATCCATAGAATCATTTCGTGTCCAGTAACTAAAAAGCGATGCTCAAATATATGGACACGAAATCTAAATCAAAGTACTTTTCGCACCACCATCTGGTTAATACGTCCTATCAGTTTCTCACCCCGAGGATAAAAATGATAACTTATCCTTATCTTAAGAGGTTCATGATAAATTATTTAAGCTTACAAACCAGACTTCAGGGGGGGGGGGGGGGAGGCTTACAGACCAGATTTTAAACAATTTTCAGACAGACTTGAGTTGATAGGCATACTCACACCGCTACCCGATCGTACCAAGTTACATATAAATAACACTTAGCGGTAACCAGACAAGAGACCATGGTTCGTAATGCGATTAAACAGTTTTATTAACTTTCTTCTCCCAATAAATAAAATTAAAGAAGTTCTTATCAGATAACCTTTCCTGTTATAGGTGCGGCCAATCTATCAATTGCAACTGGTGTGCACTCCATTTATATTTAAAGGAAAAAAAAAATTCAATAACATAAAATAGGAATATTTTGCTCAAAATTGGAACTTGGCAATGACTGCATTAATGACCGCTTAACAAATGATAAAATGTAGAAGAAAGAAAAAAATCTGATTAGTGAAATAAGGCAATAAAATCTAAGTCAAGTTAAAAAATGTGTACACGAGGAAAACTTCAGTATTGCATAAACAAGGGTTACATGTTCCATTTGCTCTCCGAAAATACAAGCTCATGAAATTAATACAAACGCATATATATCTCAGGCCCTGTGATAGCATTTATGTCAAATAATAATAATTTACTAGATAAATTAAAGGTGTTCAAGAGTCTTCTTACGCACGAAAACAAATATGTTTGTTACTAACAAGACTCTCGAAGCACATAGAATAGTTGTCTTTATTCAATCATTACATGCATATGAATCCACCGGGATATGAATCCCCCACTCACAGAAAGACAATGTCACAATTTACAAGATTTTCGAAGAAATAACTCACAAGATTCAAGTCATGGCGTCACTGTGACTTGTATTTAGATTTTTCATTCAAACAAATTTATAAAATCTACTATGAATCATAGTTAACTTGTGACTCAAGAGAGCAATGATTCTGTCTCTTTCATATTGTTGCAACTATGACAGTTTGATAACCGCATAAATAAAATGGTCACGAGCTTCAATGACCTTCACACAAAAATATATAACTTGGGTACTGCGTTTTTATAAAAATTTTCGAAATTTTTGGTGGAAATAAGATTGCTCTCTTTCTCTGCACTGGACAGAGTTCACACTCTGGAATAAACTGAGCAAGCAATGAACAAGGACGTTCCAGTTACTCTAGAAAATATAACCGGCCTGGATCAGCCTGTTTGTTGACAGGGCCTTGTTCGGCTTCATTTATATTTAATAGAGAAATATATTCAATAAAATAGGAATATTTGCTCAAAGTTTGAACTTGAAAAAGACTGCATAATTAGCTCAACTAATGATAAAATATACAAGAATGAAAAAATCTAATCAGTGAAATGAGGCAATAAAACCTGAGACAAGGTAAAAAATGTGTAATTAAGAAAAACCTCAGTATTGCAGAAAATAAGTACTGTGAAAATAGGATTAAATGTTGATTAAATGCAATATCATAAAATGGATACAAACACAAATAGGCTACATATCTTGTGCTGCATGTTCACCACAGTAAGGGTTTGAGAGATACAAACACTATTTAAACATTCAATTCGACTAATTGGTATAGAACAGGGGATACCAAACTTTTTCGACCGCAGGCCAGATATGACTCAAACTGTGTTGAAACGGGCCGGACAAATGTTTTTGTCAATGCAATAAATACGATAAATTCCCAAAAGCTGGGAAAGCCATCCAATAGCTATGCGAAAGGCCTTCGTTTGCAATACGTTGGCTTTTCTCTCCCGGGAAAAAAAAATCCTGTCATTGAATATCTCAGTCAATACAGCCCTGTCATATGTTCCAACCGATCCCATAACTTTCTGGCAACAGTGGGGTCCTTAGCATGGGGCCAAAGGTCATTCATCTTCATATCAGCATAATAACCTCCGCTCTGCAACCCATCTTCCATACAGCAGTAAAGCACAGTTTGACAACAATAAAAAGGGGGTCGGGATGTGAGTGCAAATGTTAGAAACCTCATGAAAGTATGAAATTTGCTTTTATGTGAATATCCAGCCCCAAGAGTTGTTGAACCCACGGTTCCAGGGTGCAAAGCGTACGCTGTAATCCCATTGCATTGTGGGTCATTTGCTCTCAAGCGTTTATTTAATTCCGTTGTTATATAAATCACCATCAATTTTGTTGCACCATATTGTGCTAAAACGTTCTGCATGGTTGCATTTTCCCCCAGGGTCACATCAAGGTTACTCAAATCTAATTCCGCCATTAAATATACATCTGATGCAACATTTACAATTCTGACAGGATTTTGGAAAGAAGTTTCCTTCAAAACTGGCAACAATAAGTTTGTGAGTAGAAAAGGTCCAAGTACGTTGATTGACAACATTTTTCCATGTCCATTCTGTGACATCATAGATGAAATAACACCAGCATTGTTTACTAAACAATCCAATCTTTCTTCTTTTTCTATAAATTCCTGAACAAATCTTCGGACATCATCCAGATCACTGAGATCCAACTTCATATAGTACACATGACTATTCCCACTTTTTAATTTTATTTCGCTGACACTTTTTTGGGCTTTTTCCTCCCCACGTGATGCTATGATTACTCTTGCCCCTCGCTTTGCGATTTCAATAGCTGTAGCTTTTCCAAGACCACTACTGCCCCCGGTGATGAGGAATGTTTTCCCGTTTAATTGAATGTCGGTTTTATACACAGAACCAAACCTTTTATATCTTATCCAAATCAAAAGTAGCAAAACTAATAGTATTGTCCAAAGCATTATGCAGTTACAGCATGATCTGAATAAAAGTATAGACTAATATAATAATTCCACTATACGACTATACTGTGATAATAGTCTGTTGGTAAATCATACCATAATACTTGAAAACCTGCTTTATCTGTTTCCAAAAGCGCCCATTTTAGCAAGTACAGTTTTAGGTATTTTGTGGCGGCTAGAGTTGCCACAAAACCATGGCGGGATTTTCAAACCATGGCCGCTATGACCAAACCCACGGCGACTGACTTTTTAGCTGCCACAAACCAATAGCGAGCTGCCATAGTGACGGCAGCAAATCGAATACCACCAATTTTGCTGCCGTAACATGTCGGCTGTAATAGCAGGACTGCCCGGGTCTCATGTAGTTTCGAACCTAACATACTTCTAGTGGGCGTAGCATGACAATTTTTCCACGTATCAATCTTAACCCCCACCTGACTACACCATCCAAAAATTACAGCAACACGACGTCACAGTGACGTAATAGAGCCATTTAAACTATACGAACTGCCATCCAAGACGCGTAAACGAGCACTCAAAATCGAACAGTTATTTCTCTTGTTTCACGCCGCACTTTGGTCGCAACGATTCCAATAGGAGAGAGATCAATAACGTCAGTCAGTTCTTTATCGACAGCGCCAATGCCATTTCGGGCGATCGTACGTATATTTGGCAATCTCTATGACGTGATTGTGATGCCGTAGTGACGTAATTTTTGGATGGCGTAGTCAGATGGGGGTTAGGATTGACATATCAAAAAATTGTTATGCAACGCCCATTAGAAGTACGTTAGATACGAAACTACACGAGACCCGTGCTGCCGCTGATGGTGATAAATATTGGGTATGTTGGAACACTTTTCTTATGAATACAATTTCAATGTATGTGGGGTTAGGTTTAGGTATAACTAGATGTAATTCCGCATGATAAACTAAAATATTGTACACGACTCTGTAAATATATCGGTAATAGCGCCATAAAACCATGGCAAGAGATGCCGTGGTACGTTCGTGGCAGGAGCTGCCATGAAGTGGTAAGAACTGCGCCTCCATTTTAGTCTGACGTGAAGCAGTTATAAATAGCGCAAAGTAGAACATCACAAACTAACTCAGACATCACTCTGTTACGCCATATGACCGGTACCGGACTTCAGTGCTAACATGTACTGGTATAGCAACTAACCCCCAAATGTACCCTATTTCATGTTGAAATCATCAAAACAAAGTTAATTTTTCCCAAAATTCGAACAAAGACTTTCGTAGGAATCAAATTACACCAGTTTTAGGAACATAACATGTTCCACCCAGTCATTATCAAATTAAAATTTATATTCTCAAGACCTTTGGCACTGATTGAAATAATTATATCTAAGTTCCCATCCGTACGATGTACATAATTAACCTTATTGAGATAATAGAAGTTCCTGTTTATAACGTGAATCACGAGCTCACCTTTACAGTATTTAATTAGATTTATGATCGACGTATAAATACGACTCGATATCTTTCAATAAAAAAAAACAGTGTGGATAAATGTTTTAAGATTTGTATTCTGTGTGTTGTGGAAATCTGAGAATAAAATCAAACAGAGTTTTCTAAAGTTTCTTCATTAACGTGGGCATTGAAGTTGAAGGGTGAACAGGCGACTGTCAGTTCTGAGACGGTCTACGAAATAGCAATATACGGTAACATCACATTCATTTACCAATCATATATGCTATACTGGTACCCAGACATCCTATCTAATATAGTCAGCATAGTATATATCAGGGATGGCGAACCACTGACCCGCGGGTCACAAAGTGACCCACCGCGTTTTATTCGTGACCCGCCAAGGCACAAATAAAATAGGAAAAATGCTAACATGCTAACCGTTGTGTGCCGTTATTCATAGGGATTTGTTTAAAAAGAATTGTTTTAAAACAATTGTTTTAAATCAAGTTTTTTTGCCTGTTTTGTTCAAAATGGCTGTACTATTTTTTTTTGTATTGGATTGGTTGAAGAAAATGGATGCAAAAACTTGCCAAGCGCTTCTTATTTGCAATAAATTCTTCAAAACGCCACAAATAACGATAGAGGCTCATGCACACTTTCTCAGGTTGTATCTCAGTGGTTGGCGCAGTACGACGCAACCGATAACGTAACGCCATTACGTAAACGACCCCGCGGCGAAACCACCTTGCGAAAATTAAAAAATGCGATCAAATAAATGAGTTTGTATAATCTTGAAAAACTCTATAACTTCAACCTTAAAAACAAAGCTTGCTAAGCATAAATTAACCGAACAGTATTAACCGTAATAATGCCTTCATTTTATGAGAAAAATGTCAATACATGAACTCGAAATCCACATCATGGCGTCATAACAGATTAGTTGAGGCGTCTTTGCATCAGAGCACTCTTACAATTAGCATAGGCCAGGCTAGCGTGTCTCATCCGCCGTCGATGTAAGCTTATTCTTCATTATCGCAAACCACTCTTTTTGTCGAAGGCTGCCATTCCTCTAAATAATTTCATAGTAGGCTTGTGAGCCAATTTTCATGATTTTTCTTACTCAAAACGTCTCTTTGATATCTCGGATAAACATTCCGGTTAAAATCCTATGACTTTTGGGGAGATACGAAAGTCGCGATAAATGTACGCAATAGAAGTAGAAGTCAAAATAGGAATTTTTACTTACATTTTTAAAATGATAATTCCGGCTGCGGGTTCAGCTGATCGAATGCAACGTTTTGGCGTAGTTTCGCGGCGATGCAAGGGGTATTTCAATAAAAAAATACAGAAAAAAAATGATTTAAAACAAGCCCTAGTTTTAAAACACGATGTTTTTTTGATCCAATTGAAGAGTTTTTTTAGAATTGATAAAAAGACAAAACCCTATATTCAGTTATTGGCTCTGACATCGTTTATGACATAACAATCCAATGGATGTTCATTTCTCGCAACGTCTTGTCTCTTTCAGAAGTGCATCTGCAGGTTGTACAAGAACGAGATGCTACTTTGCATGCATTTTATTTTCTCGCCTACAAAGCCGTTGAGAATACAAAATCTTCAGACTTGAAATAAAAACCTAGAAATCTGGAATAACAATGGGGCAGTGTGAAAGTGCTTTTAATATGGTTAAAGCTGATATAAAAATATAGCACTATCAGAGTGGAATTCCCTTCAAACTCTTTGGAATCGTAAAATAATTTGCCGCATCATCCTAAACGTAATTCATATGTGTGTTTTCGTACTCTTAATCGAGTGCCATAAAAAGTTCCTGATAAAGTGCTGTAAAGTAAAGCACTAAACTACACCAACATTAACAGAACCGTTGTATTATGATTTGTTTCAGAAGTTTCTTATAGATACAAACATTGATTAAATATCTTTGACCCACTCTCTTGTGTTCCGCGATAAAAATATAATTTTTGACCCATTCATTGAAAAAGGTTCGCCATCCCTGGTATATATAGTACCGTAAAAGCGCCTAACTTCGGACAGTTCCTAACTTCGGACAAAATTTTTGAACGGCCATATCTTGGCTAAACGCACCGTATATTGCTAATTTTAATTATTATAGGTTGCGCTGTTATATCTACATCTATTCTCATCTTTTTTAATGTTGCATAATTATTTTTTTGGTAAAAAAACGGAAATTTTGCCAAAAATTGACTGCCCGGCATTCAACGGCGAAGAGCGTCGCTCCTACTGAAGCTATCATCGTCAAAATACCATCATTCGGTAGAGGGCGACAACAATGTATATAATTTATTTGAGTGATCGCAAGATGTCGTACGAGATTTGAATAAAACCTAAAATTCTGAATTATAAATTCCGTAAAAATATTAAGATTTCACGCGGCGTCAAAAATTACGTCAACCTCACGTAGATTATTTTTCGCTCACTTCCGACACGACGTCACACTGCGTCGCGGAAATGAATTTTGACGCCAGACACAACGGAGCCAATATGACAATTTCCGTTAAGATAAAGACGGCGTTCCAATGTAATAATTTTGTATTTTGTTCGGTCATGTAAGAATATATGCCAAAATTACATTATTGAAAATACATGTCACACTTAATCGATGACGTTAAAAATCGAATATATAAAACGATGATAATTCTAACGTCCATATGGCACAGTGCACTGACTTAACCATTATTTTATGATTAGTAGTCGAAATGACAGTTATTGAATACCGCCTGGGTGAATTTTATTCACTCGAAATTAAAAATAAATTTAATCTCCAACAAATAAACGGGACCTACAAGTTTACAAGATTAAGTTGAATTTTACCGTGTGTTTGATATAAATTATCATTTATAAAGATAATCGCGCAGAATAAAAAAAAGCTATCCGTCGAGAATATTAATACTTCAAAGACTTCGATAGAAGCCCGTTAATATACTTCATTGTGGATTGAAACGGTTTGCATCAGATATATTTACGTATGCATTTCCTGATTTAAATGACTAACGTGTCATTATACTCATCTGAAGTATCGAAAATAACGAACGAAAGATGTCTATCCGTCGAGAATATTAATACTTCAAAGACTTCGATAGAAGCCCGTTAATATACTTCATTGTGGATTGAAACGGTTTGCATCAGATATATTTACGTATGCATTTCCTGTTTAAAATCACTAACGTGTTATTATACTCATCTGAAGTATCGAAAATAACGAACGAAAGATGTAAACATAGGACGACGGAAGTTTCAAATAATGCATTTTCGTCGTGACGTCAATGTTACGTTACGACGACGATCGAGCGTCTTATCTTCACGCAACGACGTGATTACGTCATCCGCATCGGAAGCCTCTTTCTCTCTGTGCGTCGCGGTTACGCAGACTGTCCGAAGTTAGGGCAGTGAAGGATAACGGTCAGATGGCAAGAAATATCGATTATTTCAATAGTAAAAATAGTCCAATTGAACCGAAATTTGCAGGGAATGTAAATTACCGCACGAATGTTTTACCAAGCAATTTTGGCACCGTTTGGGCCGGTGAAATGGCCGAGTTATTAACGAATATATAGTAATTTTGTCCGAAGTTAGGCGCTTTTACGGTACGGTACCGTACTCAATACCTTCAAAGAAGATATTACGACATACCTGACCCAGTACACTCCAGGTGAACACTGGCACTCAACGAAGCAACAGCTCAAACTCGCGAATGAAAAGCGAAACCGCTACGGCGGTCACGCTCCGATGGCTCGTATGAAAGTTGGTAATTGCAATGAACCAAGTTGTTATCTTTGACGCCACCTCATAGCCGTCGATACGTCCATCCCACCCACACCCGTCGTAGTTGGTTTGCAGAAGCGTTCTGCTGCTGGAGTCGTTTACTGGTTGGGGTTGTATTTACAGGTAGTGTGCGTCTACTGTAGTTGCAAGCACAAAAATTGTTTCCTTTTGTTATTGCCTATTGGTTTTATGGCACTGTTAGGGGTCCTTGCAGAAATGGCTAGGTAAAACTCAATTAGTTTTACCAATATGACATTGGCACTCAAGTACTGCTATAGGCTTTGCGACGCAATAAGATTAAAATTGGTCTCACACACCAGATTAACAAAACTAAAAACTCGTTTCGCGGGCACACCATTCAAAATTGGCACTCCACGGACCGCACAATTTTTATTTGTGGGCTGCAGTTTTCACACCCCTGGTATATCTGATTGATTTCTCATATAAAGTACGGGCGTAGCCTCGGTGACCTAACTGGCCTTGCACACTGCCCCCACAAATAATAATCAACCAATTATAGTTGAATTATATTTTCTGTTGCTCCAAATGTATCATAGTGATGCCATTGTTTGTATCACTCTTTCGTCCGGTTATCAGTCCATGCCGGGCATAGGATTTCGAGCCCGTTATTTGTTTTCCGATGCATAACTTAATGATGAAGGAAGCAGTAACCGACCAGCGACTACCTGAACGACCCTACGGTGGCAAAGAGTTCATCACGCCGATGGTCGGTTAAGGCTTCCTCCATTATTGCTTGACCTAGTGATTTCGGTGTCCGGAATTTATCGTTTAACGTAGAATATTACGACTTTTTTAATCTATTGTATTATTTCAAAATTGACGCTGGTGGCATTTTACCAGGCTCACTCATTGGACAGGTTAGGTTGGGGGGGGGGGGCGACGAGACGACCTAATGATACGGCTTTTAGTCCATTTACCATTCCATGTTGGGATTAGATAGCCAGTTATTTGTTTTGTTTCAGATGCATGGACCCGATGTCGAATATATTCCTAACGCTTAGCACGGCGCGCTTTTATTAAACTTTTCTTTTCAAAAAGCGCAATTGTATATTCAAAAAATGTATTGTCTACAATGAAATAATCACCTCGGCCCTACATATATTAATTGAGAAAATACACAAATTCACTTAAGAATACATATGTACAAATTGAAGAAATATGTGAACACTAGGTAGGGATGGAAATGGTCAACCGATTTTAGATGGAAATTCCCAGCCCTAGTGAACACACTAAAAACAAACGTTACTGCAGGGTTAAAAGTTAACAATCGATTATGAACAATAGCAGGCTATGTATGTATAGTGTAATAATAAAGTAACTTGGCAGAGCAAAGCCGTAGTTTGTTTGACAATTGCATGTTTTCGTATAATTAAGATTTATTGCGAATTGAGGATTTTTATTGGCATTGGTAAGTATATTGGAGAATATCATTTATGTCAAGCGTACAGCCAGTTGCTAGTTGCCTCTTCAGCAACAGTGTTTTTAGTTACGCATTCATTTGCATTACGTCGAAAATTTGAAAATTATGTAAAGCTGCAGTTGTTACGATACCCAATAAATTGTGGCAAGTCGGAAAAAACAATTTGATTTATTGAGAAATATAATTTATACTTTTTCCGCTTTTTGGCAAATATTTGAAAGTATTGATTTCTTATTAGGATGATTTTCTGTTGAGCAAAATATTCAAATTCATGACCGATACCAGCATTTAAAATGCTTTGCCATATTAATTTAGCTCTTTTCAACATAACTCATGGTTAAAAATAAAGGCATTAGCCAGCCTACTACTCTAAAATTTCACGGCCATCTGTTGACATAAAAAGTGTGGTAAACTGCCCGATAATTAATTTTCGATTCGTATTTTCATACTTACGAAAATATAAAAGCATTAAAAGTCTAACACGGCAATCCGTGGGCAAAAAATGTCTGGTAAAATAGCCAGGTTGTAGAGTTGCAGTTATTCCATTGTTTATTGTATGCAACTAGTTAAATATTCGGTATCTCTGACTGAAATATTCAATAAAACAAGAAAGCTATGCTCAAATATACGGACACGTAGAGCCACATAATTTTGATGACGTCATAGCGAGAAAAAAAAAGTAATAGCCTTCTGGAGAAAAATTCTATCTTTAAGCACTGAAAATTTCAGAGCAATTGGTCCAGTCATCAAAGAGAAAAGCGATTTCTTCAAAACGTGTCAAAGAACAACAACAACAAGACTAAGAACAACATAACAACAAAATGATCACTATGTACACTACGTGTCCAATAAATGAAAATCGAAAGAAATTTCCATAAGACATAATGCGATAAACGGACCATACTTGCTAAACATTATAGATAGAATTGAAAAAAATAATCAAAAACAAATTGCCCGAAAATTTTGAAACAAAACGAAAAGTGATTATCTCAGACAGACAAACTGAAGAAATGTGGAACTAATATAATTTTAAATCAAATTATCCAATAAAATCGTCCTCGGATCCTCGTCTGTGACTAGTGATAGAAGTTAATCTCAGTATCAGCAATCAATGCTTCGAATCTTTCCAACTGGTCATCGTTGAAGCGGCATCCCCACATGTACAATTTTTCAACCTGACATTGACGAACAATTTCACTGATTGTAGATAATCCTTCATCTCCGAATTTGCTGAGTTTGTTATGATTCAGATCCAAGCACTTGATCTGAAATGATACATGTTGTTATCATATAATATTTATGAATTGACACATGGAAATGCATATAGGTTGGTTTGCTACTTTGATATTCCACTTGAATACTCCCGGTACCTTGGCTGTCAGAGTAGAAAACCTACAAAAAATCGTCCATATGGCATTGTACAATAGCTATCCAACTTTACCAAAATTAGCGAAGTGTTATTGGAAAACAGGAATTAGCAAGAAATATAAGCGGCTAGGGATGGGCAATGTAGAAAAATTTACTATTTTAGAATAGTCAAATCGAATCCAGAATACCGAATCCTATTCTATTTTCATACTTATTCAAATAGTGGGAATTTTCCAAATTGCTGGATTCAGATGTTAAAAAATTGTAAATGTATTACTATAAATGTATTATTTATTTGGAAATATTCTTAACATTGGATTTTATTCAATACTAAACAGACATTTGCCAGGAAAAAAATCTAAGAATATTACAATATTTTTTGCCTTCAATTGTGTCAAATCCCTAAATACTGATATGCTAAATTAAGACAAGCTTTAAACACTTTTAATAAGCGGTTGAATATAAAAATGGATATGAAACAGCATTAAATCATTATTAATGTTAGACTGCCGCATGTACTAAAACACACCCGCTGAGAATTAATTAGATGCAGGAGATTGTTGCAATCACATTATCGGAATATCGCCAGTAAGTCGGCACAAATAATTATTAATATTATATCCCAGCTAGATAGCAAAGCAGGAAAACGCAAAAATGGTGCAATAACGGGTCTTCGCCGTGAGGTGTACTTTGCCGACTTATTGTCCAGAATACGCTGATTGAGATTATAGTGTTTGATGTTTACCGATTTTACGGGTTCTTAGCGAGCAGACGCAAGTTTAATTTCACGAGAGATATTTCCATGCGAGGAAAAAGGCTCACTTTAATTGATAAATTAGAAACGTGAAATACAAAAATTGACGCATGCCGCCGGAGAGGCGGAAACCGAATCTTGTTATCGGATCCTGTTGGATTCGAATACTTTGGGATTCGAATTCTCCGGATTCGGTATTCGATATTGCCCATCCCTATAAGCCGCAAAGTTATGTATAAAATTGCAAATAAAATAAAAAAATGTTTACAATGCCTCAAGTAATTTGTGAAACTGTGAAGAATATTATTGTATTATTCTCATTTGAACTCCGGTCTAAACATGTTTTTCATTAGAGAAAGCCTTCATTCGCTCACTATTACCCCAAGGAATATGGAGCAATTACCGTATTTTTTCATGTATAATACGCACTTCAAGGTCAAATTCCAAGTTCAAAATAAGGGGGTGCGTATTATGCATTGACATAAGAAAATATCACAAACAATAATAATCCCTATTTTATGCTTAACTGGGTAATAAATCTGTGTTTTAATTCGGTGTCTGAAAACACGCTTTGACATCAGGCCTTCAAAGAGATGAGACAAATAACAGCATGAAACTCAGTTTCAGAAACTCTATGTGCATAATATGCATGGATATTGGAAAATTTTCGCCAGAGGTGGGCTAAAACAGTGGTACCCAAGCTTTCTACCGTGGCGGACCAGTAAAATTAAATTAAATGTACTCGCGAACCGGCAAAAAAATGAAAAGACCGGAACAGAAAAGAATAACATATATTTGAGTAATATTATGCAATTTCGGGCACTCACTATGCTTCTAGATGAAAGAAGGCACACTTAAAAATATTTCACACGAAGAAAAACTATCAAATAATGTGCCGACCAAAATTGAAATGGGTGAAACATCAAATAATACCATATATTTGCGTAATGAAATGCAGTGCTGCGTAAGAAAGGCACCCATACAACATCTCGCATGAAAAACATGTACATGCCACTGCAGTTGACCGACACCTCAAACGAAATGAATTTACATTACAATGACAAAGTCGTCGGTAATTTGGCACCAGGCTCAAAATCCTACTGTGCTTGCTCAAAATACTAAAAAGATCTCAGCGGCCCGTGCTTTTTTGCGCATCTCGTGACCACCTGCAGGGTTGCAACAAGTTCATATCTTACTGGAATATATACTGTTCTTGACTGTTTTCGGGTTTAAACAAAGATATATGCATAACGTTTTATATGGATGGTCCTATTAATTAGGAAAAGCATGCAGAACAGAAAAAAGTATGCGTGTCGATTTTTAGATTTCTGAATCTTGCGAGATTTGATGGAGCGCATTCACGATGAATCGGAGCCGAAAAAGCGAAGAGTGTGATTACTCGGCGCCAAGATGTCGCGAAAGCAGTCACCAATATGTCGCGAAAGACGTCGCAATATGAAGGCGGAAGAGAAATTGCGTAATAAACCAACGCAACCTCGTCTTCGGTAAAGCGATTGAGACGGCATGAAAACAACGAAATTTCTCGCGGACCGGCGAAAAAGCTTTGAACCGGCGGTTGGGAACCACTGGGCTAAAATACACATGCGTATTATGCAAGGAGAAATGCGGTACTTAGATATCACTCAGTTCAACGATTTGCCAGGAATCAGTGTTGGGAGCCATGATGCTTTGTTGGAGCTGTAGCTAAGCCTATTATTTTAACTGGAGTTGGAGCTTTTCAGAAATTTCAGACTCCAGTATGGTGGCCCATCGTTGTCACGCGTAAAATTGAAAATAAAAATAAAAAATAAAATAAAAAACCGATAATAAAAATTTTTTTGTAAAAAAACATAAAAATAATTAAAAAAAAAATGAAAAAAAAAAATTAAAATTAAAAAAAAAATAAATAAATAAAAACGAAAAAAAAAAAAAAAAAAAAAATTAAAAAAAAAAAAATTAAAAAAAAAAATTAAATAAAAAGAAAATAAAAAGGTTGACAACGATGGTCCGCCTCGTGGCCCATCGTTGTCACGCGTTTTTATTTTTAGAAAATTTGCTTCTGCTTGGGACCAACGTTGTCAGGCATAATCCTACGCGCACAAATGTGTTCCCTGGGTTTCAAACTCACTACTGATTTTCTTGAGCAATATTCAATATGAAAATGTTCTATAAATTCTCCATGCTACAAGTTCAACAAGAAGTAATATATTTATAATAATGACAAGAGAATATAGAATTGAATACGAAAATTCGTAAAATTTGTTTTTACGTGTATAAGGTAATTTAATTGGAGAATGCTGCTTAACTACTCAGTTGTCTGGACACTCGCGATGCCGGTACCGTACCGTCTTACCAAATACCGGTAGTCGGTTATAGTCGCTTTGCGTCTGACCGTACCGGTAGCCATACAATCACTCATCATCTCCCATTCTTTCACGAGTGATTGCATGGGTACCGGTACGGTCAGACGATACCGTACCGGCATCGCACGAGTGTCTGAGCAGTTAAGCAGCATTTTCCAATTAAATTACCTTCTACACGTAAAAACAAATTTTCGTATCCAATTCTATATTCTCTTATCCTTATTATAAATATATTGCTTGTGGTTGAACTTGTAGCATGGAGAATTTGTAGAACATTTTCATGTTGAATTCATTGGATATTGGTCATGAAAATCAGTAGTGAGTTAGAAACACATTTGTGCGTGTAGGATTAAGTCTGACAACGTTGGTCCCAAGCAGCATCAAATTTTCTAAAAATAAAAACGCGTGACAACGATGGGCCACGAGGCGGACCATCGTTGTCAACCTTTTTATTTTCTTTTTATCCAATTTTTTTTTCAAATTTTTTTTTTTTTTTTAATTTTTTTTTTAATTTTAATTTTTTTTTAATTTTTTTGTTTGTTTTATTTTTCAATTTTTTTTTTAATTTAAATTTTTTTTTATTTTTATTTTTTCAATTATTTTCATGTTTTTTCACAACTATTTTTTTATTTTCGCTTTTTCATTTTATTTTTTCATTTTTTTTTTAAATTTTACACGTGACAACGATGGGCCACCATACTCCAGTCCTCAACCAATTAATTATTTTTCACATTCAAAAATTTTCAAAACTCTATACAAATGATAAAATTCATCCTTTTTCAGTTCTATTTATTTTTCAACAGGTCAATTTCTAATATCATGTTACAATTTCAGAGTTAAATTTGTACAATTGAAAATTTCATTTTATTCTGAATAATTTAGAAATTTAATTTATTAAGTGTTGGTCTTAGTTAACTATATAAATGTTCCCCCAACCATTGACTCTGCTTATACTTTAGTATTGCAAAATTTTTTGCAATACTATTGGGATTGTTTTGGAGAGATGGCACTTAACTGGTTTACATAACGCAAGCCATAATTTTTCTTTGAATTATTTAACTACATGCCGCTCACAGGTTTTAAGCCTATCGCAGGTTTTTCAGGAATAATTTTTGATTATTGCAATTGAACTGAAACTTGTCGGAATTTATAATAACATTGTACATATTTGAATATCAACAAATTCGAACACAATTTATAACTGAATAACATGAAAACAACGACAATGAGGCAATGTTTACAGCCTTTCTGATTATCTGTCTGAGCGGTTGAAGTGGCTACACAAATTGCAATTGTTGACTTATTAGTGATTGGGTATTGTTACAAAATAAATAAGAAAATCGAAGCGCAGAAATATATCAATTGCATAACAGTTTGAAATTCTCAGGTTCCCATCTCATCTCATCAGGGTGCGATAAAATGGGTAGGAAATGCTGAAACCCGGGATATTTCGGTCCATAAATTCATCAAAGGTTGCTGGCTCAGAGATTCGCTCTGGCTAAAAAACATGTGATAATGGCGCATAATACACCAATGTTCAAAACATTTCTAAATTATAACAAATGTATGGTCAGGTATATGAACCGGTTTTACCTTTGCATTACTAGTGCTTTCCTTGAATGCATTTATTCCTTCTGCTGTCAGATTACATCCCCAAGCCTTCAATTCCTTCACATGACATTTTGAAACAACTAATCCAACTTTACCAAAGCCAGAAGTGCCCAGATTCTCATTCCAACTGATATTTAGTATATCCAACTGAAATAAATAAGATCAGTGAACTAATCTAAATGAACTCAGTCACAAATTGTGATCTGACAAAAGTATGAGAAATAAAGAAAGAAAATCATAAAAACTGATTGATCAGGATAGACAAATTTTTTATCAAGAATTTAATAGTCTGTTGTTTTGATGGAAATTCAACCCAAACCAAGTCTGATAGCTGATAAAAATTTTACAAGTTAATCAGGGCATATACACTGCATGGAGAAAAAGTTTCTTGATAATTGAGTGTTTTCAATTACCAGAAGCCAATTCTATTGAAAAATATTTGCTCACAAAAGAGGAAAGATGGTGTAATTGATATTTCAAGTGGAATGTTGTTTAGGTTGACTTATATATACAGTTGTTATTTCAATGGGCGATAGTAATGCACTACCTTCAACTCAGAAAACGTTCGCATCAAACAAAAATGAACAGATACTCTGAAATATAAAAGCAAGACTGTGCTTGCATGGATTTTGGGTGTCGCTGCTCGATAACCAGTTTGGTTCACTGCGACTTCCCTTCCCCTGTAAAACTGTGTAAATTATTTTTTTGTCATAATTTATGATTGTGATATTTTTTACTGATTCAATGTTAATTTTTATATACAGTTGTTATTGCAGTTGGCAATAGTAATGCATTGCCTTCAAAACAGGAAACCTCGGCATCAAACAAAAATGAACAGTCACTCAGATATATAAGCAAGACTGTCATTGTATGGATAGAGCCTAGAACAGTATTTCCCAATTGTTTATGCCTGCGAACCGGCGAAACAAAATAATATGGCTCATGCACGGGCAGTGAAATTATGAAACTGCCGTGTTGTTTTAGTCAAAATATTTTCTAGCGAATGTCCAATTAAACACCAACAAATACAATTATTCGTCACAGCGTTAATCACATCAAAATTGGGTTATGAGAAATTCGTTTCTAAGGTTGGTTTGGCAATCATCCAGATAGACAATGTGGGAGAATCAAATTATAACAAGCAGAGATATGAGTTTAAGTATTTTTTTTGGAAACAACTGAAAACTGACAAATAACACGCAAACCCATGAAAATGAAGCAACATCCACAACCATGCTGAATATATGTCTAGGCGGAAGAAGCATCTTGAGCGACTGCACAAATTGCAATTATTACGTTATTGTTGTCTTATTAGTGATTGGTCATTGTTACATAAATAAACAAGAAAATCGAAGCTCAGGAAAATATCCATTGCATCGCAGGTTAAAAATCACAGGTTCAAATCCCATACACATCACCACGAGGTGTAATAAATTGAAAGGACAATGCCGAATACGAAATATTTTGGTCTGTCAAACTCATCAATGGCTGCTTTAACAGAGCTCTGTTCTTGGGGATAATGTCGCATAATACAGCAATGTCCAAAAGATTTCTTAAATTATAGAAAATTTATGTTCAGGTATATAAACTGAAATTTACCTTTGCAATATGGGTTTTTTCTTTGAATGCTTCCATTTGTGCTGCTGTCAGATTGCAACTCCGAGCCTCGAATGCCTCAACCTGACATTGTGAAACAACTAATCCAAGTTCACCAAAACCAGCAATGCCAAGATTATTGTTGTGACTGACATTTAGTGAATCCAACTAAAATGAATAAGATCAGTGAACAAATTGAAATCCACTCGGTCACAAAATGTGATCTAGTGAAAGAATAAAAGTGTGAGAAATAAAGAAAGCAAACCATAAAGACTGATTGATCGAGATAGACAAATTTTTTATCAAGAATTCAATAGTCTGCTGTTTTGATGAAAATTCAACCCAAACAAAATTTGATAGCTAATTAAAATTTAACTTGTTAATTAAGACATATATACTGCATAGACAAAAGTTTTTGTCATTACATTGAAAGAGCCTAGAACAGCGGTTTCAAACCTTTTTACCTTGCGGACCGGCAATACAAAATAATAAGACTAACGGACAGGTAGTCCATGTCCAAATGAACACCAACTAATACGATTATTCGCCACAGTGTCAATCCCGGCATTGGCAAGCGAAATTAAAGATAATAAATAAAAATTGAGTTACAAAAACTTAGTTTTTATGGTTGGTTTCGAGATCAGGCAATAATGAATTTGGAATGAACAATGCAGGAGAATCACATAACCACCAGAGATATGAGTTCAAGTAATTCTTTGGAAACAACTGTAAACTGACAAATAACATGCAAAACCATGAAAGCGAGGCAATGTTCACAACCATGCTGAATATATGTCTGAGCAAAAAAAGTGTATGACGGCTGCACATATTGTAATCGTCATACTGGTCATTGTTACAGAAATAAACAAGGGAATAGAAGCTCAGGAAAATATCACAGTTTAAAAATCTCGGGTTCAAATACCATGCACATTACCACTGGGTGTGATCAATTGGTTAGGTTAGGCAATGCTTAAACCGGGGCTCCTCCTGAAGTATGAGCAACAAGATGGCGCACAACCTGAACTCAGGTTGTGTACCAGGTTAGGGTTCAGGTTATGCGACATCTTGGTGCGCATACTCCAGGAGTACCGAACCCGGAGATATTTCGGTCTGCCAAACTCATTAATGGCAGTCTGCACAGAACTTTGTTCAGGATTAAAAGCATGTAGTACCGTAAAAGCGCCTAACTTCGGACAGTTCCTAACTTCGGACAAAAATTTTAAACGGTTATATCTTGACTAAAAGGCGTCGTATATTGCCAATTTGAAATATTATAAGTAGCGCTGTTATATATACATCTATTCTTAACTTTTTTAATGTTGCATTATTATTTTTCAGGTAAAAAAACGGAAATATTGCCGAAAAATGACTACCCGGTATTCAACGGCGCAAGCTATCATCGCCAAAATATCATCATTCGGTAGAGGGCGATAACAATTTGGTTTTAGGTTTAGGCTGTTGATGGGCGCCAGATGCTTCCAGTCACTTCTTTGCTCCTGTTTTTTTATCGGCTTTAGCTGCTGCCTTGGTTTCTTTCACATTCCCGGACTTTTCTTGATGACTCCAACAGCAACAGTCTGTCGCATGTTTATCAGAGTGATCGCAAGATGTCGTACGAGATTTGAATAAAACCAAAAGTTCGACCGTTGTCGAGTGCGGATGTGTCTGCTTGAAAAGATTAGACTAGAAAACGCTATGCCCTGTATGTCTGTATGTTTCGTTATTTGTATCGCGTATTATCAACATGAGCAAAGCCCATCCATCGGAATCGAGGAAGTTTATGGATAAAAGATTGGATTTGAAGTTGAATGGTGGACGATCTGTTTTGGGTATATTGCGAGGTGTCGATCCTTTAGTGAAAATCCCGCTACCTATCTCAATATTAATTAACAAGATTAAGTTGAAGATCAAACTTTACAATTGGGTTCGCCGTGTGTTTGATATAAATTTATCACTAATAAAGATAACAGCGTAACACCAACAAAGCTATCCGTCGAGAATATTAATATTTTAAAGACTTGCAATACAAGCCCGTTAAAATATTTCATTGTAGATTAAAACGATTTGCATCAGATATATTTACTTATGTATTTCCTGATTGAAATGACTAACGTGTTATTATACTGATCTGACGTAACAAAAATAACGAACGAAAGATGTAAACATATGAGGATGGAAGTTTCAAATAAAGCATTTTTGTCACGACGTTGATGTTACGTTACGATGTCGATCGAGCGTCTTATCTTCACGCAACGACGTGATTATGTCACCCGCATCGGAAGCCTCTTTCTCTCTGTGCGTCGCGTTACGCAGTGAGGAAATGACTGTCCGAAGTTAGGGCAGTGAAGGATAAAGATCAGATGGCAAGGAAAATAGATTATTTTAATAGTAAAAATTTGCAGGGAATGTATATTACCGCACGAATGTTTTACCGAGAAATTTTGGCGCTGTTTGGACAATATATGGTCGAGTTATTGATGAAATATGGGAATTTTGTCTGAAGTTAGGTGCTTTTACAGTAATGTCGCATAAGACAGCAAAAAATTTGAAATTATAGCAAATACATTATCAGGTATATAAACTGATCTTTACCTTTGCATTACTAGTGCTTTCCTTGAATGCTTTTATTCCTTCTGCTGTCAGATTGCAATCCCAAGCCGACAATTCTTTCACCTGACATTTTGTAACAACCAATCCAACTTCACCAAAACCATAAGTACCAAGATTCTTGTTGTTACTGACAACTAGTTTATCCAACTGAAATAAATGAAAGGTCAGTGAACCAATCTAAATGAACTCGGTCATAAAATATGATTTTGACAAATAATAAAATTAAGAGAAATAAAAAAAACTATAAAATCTGATAGATCAAGATAGACTTTTTTTTATTATCTAGAATCCAACAGTCTGTTGTGTTGATGAAAATTCAACCCAAACAAAATCTGATAGCTGATCAAAATTTTCCAAGTTAATTATGACATATATATTTCATGAGGAAATTGTTAATTAATTATTAAGTTTTTTCAATTACCAGACCCCAATTTTGTTTAATTTTATTGAAAAATGTGTCATACAAAAGAGAAAAAAACGGTGTACTTGGCTTTTTCAAAAGAGGCATTTTGTTTATATTGACTTATACATACAGTTGTTATTGCAGTGGCTAATAGGATTGCCTTTAATACAGAAAACCTCAGCATCAAACAAGAATGGACAGTCACTCAGATATATAAGCAGGACTGTCATTGCATGGATAGAGCCCTGAACAGTATTTCCCAATTTTTTATGCCTGCGAACCAGCGAAACAAAATAATATGGCTCATGCAAATTTTGAGACTGCCGTGTTGTTTTGGTCAAAATATTTTGTAGCTGATTAAAAAAATTTTAAGTTAATTAAGGCATATGTGTGAGCAATGAGAATAGGTTGCCTTTACTACAGAAACTTCCGCACCATTCAGATATAAAAGCAGGATGTCATTGCATGGATTGAACATAGAATAGTGGTTCCCAGCCTTGTAGACTCGCAAAACGAAAAAATATAGCTCATGGACCGCATTCAAATTTTTGAAAGGAATGAAACAGCTCTTTTTTTCATCAAAATATTTTTACTAGTTTTAAAACTATCTTTAATTGGTGTTACAAGTTAAATAATAATCGTGTATTTAAATGGTTCTGCTGACTTGGTATCTCGCGTAAGTTACTTCGGCAACCCCCTTAGCCCTTAATAATATTGAAAATCCCATCTATGCCTAGAGCAGATAAAAGCGTAAGAGTAAATAATGTTATTAATCTTTCAAGATGTATTTGTAATAGAGTACTTCGAATTATGAGAGATCTGTTATGAATATCACTTAGATATACAAGCATGGGCGATTAAATGATTGATAAAGACAAATAAATGAAAACTGATTATGAACTCAGGAGAGAAAACAAAACCATGGAGAAAGTTTAAAATGTACAGTTATAAAATCGAAGATTTTGCCAAAAACATGTATTACGTGTTCACACACCTCAAGTTATTGAACCAATTCATACCACACACGCACACAACCATAGGTCTATAATAAAGTTAGAAAAAAAAGCTTTAGATAAATTTTAAAGTAAATGAAAAAATAAATAAGTGAAAAAGAAATTGGAATGAAAAATAGGAATTTTAATTAAAAATGAGAATTATTTGCCACATCATTTTAATAGTTTTATAAAAATTCCTAAATTGGATACAGATTATGTAAACAAGATTGAACAGTATTCAATAGGGAGACAAAAAAAGATTTTGCCAAGTTGAATATAATTGAAGTCAAATGCCAAATTGCCCAACCACAGTTACCAAAGTAGTGTGCATGAAGAGGTGGGCTAAATCGCTTCATTCACCCACGAAACGCCCTCATATTGCCAAATTGTAGTCCAGATTACATCAATTATCAAATGCTGAAGGTAACAGTTTGAGTAAAACATAATTAAATTAGGGTTTTGGTACTGAGGTAGGTATTGGAATATATTGATTATCAAGGGGATAAAGAAATTGAGGACGTTTTATAACAGGATCATTCGAGATTAACTCGGGAGATTTATCACGAAAGATGATTGTCTTTGCGTGAATCTAGAAGTTTCTGATAAAATAGAACTTGATGCTTTTTGGCAATTGGTATCTGGTTCTTGGTAATCCTACTCACAAATATAAAAAAAAGTCAAGCCATGTTTTCTTTCATTGAATTGTTCAATTTATCTAGGGCTCATCACAAGAATACCCTAAGGCAATGTCTTCAAACTTTTTAAGCTGTGCCTCTTTTTTAGAATTTGTCAAGTCTTGCGCCCTACTCCAAAATAACTAAGTAAAAATGGGCTACAAATAATAGTAAGGCGAAAGTATGTTTAATTCGAAAAATACATTGAAAATACCTGGATGGAACGTAAATATCCAAAATAAAGAAAATGCAAACATCCAAAATAAGGTGGGCAAGTTCAAGCCTAACAAATATTTTTATTTTTAATTATCTTAACGCCACCTCAAAAATTGTCTTCGCCCCCCTTGTGAGGCGCGCCCTACCGTTAAAAATCCACTGCACCTAGGTTGCTAAATTTAACAAGCAATGTTGGAAATGTTAATGTTCTATGCATGAGCATGCATGCACATTAACCTGTTTGTTACCTTGGTATTACGAGTGCTTTCCTTGAATGCTTTCATTCCTTCTGCTGTCAGATTGCAATTACAAGCCATCAATTCCTTCACCTGACATTTTGAAACAACTGATCCGACTTTACCAAAACCAGCAGTGCCAAGATCCTTGTTGTTACTGACATTCAGTACATCCAACTAGAATAAATAATTAAATTAGTCCTTCAATTCATAAATAAATTGAATATTCATTTTGAAAATTTATCATTTATTTATTATCAATTTATTATTTTACCTAATCGGTGCCAGATGTTATGCGAAGTATCTGATGTTCACTCAATCCAGGATTTTTTTACATTTTGATTACTAGAATATCGAATCTTATTCGTAAAAAAGTACTTCGAATTATGAGAGATCTGTTATGGATATCACTTAGATATACAAGCATGAGCGAATAAATGATTGATAAAGACAAATAAATGAAAACTGATTATGAACTCAGGAGAGAAAACAAAACCATGGAGAAAGTTTAAAATGTACAGTTATAAAATCGAAGATTTTGCCAAAAACATGTATTACGTGTTCACACACCTCAAGTTTTTGAACCAATTCATACCACACACGCACACAACCATAGGTCTATAATAAAGTTAGAAAAAAAAGCTTTAGATAAATTTTATAGAATACGAACAAAAAAATAAATAAGTAAAAAAGAAATTAGAATGAAAAACAGGAATTTTAATTAAAAATGAGAATTGTTTGCCACACCATTTTAATAATTTTATAAAAATTCCTAAATTGAATACAGATTATGTAAACAAGATTGAACAGTATTTAATAGGAAGACAAAAGAAGATTTTGCCAAGTTGATTATAATTGGAGTCAAATGCCAAATTGCCCAACCAAAGTTGCCAAGGTAAGGTGCATGAAGAGGTGGGCTAAATCGCTTTTTATATCGCCTAAATATTGCCAAATTGTGGTCCAGATTACATCAATTATTAAATGCTAAAGGTAGCAGTTTGAGTAAAACAAAATTAAATTAGGGTATTGGTACTGAGGTAGGTATTGGAATATATTGGTTATTAAGGGAGTGAGCAAGGATAAAGAAATTGAGAACGTTTTATAACAGGATCATTTAAGATTAACTCGGGAGATTTATCACGGAAGATAATTGTCCGGAAGTTTCTGATAAAATATAATTTGATGCTTTTTGGCAATTGGTATCTGGTTTTTGCTAATCCTACTCACAAATATCAAAAAGTCAAGCCATGTTTTCTTTCATTGAATCGTTCAATTTATCTAGGGCTCATCACAAGAATATCCTGAGGCAGGGGTGGGCAACTTCTGTAGTCGGCGGGCCAGATGTGGGAAAATGAAGTCCTCGGCGGGCCGGATTATTACAAAAAATACTTTGGAGTCCAATCTTTGTTAAATGCTCGACACTTTCTATCAACTTTACGTTTTTTGGGATATTCCATGGTGAATAAAACTTAATTTAAAATCTAATTTCTAAAATCTATTTATATTCAGATTATAAATATAACTGATAACAGCAGTGGGGAATGTTTACAACGCTGTCTGCTTTGTCTTAATATTGTTGGTTTAACAAGTGTGATAACGCAATTATTTGTTCACTATAAGGCAATTGTTTATTTCACCAACTCGCACTGACAGTGCGTTGAGAGTAGAGCGATCGGCAACTTTCATGAATGATGCGTCGGACCACATTACAGAGTATGGTTGGATACTGTCAGCGGGTTTGTCAAAATCTCGTCGCGGGCCGCACTGGCTGTATGTTGCCCACCCCTGCCCTAAGGCAATGTCTTCAAACTTTTTAAGCTGTGCCCCCTTTTTAGAATAGTCTTGCGCCTTACCTCAAAAATAACTAGCTGAAAATAAGCTACAAATGATAGTAAGGCGAAAGTATGTGTAATTCGAAAAATACATTGAAAATACCTGGATGGAACATAAATATCCAAAATAAAGAAAATGCAAACATCCAAAATAAGGTGGGTAAGTTCAAACCTAACAAATATGTTTATTTTTAATTATCTTAATGCCACCTCAAAAATTGTCTTCGCCCCCCTTGTGGGGCGCGCCCTACCGTTTAAGATACACTGCACTTTGGTTGCTAAATTTAACGAGCAATGTTGGAAATGTTAATGTTCTAGGCATGAGCATGCATGTACGTTAACCTGTTTCTTACCTTGGTATTACGAGTGTTTTGCTTGAATGCTTTCATTCCTTCTGCTGTCAGATTGCAATCCCAAGCCACCAATGCCTTCACATGACATTTTGAAACAACTGTTCCAACTTTACCAAAACCAGCAGTGCCAAGATCCTTGTTTTTACTGACATTCAGTACATCCAACTAAAATAAATAATCAAATTAGTCCTATTCCTAAATAAATTGAATATATTCATTTTGAAAATTTATCATTTATTTATTATCAATTTATTATTTTGCCTAAACGGTGCCAGATGTTATGCGAAGTATCTGATGTTCTCTCAATTCAGGATTTTTTAACCTTCTGTTCACTAGAATATCAAATAAAAACATTCTAAAAAACTGGAAAATCTAAACTTAAAATATATTCGAAATATTATTTGAAAATGTAAAAAAACAATGGTTCGGGGTTGACCTTCTCTGGATATCAATTCACTAAATTCACATACACTCTGTACAATAAAGTGAGATCCAAGGTTTATCAACAAAATATTTACAACATATTTAATGGATTAGGCAATAATTTTGTTATCATATTCCAAGTCTCAATGAATATGTTACAGACCTTTCCACAGACTTTCCATTTACTCAATTCCATTATTTGATCTTTAGTTGCTCTGAACTCTTTCCATGGGTCCATCAGAAGTTCTTTGACGTCATTTTCACTTGCAAACTTAGATATTGCGAGAAATAGATCAAATGTCATGCCGGTTATGAACCGAATATCCAGAGTGCAAATCTAGTAAAACGAATAGGATTATTGGGAGGAAATTTTGAAAATAAAGGATAAAACTTCATATCAATGCCAGCAATCTGTGGAACATTATGACTCTCGTCAAAATAAATCGAAAATGACAAGATTTGTCACAGGTCAGTGTTTATATCCAAGATTTCATATAATATTTCTAACTAAATTGTGAAATTTGCATTAAATATTAGCAAGCAATATTAAAAGTGACATACTCTAATACAATTTATTAGGCTAATAGTGCCACCGTCGAGCTTCAGCGGGTCAAAGACATAGCCATCTACAGGGGGCTATTTTTTTTTCTATCAAAAAGAGTGTACGACATGCTTGGGTTATTGATTGGGTTTTTGCAGAAATTTTTTCATGAACAGCACTTAACAAATAAGACAAATGAAATTACTTGCTTCTCACTCCAAATAATACAAATAAAAAGTGAAATTGCGGAAAAAGAAGATCAATTTAATCTTCTCTACATCGCAACCTAGTCCAGCAGAAATGCTGAATTGAAAATCACTACGAATATACAGATTATATTTAATGATAGATCAAGCAGCAATAAATAACAAAACCTTTAATCCCGAGTGACTTCCAAGAGCGTCCAGTTTTTCTTTTGTGAGTTGGCAATTTTGCATGACAAGGTCAATAACCTTATTATTTGCTGTCAATAAAGAACCGAGAGCATTGAATCCGTTTTCATCCATTGGGTTCTCACTGATATCAAACTTGGATAGCTGAAAACATAGAAATGAAAGTTAACTAACAATAAGATTACATATCTGAATTTTCTCCAAAAGTTGTGACAGATACAATTAATAAAAACCAACATCAAAAGTTTATCATTATTTAAAGCAAGCAAATTCTCATCATATGTGAATCATTTTACAATGTCACTTTGGTATGTTTAAACTGGGCGTAAATATAGTGTATCAAATAGTTGAAATAAAAATGGATATAAGATAATATCAGCATCTGTGTTAAGCTATTTTTTACATTCCTACTTAATATATTACTGAAGATATAAAAAAATTTTGCTCAACCAGCTGATGATGACTTATGTTACACGACTCTGTTTCTGTCATGCGAAGGGAGAATGAATAATAGATATTAGGTCAGAAAACTAGGATTGTCGATGTAGCCCACCGTGCTAAGTGTTAGAAGTACGCTTGCCGCCACATCTCTGATTACCCTGCATGGGTTCGCAGGATTGAATCTTGTGAGTAAAAATTATGTGCGAAAGGATTACTGGACTCCTTGCCACCGTAGGGTGGTTCACATAACCGCGGGTCGGTTGGGACTTCCTCCACCATCAAGTCCATGCGTCTGAGCAAATAACTAACCAATCCCATAACCGACATGATCTGGTAATCTGATTAAAGTCCGTGGTCCGCCTATGATTAGGCCGCTTCATTGGCCTTCCTCTCTCCCAAGAAAAAGATGCAATTCCTATCCTATTGCTGACAACATAATATGTGTACCAGGTTAGGGTTCAGGTTGTGCGCCATCTTGGTGCACATACTTCTGGAGGTCCCTATATAAACCTAAAATTTACCTATATAGTTCGTAAAATTAATTTTGGTGTATGTATTATTCTTTTTTTATCAAAAGTTTGTTCAAAAATGTTTTGGATGGTTAAATATAAAAATTTTGTAATAAATACAGTAAATTACAATAATAGTAAAATGCAAGAAATAAATATATGTAATTGGCATTTAAAATTTGAGGGAAATAACAAAACTTTATTCGGCAGTTGAATTACATCACAATAAATGTCACAAACTTCACCGATTTAAAAATATGCTTGACGTATACATTATAAAAATATATCAAAAACTGTTTGCGGCCAATTGCACAATTCCCAAAATGCAATAAGGCCTTCGAAAACCCACAAGTTTGACACCCCTGATCTATATTATACCTTCAATCCAGAATGACTCCCAAAAGCATCAAGTTTGGTTTTTGTTAATTGGCAATTCCGCATGATGAGCTCATCAACTTCAACACTATTTGAGAGTGAACCAAGTGCATTAAAAGCTTCTTTATTCATTGAATTTTGACTGACATCCAACTTTAGAATCTAATATTGGAAAATTACATAAAAATTAAGGGTGGTAAAACTATGTAAACAACCACGTGGTAGTGAACGTAGAACTTGAATCCACTTAGTGCAAAACAATTTTACATTTCAAATTTGTAAGCTTTTGATTAGCTTATTTCCAACTTGCGATATCACCAAGCCAACAGATATCTTAATATTTTTTATTACTTGAAGCTGAAATAAGTAAAAGAATTAAAAAGATTCAATCTATAGTAAACCTAAAATAAATATATGGTTGTTTAATGTAAATTTTTTTAAATTAGAATAAAACAATGACATTAGTAGATAACTTTTCTATGATCTAGATCCGTGCTTCTCAACTTTTTTCATATCACGGCCCACTTTCACAAATAATTTTACTTTGCGGACCACCTTCATTTACGTTTTTTCTAGTGGTTAGAATAAGTTGAGGCAGGGTTGTCCAAAACAAATCGAGTATTCGAATATATTTGAATATCAAAGTATTTAAACCATTTCGGCAAATTTTCAAATAATTCTGAATGATAGCCTTTTTTTGCGTCAGCTAGGTGTTTCATTTTCGAGGGAAGTCATTCAACGATTTTCTGCACTTTTTAACGTATTGTATTGACAATGAAACAGAATTAGCATTTTGATTGTTTTTAATATTCTGTGCATGTTTGCACCGCATTGCGGGCCACCATGAGATGCTTGACGGTTGAGAAGCCTGATCTAGATATCTTTCAAAATCATGACATGCAGGCGCGCAGTCAGAATTTTTCAAAAGGGGAAGGGGTTTCAAAATCGGAAATTAAAAGAGCCACCTTTTTCAGCATATAATAATTTTTATGTCACGAAAAATATTCAATCCATGACAACTACGAGAATCCAAAAATGTCCCTATATATAATTTAATTGTGTCCAATGTAACTTGAGTTTGCGTCTTCTTACGTCAAAATAAAAACATTACTACTTCAAAACACCACCGCGATCTGTGGACATAAAAAGGATGAGATATATTGCCCTTTTGTATTTAGTTTTGATACGTATTTGTGTGCCGTTATCTGGGTTAAAAAAAGATCTGATATTAAATCTAGAAAAGTACAATTTAATTTCGTACAATAAAAATTACATATAAATTTCAGCAGTAAATCGAAAATACATATTAATTGCCTCGAAATCCTCGCGGAACAGTCACCTCGATTACAGCACTTGTTAAAAGAACCGACTTTTTCAACGAATAATGATATTTCTATTGTGCAAAGTAATCAAACCATGACTGACATGGGCTTGTTTAAATTGTCTTGCTTTATTAATTCAAATGTCTTCAATTTAACATTGCGGTTTTAGTAACAATATAGTTCTCAACGCCGAACCAACATAATTTTGTGATTTTCAATGCCTAGAGAAGAATTTCAGATTGTCGGCGGGCCTCCTACAACAGAACTTGTTGTATACGTTTCTATTTTAAGTAATTTATATTCCCGCTTTTCAATCAAATAATTTCCCTCATGGATTCACTACTTTATTTGCCTTGTTGCCGATAAACGTATTATAACTCTCACCAGATTCACAATCCTGTGCGAGTACAGGAATTAAGTGATTATCATTGTTATTATGGTCCAAATTTGTGGATGATTAGTGATTTAGAGAAAATAAACACCAACATTAAAAGCGTTTAGCGCTGAATAATATGTGATGTACAAAAACAATCAACGACTTTGGCAAAATGCAATTGCATGCGGTATTGGCGATTTTTTCAGTTTTTCAAAAATTTGAAAGAGGGTGTTTTTTTTTTATTTATTTAGTTGGCAATTTTGCATGACAAGACCAAGAAATTCATTATTTGTTATTAAAACGGAACAAAGTGCATCGAAGCCTTTTTCATCCATTGGGTTTTCACTAATATCAATCTTGGATAACTGAACATAGATAAATAAATGAATTTCAAGTATCAATGAGATTACATATCTCAATCCTATCCAGAAGTTTTGGAACAGATACCGGCTTCTGGCTCATCAAGAAAAGTAGTTTCCTGCCTAAAATTGGTTATTTGTATTATAATATCTTTCGCATGGTTACCTCAAACCTCAAAAAATTTAATAAACATTTAACGGAAAAAACTTCACTATCCAAATCTACCAATATCAAACATCATAGAATTAGCTGTTTTGTTTGTATTTTACAACCAACTTAACCCTTTCCATGCGATTTTTATTTTTTATTAAATAATCGTATTTGCTACGCCGATTTTATGCATTTGTACCCCCACAACTAATCGATCGACTAACGAAAAACTAATGATCCTCTGCTGCCCACTGACGGTTCGTTGGAAAGCTTATTTAAAGAGCTTGCAATTGGCGATTAAAAAAAAAGTTTTTTCAAAAGTGGTGGTCTGAGTCACAAACCGGACAGAAAAAAGGCATTTTTTTTCTTGGGAGTTGAAACTTCAAACTGTGATAAAAAATAGAAATTTTCGCTAAATCCTTTTCTGTTACCGATTCGTGGTTGGCAAACAATAGCATAATATTGCTGTAGCAATTTCGTGATCCAACTCAAAATACTTTGGTAGATGGAAGGGATGATATGTCTTCTATTACCACCCAAAAAACACCGAAATTTGCATGAATTTCAAAAACACTCCCTCGTTCCGCCGCAAATAAAATTCCCGTCGTAAACGAAAGCGTTACCGTCGCTTATGTTAATCTCGAAGAAGACTTCTTATCAATAAACTAAAACCCGGAAAAACCAGACCAACAGTTTGCGACCGATTGCTAAATAAAACAGTGGATTACATCAACAAACCCGCCGCAATCTAGCGACTTTTGTCGTGGGTACGCATACTAGCCCACCACACGGAAAGGGTTAACAACAGGTAAACAGTGGCATAATATTACAACTTTGTCATACTTTTAATCCAGAATCACTTCCAAGAGCATCAAGTTTTGCTTTTGTTAGTCGGCAATTTCTTGCAATGAGTTGGTCAACTTCATAGTTTGATAAAAGTACACCAAGAGCAATAAAAGCTTCTTCGTCCATTGGGTTTTGACTGATATCAACAACGGATATCTGAAAACATAAAGATAATGCAACATCAGTGCACCAAAGGCTGGTATTTAAGCATGGTTGATTGTTGGAGGGCTGTGTGGCGCAGCGGTGTGGCTCAACGGGCTAAGCGTTAGGAATACGCTCGCCACCGCACCTCTAATTACTCTGCGTGGGTTCGCAGGTTCGAATCCCCTGCAGGGATGGTTATGTGCGAGAGGATTGCTGGACTCCTCGCCGTCGTTGGGTGGTTCACGTAACCGCTGGTCGGTTACGGCTTCCTCCACCACCAAGCATGCTTCCGAAAACAAACAATATATAACTAATCCCATACCCGACTTGGAATGGTAACCGGACGAGAGGCCGTGGTTCGCCATATGGATAAGCCGTCTTATCGGCTTTCGTCTCCCCCGGGATAAATATGTAAATCCTATCCTATCTTGTTGCCTACTAACACAGAACATATACATTTTATATCTCTTGAAGCTATCAACAAAATAAGCAAAATCTATATTAAACCTCAGATATGTTTATGTTTGTTTAGTGTAAATTTTTCAAATTTGTATAAAACAATGACATTAGTATATTTCCTAGACTATTTTTCTATGATCTAGATATCTTTCCTGAATCATAACAGACATTAGCAGAAATGCTGAATAGCAAACCACTTCGAATATACTTTGCAGATTATTCAATAATATATCAATCAGCAATAAAAAAACGAAACCTGTAATCCTGAGTGACTTCCAAGAGCATCTAGTTTTTCTTTATTCAGTTGGCAATTTTGCATGACAAGGCCAAGAACTTTTGTATTTGTTTTTAAAGCAAAACCAAGAGCATTGAAGCCTTTTTCATCCATTGGATTTTCACTGATGTCAAACCTGGATAACTGAAACATAGATAAATAAATGGATTTCAAGAATAAATAAGATAACCAAGATCAAGTATAAATAAGTAGTTTCTTGCATAAAAGTGATTGTTTGTACAGACTCTAGCTTAACCATTATACCGAATGAAAGTGTGATGCTAGATTTTTCGCCATTATTATTATTCGTATCGATATCATAATATCTTTCACATGGCTACCTCAAACAATTTAATAAACATTCAACTAAAGTAAAGACACTTTACTACCCAAATCTACCAATATCAAATATTATATAAAATTGACTGATTCGTGTGTATTTTCCGACCAGCTTAACAACAGGTAAACACAGTGGCATAATATTACAACTTTGTCATACTTTTAATCCAGAATGACTTCCAAGAGCATCAAGTTTTGCTTTTGTTAGCTGGCAATTTTTTGCATTGAGTTGGTCAACTTCATTGTTTGATAAAAGGTCACCAAGAGCACCAAAAGCTTCTTCGTCCATTGAGTTTTGACTGATATCAATGATGGATATCTGAAAGCATAAAGATATCGAACATCTGTGCAACAAAGGCTGGTCTTTTGGCAAGGTTGAATGTTTGAAGGCTGTTGCCTACTAACACAGAACAGAGAATTTGAAACCCCTAACAGAGGTTATTGATTTTTCAATATATATCAACATATTGCATCAAAATGTCATAAAACAGTGAAAAAGAAATGATAAGACTCAATTATATGCTATCCATAAAAACCTTTCAAAAACAAAACCATCAGTAAATAGAAATATGGGTAATGACACCGAAAAATGTCTGTGGTCTAGCTCACACCTCATGCTACCATTTCTAAAACCTCATAATGCCATTTGTAATGACCCACCAGTAAGGAATAGCGCAAAATGAACAATGTTGCCCCACAAGACTAGTTGTGATAGGTTTATTTTGACTTGCAAACTCAGATATTGTAAGACATAGATCAGATGCCATTTGAGTGATGGATTGAACATCCAGAACATTGATCTGAAAATTATTGCATATGTTGAGAAACAACAAGTATAAAGGTTCCTAGAATAGGGAAATTTATGGGTATCACATTTTAGCCCAGACCGATCAGATATCATTGAAAATAGCCAATAGCGATATTGCAGTAGGTTTGAAGGTGACTGCAAATACTTATGGCAGGCCTTCTGTTATTCAATGTGAAACATATTAATGTTTACATTTGATATGAAACCAGTATGCACATATAAACATACAAAATAGCAAACAACTGATGACCCCCACCTCACCCAGGGTGTAAGAAATTAGGTATGTTTTGCTGATACGCAACCACAAAACTTGGAAACTTTTCTATCAGAACCCTTACTCTTTCCATTGTAGTTGAAGATTCAAGTTCAAATTTGCTAAAAGCAACATCCCAAGCAACTCAACTAAAAGTGGAAAAATGAGTTCTGATAAGAGGGTTACAAATTTGCTCAAAGCAAGACTGCTTTTTATATCATTCATACCAGCACCTTCACACTAGGGAAGCCTTGTTTTTCTACTGATTTGTTTGATTCAGGTATTACACAAAATATAAAAGTCTCGCATATCGATACACCGGCCTTTACACTCTTAGTCTCCAAGAGCCTTGCTTTGAGAAAACTTACTTCCCTTCTATCTTTTTGTATAGGGCTCAGGACCTTGCATTGAACAAACTTGCAACATTTCCATCAGTACCCATTCCACTTTTAGCTGAGGGCCGAGGACCTTTTTCTGTTATTACCGGTACGGTAGTTGAGGACCTGGGACCTTGCATCGAGCAAACTTGCAACTCTTTTGCAATTACTCTTTCCACTTTTAGTTGAAGACCTGGTACCTTGCTTTGGGAAAACTTGCAACACTTTTATCAGTACTATTTCCAATTTTAGATGAGGGCTCGGGACCTTGCTTGATCCCCCCCCCCCCACTTTTCCACCTTTAGTTGAGGGCTCAGGACCATGCTTTGTTTGTGCAAATTTGCAACTTTTTCCACTTTTAGTTAAGTTCACGGGACCTCGGATCTCTTTTATCAGTACTCTTTCCACTTTTAGTTGAGGACTCGAGACTTTGCTTAGAGCAAAATTGCAACTCTTTTATCAGAACTTCTTTGATTCGAGCAAACTTGCAATTCTTCTATCTGGAGTCTTTCCACCTTTAGTTAAAAGCTCGGGCAATATAGAATACCGAATCCGGAGGATTCGAATCCCAAAGTATTCGAATTCAACGGGATTCGGTTTCCGCCTCTCCGGCGCCAAGCGTCAATTTTTGTATTTCAGGTTTTTCGGGAGCGTTATTTCTCGCGTGGAAATCTCACGAGCGTTTTTTCTCGCGTGGAAATCTCACTCGTTTATTATAACTTGCGTCTGCTCGTAAAATCGGTAAATATTAAACACTATTATCTCAATCGGCATATTCAGGACAAGAAGTCGGCGAAGTACACCTGACGACGAAGACTCGTTATTGCACCATTTTTGCGTTTTACTGATTCGCTAATAACTAACGTATAATATTAATAAATATTTGTGGCGACTCAATAGCAATATTCCGATATTCTGATTGCAACAATCCTAAATTGTTTACAGACGTGCCTTGCTTCATTTTACATTAAATGATATCTCGCGACTTGCGAGTTTTCCCCAAAAATGATGCATGTAAACCAAAAGCCAGGCGTTAAATGTTATAACATTGCTTGCGAATAATTTAGATCAAATATTATTTACGAATAATTTTATTACACTATTTTCCGAAATACAAAAGTTATATCGCAATACGCGAAAATCTGTCACATTTAAATTTCACGCTCAAAACATTACATTTTTTTCGGTCCGTTTCCATCGTTCAAGATGGACGCACGTTTGATTGAGTGTCTGTAGTATTTTCGTCGCTAATAAATTTTAAATAAAGTTGCCGCATCAGGCAAAGATAGTGACGTATTGAATTTAAATAGGGCCAAGTCTGGGTAGATTATGCTATGTAATGATAATTATAGAAAAGGAATTAGTCTTTAGATGTTATTACCTAATAACTAACTACGAAATCGGGTTTACGAGAAATTTGTTTTGCAAGTCTTGCTTGCACAGAAATAAAAAGATGATATTGACTGATAGTGGTTAAATTTAATATTTTACAATGGCCGCATAGGTTGCAGTTGCAGTGGCCACACGCTGGTCCTACATCTAATTATTCTCAGCGGGTATGTTTTAGTACACTCGGCAGACTACCATTGAAAATGATTTAACGCCGTTTCATATCTATTTTTGTATTTAATCGCTTACTATTAAAGTGTGTAAAGCAGGGGTCGGGAACCTTTTTGGTCAAGAGAGCCATAAAATATACATATTTTCAATTGCATTTCCGTGCAAGCCATATAATATTTCTTCACTTAATCAGGCCTGAAATGTTCACTCAAAAGTCAACACATACAATGTCAATATACATTTAATGTGATTTCTGATGCTGCATCTAGTCGCTGCGGGCCTTGAACGGTTGCTCACATGCAGCCCAAGTTGAAATCTACGATACTCATCACCCTTTTTCGTTTAGGCATCTCCGTAGTGTTTTTAAAACTCTATCGCTCTGTGATGTCACAATATATGTTTCGGTATCCCCTTGTTCGTCACAATGCATGTCTGGTAATTATCTTACATAACATAGACATGTGCTGGACGCGCGTTCTCAAACGTATTGGGAATTTCCTGCCAGATTTGGCTATAAAAGAGTTTGAAATCTCGTAACAATAGTAAGCTTAGTCTTGGAATATTAGATTTTTCTGAGAGCCATATGCCGTCACCAAAAGAGCCATATATGGCTCGCGAGCCATGGGTTCCCGACCCCTGGTGTAAAGCGTGTCTTAATTTAGCATTTCAGTATTTAGGGATTATTGGAACATTTGGAACAATTGAAAATAAAATCGGATTCGGTATTCTGGATTCGATTTAACTATTCTAGAATATTCTAGAATAGTAAATTATTCTACATTGCCCATCCCTACTTACAACTCTTCTATCAGTCCCCACTTTTAGTTGAGAGCTTGGGACTTTGCTTAGAGCAAACTTGCAACTTTTAATCAGTACCCTTTCCCCCTTTAGTTGAGGGCTCAGGACCTTGCTTTAACCAAACTTGCAACTCTTTCTGCTATTACCGATAGTTGAGGACCTGGGGACCTTGCATCGAGCAAACTTGGAACTCTTTTGCAAGTACTCTTTCCACTTTTAGTTAAGGGCCCGGGACCTTGCTTTGAGCAAACTTGCAACTCTTCGACTTTTAGTTGAGGGCTCGAGACCTTGCTTTGAGCAAACTTTCAACTCTTCAATCAGAATTCTTCACGATATTAGTTCAGGACTTGAGACCTTGCTCTGGGAAAATTAGCAACTCTTCGATCAGAACTCTTTACTTTACGCTTCTAGTTAGGAGCTCGGGACTTTGCAACTCCTCTATAAGAACTCTTTCCACTTTTAGGAATTTATGCTTTTTTAGGACTTAGAACCTTGCTTTGTGCAAACACTTTTACCACTTACTAATATAGCCGACTTTTTAGCTGATGACTTTAAAGTATTAATAGTCTTGCTATAAAAATTAAATTGTGTTCATTGTTACTTGCTATTGTAGTCACTTGTAACAAAATAAAAGCACTACCACCTAAATATAACTATTACAAAGGTTTTGGACTTAGTTTACCTTTCCACAAACTTTCCATTTACTCAGTTCCAACAGCTGCTCTTTGCTTGCCTTGAAGCAATCCCACGGATCCATCAAAAGTTCTTTGACATCATGTTTAGATGCAAACTTGGCAATTGCAAGATACAGATCAAACGTCATGTTTGTAATAGTTCGAATATCAAGAACGCGGATCTGAGATAAATAATATATGTTTATTAGGTGAATTAAAATACAAATTCTCAAAACTGCATAACTAGACTAGTGAAACTTGACTTGAGATTTATCGAAGATAGTCTCTTCATAAATACCGTTAATGTACAAACCATTAAACAAGCATACACCACCACAATCGCAACCGTGGTGCAAACATTGAGTGAGCAATGATGAAAAGAAAAGACTTCAGTTTTTTTTTAATGTATATCCTTTTTTAACTTATGTTGCCTGCTTATGTTAGCTTTTTGAAAACTATATAGTCAAAGTTTGCAAGGCGGATTCGTATTTCAGGTGAGCCACAGTTGGGAGAGAAACAACACTAAGATTGGTCAGTGATTTAAGTAGTCATGAGGCATTTCATGTGTTTCAATTTTGGTTTACCTTTCCAAAAACTTTCCATTTACTCAGTTCCAACAGCTGCTCTTTGCTTGCCTTGAAGTAATCCCATGCATCCATCAAAAGTTCTTTGACATCATGTTCAGATGCGAACTTGACAATCGCAAAATACAAGTCAAATGTCATGTTTGTGATAGTTCGAATATCCAGAGCGCGAATCTGAAATATAAACTACCTGATAAAAATATAATGACTCATGGTAAATTGATTAATTAATTACAAAATGAAAGATCATCTCTGGCGAATATTAAATTGTTAATAATTGAATAGTTTCACAAAATTATTAGAAAAAAACATAGCAAACCCACTAACAAAAATTAAAAACAAAGATTAAGGAATTGATATATTAAACCATCTTAAAATTTATATTTCGACCTGTGATTGGAAATGTCTTCCAAGCACACGAAGCTTTTCTTCTGTAAGTGAGCAGCCACGCATAACGAGTTTTTCCACTTCAATGTTTGTTAAAACTGAACCGAAGCTATCAAAAGCTTCAACGGACATCGGATTTAAGCTGATATCAAATTCTGACACCTGTTAGGATGCAATACAAATTAATATCAGAAATATAAAATAAAGTTAAGATATGTTCATGGCGTTGTTTGTATAACTGTGATAATTCTAAGATTTTAAGCTAATCGACTAAATATACAGTAGTTTGACAGATGGGAGATGCATTTTTTTATCTCTTGATGTTAAATTAAGCGTATTCTTTGTATTATTTTCGTCAACGATAATATGTAAATTAGTTTTCCACTAAACACTTGCCTTCACTTCAGAACCTTTCAAGTTGAACTCGAAGTTTTTTAATAATTCTGCATTGAGCTCACAATTGACGAGGCGAACTTGTTCAAGATGGCCACATCGTCGCATGACACCTGACATTGCACACATTCCTGCTGCAGTGAAAGACTCATTTTCAAAGTTGATTTCTTGAACATGGGATCTAATGAGCTCGGCATCATTGGCTTCATATAACGCACCAAACAACTCCAACTTCTGATAGGATTTCGTACATTGATTTATCTTAGTTGTGAGTGCATGTTTGAGACAATTTTGCTTTTCTAGTCCAGTCTCTGACAAAAACAAAAATTCAAAATATTCAGGAGCAGGGTTTGCACATTTCTCATTGGGGAAATAACACCTATAAAATGACTCATTCATGTCACAAACCCCGGCACCCCCTTCTGTTACCAATACAACGGTTATATTAAATGGTTACTTTCTACTTGTGGTAGATGTTGCATTAACCACTTAGCCATCTCGAATGCGGTAGGGTAATCATAGTAGCTATGGCAAAATTATTCCTAGCTCTTGGCGCAATATGATAAAATTTGATTTATTCAATAATTGTAACGTCCTGATTGCACTTACCAGTTGTAAGATCTTTGATGAATTGAGCTTTAATTTTTTGATCGAAAACAGTTCCACACAGGAGCCGTAGAACAACAGACCAGTGATCTTTGTGGATCTCGTTAGTGACGAATGCTTGGAAAGTTGCGAGATCCATGTTGGCGATGTACAGGGCAGCTAACATTTCTTGAAGAATTTGATGACTGAAGAACATCAGAGTGTCACCTTCCAAAAGATGTTGATTCAGCAGTGTACTGCCACCAGGTACTTCTATGATGAGATCGCTTATCATTTCTTTTGTAAGTCCTGCATTCTTTAGATCCTTAATGTTAAAAATAACTCGCTTTTCTCGGGTGCCCTCAAAGGACATTTTCATCAAATTGTGAAGAATTCCTTCAATCTTTTTTTGCTCTTGAATGTGTGAAGAACGAATGAAAATATGAAGTACTTTTGTCATTACATCAGTCATTGTATTAGGTATATTCTCTGGGTTGGATTTATGAACAATAGCATTGAAAATCAAAAATAAAGGGACCGAGGACAATGGCACGAGTGCGGGAGACTGAAAAGTCATCTTATTCCAGGATTCTTCCCCTGTTTCACCTACAACAGCAGTAAATAGTTTTTTGGTGTCATCACGTTCAAGGCCAGCAAGAGCAATAACTAATGGAGGTCGAAGCTCCAGAGGAAGGGATGCCATCCTGTGTTCACGTGAAGAAATAACTAATGTTACATCGGGAAACAAATTGCCTGATAAGATATTAAACATGATTGTGGCTGTACTAGATCTATCAGTATATGTCATCTTATTGTATTTCCCCTCTAGATTCCATGTAGCCTGATCCAGACCATCAATGAAGAAAATTGCTTCAGATTGGTGTTGCTGAAGCCATTTATATCCCGCTCTCAAAGTTTGATTTGAAAGATTGGGTGCAAATTTTCCAAAAAGCAGAGTACATGGAGTTAAAGCTTCTTCTGGTGTTAAACCATAAGAAACAAGAAGATCTCTGAAATTCAAGTGATGAACAAATTTGAATCCATTTTTCTGTTTCCTGAACAACCGAGCGAGCCATCCCATTTTTGCTTTGGATTCGTTATCCAGTTCATTAGCGACGAGAACGCCTCGTGCAGTACGCTTCATCATTGTGGTCTTGCCCCCTCCAGCTTGACCCACTAGTCCTACGCATCGGTCACCTCCCTCACATAGCTGTTGGACTAGTTCATTTGGTGAGATCACTTCTCCAATGTTCTCATTCGCCTCTGTAACAGCGAACTCTTGTTCCTTTCTGTACTCTGTGACATCAGGTGCCATCTGGCCCCTGTAAAAACCAGTTACTTTGATTAACTTTGGATTGACCTCAAATTCAGGCTCTTCTAAGTTTTGTTCCTTGTAGCTTTCTGTAACATTGACTGCTGTTTGTTCCCACGTTCTCCGATTGAAATAATCAATGAAGCTTCTCGCACCTGAACAGAAGATTTCTATAAAGATTTTGATTAAAAGGAGACCTTAAGAAGTTAGATTAGATATAAAGGTGTGTTTACACTGAATGCGACGCGCTGCGGCAGCACCTATGGTCGCGCGTCATGGGTGTTTACACTGCGCGTGTCATTCCTGTATCGCTCGATGGCGCCCGGAGTCGTTGCCTAGAAACATAGACGCGCCAAATTCATTTAAGAACATCAAAGTTCAAACTTACCTAGTTTAAAATAGAAAACTAGTTTGAACATCGAACTTAATTACAACAAAGACGAAATTGAATAAAAAGATTATTTCAGACCATGCAAGGACATGTGCAGAAAGATAAATATTATAAATCATCATCAATATTACAATTCATTGTGCTGAATATCGACAAAATAGTTCGATTAATTTTCACTCTGCAATGTCTGACCATCAGAAGTAACCCAATTGCCATATTCTGCTTATTAAATAAAATTAACCAAGTATTCACTACATCGCACTGAACTAATTACAATACATTTGTGCTTGGACATAAGCAGTTGTCCATTTTTGGAAATTGTGGATAATTCATTACAATTCATCACCCTAGGTATGCCAAAGAGAAATTTCATTCAATATTGCTAACTGAATACCATTGCAATTTTGTTTAATATGACAAAATCCACTCTAGATTTAACTCCCACAGGAAAACAAGCTAGTCATAGAGTATAATAACATTGAACAGTCAGGGGAGCCTTCAAATATAAATATGCATCAAAAAGAAATAATATCCTTGGGCGTGGAATTAAACCAATGATACTATAATTTGACCATCTATAAATTACAAAGATAATAAATGAATGTGAAATAGTGTGTCGCTCGACCAAAGGCGCAGTCGCGGTGAGCGTCAAAATCGCCAGCCGAGTGTAAACAGCGTCATTTGATACAATAGGAAGCGATCTCGGGCGCATGCCGCGTCGCGTCGTATCCAGTGTAAACGCCCCTTTATAAGGATAATATTCATGTCAGTGACTGGTTACCAGAGCTTTGAATTTTTTGCTGAACTCTGTAGCATTGGCTCATGAGCGAGATATCAAAGGTGACCTAACAAATAAAAAGTTAGAAGCCTCTCAAACTCTTTTTATGTGTGGATGGGCTCGTGTTTGTAATTTCGCAAGCTATTAATCACATTTTAGTTGTGTTTTTAAAATTTAAATATAGGATAGAATTACATATTTATCTTGGGAGAGGAGGGGGAAAGTCAATAAGACAGCTTTACCATATGGCAAACCACGGCCTCTCGTCTGGTTACCAGTCAATGTCGAGTATGGAATTGGTTATCCAGTTATTTGTATTCGGATGCATTGACTTGATAGTGGACAAAGTCACATCCGACCCAAGGTCACCTAAACCACCCTACGGCTGGTAGTTTTAGTTTAGTCGCAGTAATTTAAAATTAGTCAAGGGCCGAGAAATATAAAAGTTCCAAAGCTTTACCAAATTACGAAATATTGCCCCGCATTTGGTTCCCAGTGCATGTAGGGTATAGAAATAATTGACACATTATTTGTTTCGAATGCATGGACCTGGTGGTGGAGTAATAATCGACAAGCGGTTGAGTAAACACTTCGAATACTTAATAAGAAACAGCATTTAAATTTTTTTATGTTTTTATATTAAATTAAAGATGTTCACCTCCAAAAAGTTTCTCAGTAAGTCGTTGGAAGAAGCCTGAAAAAAAGAGCCATGAAAACATGAAAATTTGTTTGGAATTGATTTCATCAGGTCTAAGTGTGGCATATGTAGATGATGGATAAATGAATATTGCTCCTCTTAACCATTAAATTTCAACTTTCATAAGATCGTGAGTCGCGTTTGAGTTGAAATATTCCGATAATTACTCTCGTTATGCAAAAATTAAATTGAAGAGCCTAACAATGAATAAAACAGGGAGACGTGACACCTAAATGTTTTACCAGTGATATGTTACACTTGTCAATTGTCATGATCTTGTAGACACAATTGAAGAGTGATTTCTAAGAAATTTGTTGGACCTAGCAAGGCTGGACTTTTCCAATTCGCCAGAACATACCTGGTGAATTCCCTTTATACACAGGAGCAATTGCTGTGCTTGTATCTGGTAATGGTTGAATTGGTGTTCCAGTTGGGACTGATGAAGAAGAAGGGGCTGCATCTGCAGAGAAATTAAAAATTGTTGCATGCAAGTTGAAATATAATATAGTGTGAATTGTGAAAATGCATTATTTGCTAAACTAGAAAATCGTATCAAAATAGTGTATAATAAAAATAGTGGCCCTTCAGGATAAAATTTTACTCAAATAAATTTTGGTTTCTCACTTATGAATGCTTGAAGTCGATAAGTTAGCGTTGCAAAGGAATCTCGATCGCAAGTCTCAGGGTTCTATTAGGAGTCAGCCCATGGCTAAGAAATTTGGCCACTTTGTAATCAAATTCAGCAGGCTGAGGGGTTGAGGTGTTTTCCTTTTGTAAAGTTCATAACAAGTTTCATTTACCTGTATGTTCTTTTCCACTGAAGATGTTAACGTTGCCATAAACATTTGTGGTTGCTACTTGGCCTTTAGTTATCATTGCTTCATCTGAAATATTGATATCAGAAAATCATTTATGCAATATATTACAGCAAATATTGTGTGCCATTTAAAATGAATGAGTAAACTTTGATAATACTATAGAAACGGAATGACCAAACTAATATTCAACATAGATTCCAAAGTTTTTACCTCCAATAATGTGAATATTTGAATCTTTAATTTCCACATTCGTACTTTGATCTGTTTTCAATATTGCAGCAGAACTTGAACCTGAGTGATGCACACAAGTCATAATTTGATGCAATTAAACAGAAACTAGCCTCAAAAAAATCATGGCATGGAAGAGGAACCCAATGCTGTTTATCAAAGCTTTAAACAAAGTATTTCTTTCTGCGTTGACTAAATGTAATATTATGAATTTTAAACAATCGGAAATGAATTGCAATAACAGAACTAACTATAAATACACTCACCTGCCACAAACAAATCGTGATTTCTAACTTCTAGGTCAACACTGCTTTGATCTGGGCTCTGTGAAGACGATCCAGAAGCTAGAATCAAGAGTGAATGATTAAATATTGCAAATAGTTAGCTAGAAAGAAAACCTTCCAGCACATATTTGGGCACCTAACTCTGCAACAACAAATGTTTAGAAGACAAATATCAGAAGACTAGGTTTTAGGGGAAATGTACAAACTATGGACATTCTGTAGCAGACAATATATTCCACAATGCTAGAGCAGATTATTCTGCATGTAGATGGGATACTTCAATAGCACAGGATTGCAATATTTTCCTAAATAAATTTTAAATGTACGGTATATTTAATAAAAACATGCATAATGAAAATAAAAATCCTGGGGTACTCGGACCTGTGGCGCTTCCAGTGAGGGGAGGTGGTTTTAGGAAAAGTAAAAAAGGGGGCTGGTTAGGTGGACAAAATATGCAACATAGTTCGCTGCATCCAGACGAATCACAAAAAGTCAGTCTCGCATCCTGCGAAAAAAAATTATCGATATATTCATGACTTGTGACCAGGGGCATGCATGCCCAACTCTTCTGCTGCCAAGGGCGAGTTTCTGCAAATGATGCCCCTTTCGCTTAAATTCGAAAATAATCCGAGGGATATGCCTATTCTAGATGTTATTATACATTGTGGGTATTTTGTACAAAGCCCCGGCCACCAATGCAAAAATGTGATATTAGCGAAAAACGTCCCCAGCCACGTTTAAAAATAACAAACTAGTAATTATCCAGTTAGGTTTCGGAATGATTTGAACATTTCTGTATTTCCAACCTTATCTGAATAATTACTAACTTTCTTATTTTGAGCGTTGGCGGGGGTGGTTTTTAGCGTGGTACAAAAGATTAAGGTCAAGTAAGGGTGACATTTTGTTTATTTTTGTTTAAATCATCAAACCTATTTATCTACCTGTCTTCTTTATCAGTCTGACTAAATTTCCAGAGAGCTGCGCCACTGAACATATGGTACTTGGTAGGTATAGGTATTACATTTCATGTTCACTGGGTGAACGAAAATATCATACCCAGATTGTTGTAGTCAGCTTGCGAGGAGTTTTGAGGTCAAAACTCTTTTTAAAGAATTAAGAAAACTGAAAAACTCTCTGAAAAATCATTTTATGACATGTCGGGCAATAATATTAGGACATTGCACTAAGAAGGATGTATAATTTGTTCCTTCATACAACTGTTGCACAAAACTATTAGGGCAGGTTGTTACTTCCAATAATACTATAATACTAATATTGTGACTGATATATGACCTCTTTAATTTATCACTTTTATGACATGTGAAACATTGTCTGTGTGTGGCAAGAAATGATCAAAGACTCGTGGAATGTATATTTGTCATAAAACTGTCATGTCATATTCCTAGACAACGTGGAATTCTATTCTTGATCACTCATCGGCAACAAATGTTTGCACAGCAATTGAAACGTCTTTATATGGATTCGTGCAGTCTGAAATACAGTTACTGCATGAAAAATATAAACTTATATTACAGCATACCACTTAACATGATATGCATTGTTGATATATTGATACCTCATTCTGCTATGTGCTTGTAAATTTCAATTTTTCAATTTTTTGTCAGGTCACCAGCCAGTCATGTCACAAGTCAAGTCGATACAATGCCCAGTCAGATTCAAACAAGATTTAAAAACGACAAAGGTATTGCATAGATGGAATCTATGTTGACACCAAAGACTTGAAAGTTCATTGTCCTGGTACAAAAATTGAAATGAATCTGGGACTTTATCAAGTCTTAACAACACTTGCTTAGAAACCCAGGCCCACTTTTAAGAGTTTTCCAAACTTTCCACCATCTAAAGATGGATTTTTGAATTTTCAGTTTGAACACTCAGTTACATAATAGAACAGACACATAAATCACAACAGAAATATGGAATATATAAACTAGAGAGAATTTACAAAGCCTATTCATGATATTATGGTTTATCGTTTCATAGCACAAGATGAAACTTTTATGATTATTTAATGTATGATTAGCTATAGATAATGCCTGTTGGTGTCAAAAGATATTTTTATTGCATAAATGGAGACTAGGTTGTTATCAAAGATTTTAAAGTTCATTGTCTTGACACCAAAATCTTAAAATTATGTATTAACAACATTTGCTTGGGAATTCAGACCCAATTTTAGTTTTTGGTTTTCCATAATTTTGCGTCTAGTAATAAATATGAATTTTTAGTGTTCCCGCCAATATGATAGTTCATACTGAGTAACATATTTATATTTCATATTCAGTAATATAGCAGGCAAGACACACATCACAACAGAAATGTGAAATATACCGTACAAACTGGAGATAATATCCAAAGCCTATGCATTATATAAAAATTCATCCGTCATAAGACTAGTGCACATGAGATAAAACTTCAATGAATATTCACCAGTAATATATGAGTACCTACAGACAAAGACTGTTTGCATAGCAATCAAGGGCCCCTTTCTCCGCCTATACCTCACCCTACAATAGTGTAACTTGTGGAACAACTAGGTATTAACAACAACAGTGGCTTCCTGGTTCAGACTTGATTCAGTCTTTTATAAATAATTTATATAGCAATTAATAATAAACAGTTGACCTATTTTGCAATTATATGAATTTTACTGACTGATATAGAATAACCTCATCTATAATGATATGTCTCTGTTCTTATTTTTTAGATAATATAATGAAAAGTGCTCTTCTGAACTTTAGCAACTTGCCACCCCAAAAAAGCTTTTATTTATCAAATATTTTTTATTTTGCAATCATTCGACAACAATGACTTAAGTACACACCTTCATGACTTTAGTACACACCTTCGAGTAATACATAAAATTAGAGGGTACTGTCCTGCTAGTGCCCCACGAATTTACATATTAAACCAATAAAAATTCTAAAAAGTCAAAGTTGCACATATCGCAAGCAAATGTTCTGTTCAAGATTGGATAATAAATGATTTATGTTTACAGGGGGAGGAATCAAGAGCCCAAACGTAGGCTAAAGAAGGAATGAAATTGTGTCAAAAAGGTTGGATATCACTGCAATACTGCCTGCTAAATAAATAATTGCTGAATCAAAACTTCATTGGAATTTGAAAGCTTAAAGAAATAAATAGAGCTCGACCTATATATCGGCCAACTAGTGGCCGATAACCGATACCGCTATGCCGATATTAATATAAATCATATTTTGAGCCAGTTCATTTTGATATTTATTATAATTGCAGTAAACTTTTTTTTATTAACTAACTCCAGTTAATGCTTGAGCAAATGTTATTCTGTAACTTTCCCTGCTACTTCAATATCAGTCTAGCTATTTCCAGGAAAAAAATTTTTAATCTGACTGAATCTCTTTCAAATATAACTATGGGCATATGTTAAGGGTATTGGAAAATTATAAATTGATATATTTTAAAGTGAATCGTGATAATGATAAATTACTTCAATATTGTGATAGCATATGTGCAGTTACATGTGAAATTTTTAATAACTTTGTTTCCAGATACTCTCAATACCTTATTTAGTCAAAATAATGGATTACGATAAGTTTTTTTTTGTAATTCTCAGCAAAATGATACCATCAACATAGATAAAACTGTTACCCCAGCGAGCATTATGAATGTGAAGTTTATATAGTTTGAGTACCTCATGGCATTGCGGTGTTCACGAGTAACTTGCTCAATAATCTGTACTTTGCTTGCTCACAAGCAGCCTCTAGTTCAGTGGTTCCCAACCTTTTTTGGCTCGCGACCCCCTTCGGTGGTTTACACATACCTACGCGACCCCCTGCCTCAGTTTCTATACTTTACAATAAATAGGCGGCAAATTTGATTTTTCATCAAGCTGCAGTTTTATTCAATGTGATGGCTGGCTTGGAACTGCGTAGCCAACTGCGTAATTCGTGGTTGAGTTTTTGACAGAGCTAATCTCATGTCATCCTCGACTTTCATTCGATTTCGTGCCTTTGTTTTTATATGAAAAAGAAGCTGAAAATCCGATTTCATTTTTATATTGTCGCTTCTTCGCCAAGGTAAATAAAATATCTGAATTATAACGTTACTGCAGGATGTATGATAATCTTCACGACGAAACAACATAGACTACCCCTTGGTATCAAAATCCCACAGCCTTGCTTCGAAGCATTGCGAGAAATGCTGTCGAGTTCGTGTGACGTCACAATGGTTAACTTGCCATAAAACTCTCGGGCGGCTTGCTAACATTCTGGGGTGTCACGACAGCTAGTGGAAATATCTCGGAGGTGAACGAGAGTCAATTCCAGACTTCTTCGCATTCTATCGACAATATTTAATCTGGGCTTTGTATTATTTTCTACTGTTTTGCAACAACTTCGCGACCCCCCTAGAAACCCGCCGCGAGCCCCAGCTTGGGAACCACTGCTCTAGTTGTTTCTACTAACTTCACAATGAGGTCAGCTCCTTTTTTTATGAAATAGAGTGTATATTTTGAAATTACCAATCAAAAATGAGGAAATTCCAAAGTTGCCATGACAACAATGTTATTATATCTATCCTCCTTAACCACAGTCCATCAATCATTGGTTGATTTTTAGGGAAAGAAAAAGGACATGTCTTAGTGAAGGCATACATCCATCACACTTGGGCATACATATAACGTAATTCAAACTGACCAATCAAAATCAAGAAATTGATAACAACATGGATTTTGAAAAGTCGGAAATCTACTTATTCACAGTCAATATGCAGGAGGTGTTCTAAAATGGACAGTGGGAAGAGTCAATAACACTGTCATCTTATTATAGAAGTTTTACAAAATCACTGAAGACGATACATTTCAAAAAAGACTTCTCATAATAAAGCATATGAAATATCAGAAACAATCAAAAAAGGTACTAGACTATGTAAAAAGAAAGTTTCATGATGTTTCATATTACTAAAATTTTATACATTAAAAATATTTGGGGAAATTCACGCCCCCTCCCACCTCTTTCATTTTACAAATTCAAAATTTGAAAATAAAAATCTGTTATATTTTTCAG